CCGAGGTTTGGGGGGAATAAAATAAAAGAAATCATCTTGAGGCTCAGCAATGAATAATACATTTCTTTATTATTCCCCCGAGCCTCGGAGCCAAGTACGAATTTTAATATAGCGAAAATGGTCTATTAGATGGCTAGGATGACTGTGAGGAATGGGATTACTGGGATGACAAGGATGACTTAGATGACTGGGATGACTAGAATGACTGGTATGAATTGGATGGCTAGGATGACTGGGATGACTGTGATGAATGGGATTACTGTGGTGACGTTGGACACAATTATGCAAATGCAGAGCGCTTTTGTTAGTTTACAACAATGTGTTAAACAATATAGTAGCTTGGTGGTGTAATAAATAACAACCAATTTATGATTTTTACAACTTTCTGATTGTGTCATTTCATATACAGTTTGAAAGTGCTTTGAAAACAATTTTTAGTATCGTGCAATACAATCCGCTCGCATAATTTTTCATCACGGTAGCTGTAGTCACGTGCTAGGCAACAAGTAGTTCACGCGTATCATGTTCGCGGATAAATTAGCAAGCCAATTTTACGATAGATTTCCAGAAACTTTAAAGAACGCACCAAATTTCCGAGTAGAATTAACACCATTGTTTCTCAAAAGTTTTCAAGGATCACGAACGCAATTTCAGAGCAAAATATTAGTCATGTTGCGGACGGACGTGGATGTTACAGCTGATCTTTATCAATTTAACCGGCCGGATAAGCCCAGAATCGTTTGACGTTACAAAATAAACATGCTCTTGCTTGTACGCGAGTATGCACTGTTTGTTAGCATTTGGAGCAGGCATTTGAAACTTTATTTGAGGAAATAAAGCGTGATAGTCAGATGTCCTTAAAGAAACATTCGCTTAAAAACTTGAATTGGTCTTCTTTCGAGTATACAGTCGCTTGCACTAATACAGTCGACTTCCGATAACTCGAACCTCCAAGGGAAATCGAAAAAAGTTCGAGTTATCGAGAGCTCTCGAGGAAAATAGCCGAGAGTAAGGTAAAAAACAGTTTTTACTGCACAGTGAACATTTTAATCATATTTAATTGTAGAAATGTCAAGTGAAATCTAGATTATAAATCAGAACGTAACGTAGCCTAAATAGAGCATGCGTTTTACCGTTTTGAGAAGTAAAGCTGCTTAACGTTAGCCTGTGACCATCAACATTAGCTTCCACTAGTAAACTATACTCCTACAACACGTCAATAGGAAATCCAAAATTCTATGTTTCGAACACCAGTAGACGGCTTTTTTCCCGACTTTTTAAGGGCTCAAAACATGGTTCGAGCTATCGAGGGTAAAATCATATAGACAATGACCTGAGAGGAAACGAAAATTGGTTCGAGTTAGCGGGAGTTGGACTGATCGTGGGGTTCGAGTTACTACAGCGAATGAATGACAGAAACGGAAGCACTAAAACATGGAATCCGGAATCCGGAAACGGAAACGGAGTCACGGAAACAGAAACGGAATACGGAATACGGAATCCGTGAAAGAAGGTTCCAAGCGATCGATTTGAAAAAAACATATATTAGCAATGACAATAAAATAAATAAACAGATTGAAAAAAGACATAAATGAATAAATTAGCAGAGTAAAGGAGAGGAGACTGCTGTATCACTGGAGGAGTTTATTCCCGTGAAAAGACTATTGATACCACTTCCGGCAATGAATGCAAATTCTCATGGGAAAGCAAAGTGAGGAGAAAAACGTCACTGACAAAAACTAGTTCCTTAAGAAAAAGGTAAGTTATATGGAGACAGAGTTCGTTTAAAATGACAGAGGCGTTCCTGAGTGTCTTTTCTGGGCTGTCTTCAACAGTGTTCAGTTTTATTTATCGAGACAACTTATTCAAGAGAACCATGGCATTGTGGAGTCCAAAGAGAAGAGAGAATTGTGCATGCATTTGCTTGATTCCGCAACTGATTACATCAAAATAATGCGCCACGTTTGATAAGCCTTTTCAACAAAAATATGGACGTTAATGTAAACTCAATTACCGGTACACCAGTATTCAATCAGTAGTCAGCTTGGCAAAAAAGTTGAACTTATTCCTAAAACACCGGAACCTTGGACATGTCACAGGTAGGTCATGTGTTGAGTATTCAGTTTGGGGACACATCTCGTGGTGTGGTCTGAGGCCAACTACTACTAGTTTTGACATTTAGCTACAAAGGTAATATTTAATTGTTTTATTCAACCTATAAACTCATGAATAAAAATTACTCGTAAAATTACTTATGCAGTGCAGTGCAGTGCAGTAATCCACACTACGGCAAACCTTATCAAGACACAGTAACAAGAATATATTTAAGGGAACTGCCAAGAAAACTAAAACAACTTCTCTTTGGATTGTACGAAATTATGCAATTTTAAATCAGTCTTTAATTTTCTATCATTGATATTTGATTCCGTATTCCGTTTCCGTTTCTGTTTCCGTGATTCCATTTCTGGTTCCGGATTCTGGATTCCGTGTTTTAGTGCTGCCGTGACGGAAATCCAGGCGAAATCGATTTTGGTTTGAGTTAGCCCAAGGTTCGAGTTAGTGAGTGTTTGAGTTATCGAGAGTCGACGGTATAACCATGCCGCATTGTGTTACAGCCGTACAAGAATCAGGAATCGAGAATCGAGTTGACAATCAAGACTCACAATGGACTGTCAACTTACTTTTGAACAGTACTGTAGGGTGACTAGGGTGACTTGGGTGACTTGGATGACTTGGGTGACTAGGGTGACTTGGGTGACTTGGGTGACTAGGGTGACTAGGGTGACTTGTGTGACTTGGGTGTATAGGGTGACTTGGGTGTCTAGGGTAACTAGGGTGACTTGGGTTACTAGGGCGACTTGGATGACTAGGGTGACTTGGGTGACTAGGGTGACTTGGGTGAATAGGGTGACTTGGGTGAATAGGGTGACTAGGGTGACTTGGATGACTAGGGTGACTTGGGTGTCTAGGGTGACTTGGGTGACTTGGGTGACCTTGGTGACTAGGGTGACAAGAGTGATTTGAGTGACTAGGGTGACTTGAGTTACTAGGGTGTCTCAGACCAGAGTGACTGGGGTGACTTGGGCAACTTTGATGACTAGGGTGACTTGGGTGCCATGTTGTTGGCCTTCTTTCCAACCTAAGTAATGTTGTAACATGACCTATGATGTCAGTAAACACTACAACCTGTGCTCTATCCTTAATTTCATTTAAAAAACAACACTCAGTTATCTAATTATTCATGGCTAGTTATGAAAACTTACATTATTCTCCTTGACCTCTTGGTAGTTCTTCAGTTGGATTAAATCTTCTGTCTTCTTTTGCTTACTCATTCCTGGTGCATCCTGGTTAAATAATTATAGTAAACACCCTCTAATAAGATCAATCACACTTTTTTTGAAGTCTGGCAAAATAGGTTCTTATAAATAGGGGGTACTTATTGGCAATTAAGGCTAAGTAGATTCTCATTTTTTTGTGAAGGACCTTGATTCCCAGAAAAATAAATAAACGTTTCACTTATTCACAATAATTGCACGTGAAAGAACACATATTATTTATGAGATGACTTTAACAAATCACCTCCTTTTCTAACATCTGCAATAAAATTATGCATCATTCAATGTTAAGATTGATACCCTAACATCATTACTTTACTACCAACAGAACTTATGTCAAATTGCCAGTCAATTGCCAAAATACTAATTTCTACTCATCTCCTGTTATTTCACTCAATAAAACAATCTCTAATTATTTCGTCAACTAGCTAATTTAAATTTTATTTGCTGACGCAAATGTTATGCATCTTTACTCAGTCACTAGGTAAATCAAATATGTTTTAATTACTTTTGTGACAGCAAACATGTATCAGATATATTTGCATTTAAGTTGCTGGAACGTGAATTTAAAGGTCTGTTGAACTTTGTACGAGAGAGATATAAAACGTGTATTGAATTTACTCGGTACAGCTTTTAAAAATCAGCTTTTGTTCAAACTTCTAAAAACACAATTACACCACATATTTCCAAGTTAAAGTCAATATCTAGTAAATACCTATTATAAACATTTCATTTGTAGACCTTTGAAAAATATGATTTTTTATACTTCACTTTGAAGCTTGTGAAACACAATCCACGTAGGTTGTGCCGCTTACGATAGCCAAATAAGTTCATAAATGTCTTGAACCAACAGCCACACTAAAATATGAACCCTTAAACGGCTGCATCACTCTACTCGGCATTTGAATCATGAAGATATTTAAATGATATGTTTCTAAACGCCTTTAGCTGTGATAAATGATGACAAACTTGTGAAGAATCACGATGGCGGTCTCAAAGTGCCCTTGTTTTACCTTTAGCGCAGCAAAGTCAAGTTTAGAAGCCAAATTCTCATTGGTTCCTAAGCATCAACTTATGGTACCTTCAACCTTATTGGCCCCTGCAACACACATCCGTACAGACACAGCCACAAAGCCACAAAGCCACAGAGATACATACGCTCACACCACTGACATATGAGCTATTTTTTCAAAGTAGCTCAAAAAAGGAAAAAGGAAACCGGGAGGCACTAGAGAGAGTGGTCGGTGAAAGAGAGGAAAAATAGAGAAAGAGAGAGGAAGAAAAAGAAATGACAGAAATTGATAACCCCTTTTATTAACACAGTAAGTATTCATTACCAATGTATACACCTATTTCAATAATTAAGGTTGCTACCGTGAACCATGTGTCATAGCCTGCAGTGCACTATGGTAAACCTTTTTGTAGCGGGAAGTTTAGTCTTGTTCACGTTCATTGAAATAATGGAGACCATTTGTGAAAAGGCGTTCAAGAGAGCTTTCAAGTCAAATAGCTGCTAAAATTCTTAAGCACGAGCGAGCTGAAAAATTTCATTTTTAAAATCTCATAGTAAAAAATTAGAAGCCTCTTCTTTTAACAACATTAAATGAAGAGGGTTTTACCGCCTGATTCAATAAAGCAAATCAATGCTATTCTTTTTTTTTTATTCAGATTAAAAAAAATGCCTCAAAAGTAGATAAACATGTACTGTTAAGTTATTTATTATTGTTCAACAAACGCCTTGAATTTGATTTTTTTAATCTCCATCCAAAATTCCCACGTGCAAGAGCCAAGCCAACTCCTTGAAAATTTGTAGCATTTGCATATTACCACAGAGATAAACCTAACCTCAAATCACTGTCTTAAATTAAAAAGCCTAAGATTCAGTGCTTTGAAATACATTATCTTAACGTTCTGCTGACATAGTATAGAAGCGTCGGCAGCGTTTGCTTTCTAGGTTTCTAGGCTCGTTGCGGGCTCATAATTTACTAGACTTGTTACGATAATGCACCGCAGGCTATGAAACATGGATCATGCATCATTCTTCTCTGAAGCAACCTTAATTGAAATAGGTGTATATACCATACTATGGGGAATAGACCTTTTCACGGTTTATGATGCCATCTTGGCTGGGGGGCAAAACACAGCTAAAATAACAGTGAATGTATGGGATTTTGGCCCACTTGAACTGCTATAACATTGCTAGAAAGAGGCAGATTTTGACAGTGAAATGAATTCTAAGACATTTGTACTGAGATTATTTTCATGAAATATAAAGAAGAGATTCAGGTTATAACGACCGTAAGCAAATTTTTAAGATTTCATACAAACCCTCCTAATCAACATTATGCAAATTACCATGAAATTGGAAACCACAAGAGAAGATTTATAATTCGAATTTATGGACATTGTAAAATCTTTACAGTGTGATCACACGAACTGAGGCCACCCAGACAACAGTTGGAGACAAATTTTGAAACTAGCCAATTTCAAAAATACATTGTGAACCATTTTTCTCAGGCATATAAAAATAAGGAATCGTGATGTTTGTGTAACTAAATCAAGCTGATTAATGTTTTGACATCATCTGGGTTGGCCGAAATCAAAGCCAGCAGCAAAGAAATTTTGAACTATGTGAACTTTAGGTGACGGCCACTGATTTCACAACAAGCTGTGCTCAGTGCCAAGTAAATTGCAAAGTCGGTGATTATAAAGATATGGGGCAGGTTAGTGCAAACTACAACGCAATGCATTCACCCAGCTTAGCCTGCAAAAACAAAACTGAGAATGACTCTAGACTGCTCAAGAATAGCGAAGGAAATCGCCATGTTTAGTGGAATTTTTGTTGAGGGAAGGAGGCAGACATTGCTTTATTCTTGCAAGTGACAAAAATGAGAAAGATCAGAAAAAATCTTTGAAGCAAACTAGTTGATGATTGCCCCAAACTGGGTAACCCCCCAAAAAAACAGAAACAAACTAATCGATTGAAATCCACCAATCACAAACCATGACCTTTTGAATTCGTTCAAGTTAACATCTGTTTCCTAGGGGGTCGGTTAAAATGATTGACGGGGCAGAAAAACCCACAATTCCTTAGAACAATAACAACAATCTTTGGTGAGCAGCTGTTGCCTTTCTATAGTTCGGACTGTTCAAAATTTCTTTACTGCTGGCTTTGATTGCGGCCAACCCAGAAGTTGTCAAAACATTTTTCACCTTGATTTAGTCACACAGACGTTCATGTGGTTGCACTGTAATAGCCTTATTTTCTGTAGAATAAATGATATCAATAAAACTATTTAAAGAAGTGGCAAATGTTGGAAATCCACCTCTTTGTAGCAGCGTTATAGCGGTTCCAAGTGGGCCATACTTTCACTGTAATTTTAGCCGTGTTCGCCCCCCAGCCAAGATGGCGTCATAAACTGTGAAAAGGTCTATTGGCCATTGTTTCGGAAGACAATAAGGTGGATACATAATTAATGAGACAGGATGCATAATTAATATATGGGGTTCTACAGAAATTTTTCCAATAATTGTCCTCGTAGCACACGGCATCAAGCGTTTATATTTCGAGCCATAGGTCCCCGTTATTGCCCTTTTTTTCGTACAGAAAACTGTTAAAATTATTTTAGTTTCATGTATCAGTTGTAAGGTTATTAAAGTTCACGTTTAAAATTTGAGTTAGAGTTAAAATTACTGCTTACCAAAAAAATGTCCACTTCTCAACTGAATAGAAAATGCCCTGCTTCCAAACGGCTTAAAGATTCAGAACTTTTACAACAAGTCATTACTTATCTTCGTTGCCTTGATAATCAGCGGCCATGTTGGATTTAGTGGTTACCCAGACTCCTCTCAATTAAAATTTTGCTGATAGGGGATGGGTAGGGAGAATAACGTACGAGAGGGGTTTGCGGAAGAATCAAAGAAGAAGGCATGAAAGGCACTTATTTTCTTTTGACCCTGCTATCCGGACCAAAAATTTCCGCAAACTACTATATTTTTCCTTGCTTTTAGTTCAAACTGCTGGCACAAGAAGAGGCATGTCCGTATATTGCGAAGCTTCACCCCTGTCAGGAGATTCTAGCTTACAAACTAGAAAGGATCAGCTTTGTTGGAGAGCTTACTTCGTTTAATACCAATTCAACTATAAATGGGCAGCTCTTTGCAAAAGGAGAAAAAAAATTCTCGTTACGCCGTTTACGCTTTTTTTCAATCTGTTTGTTGAATGGTGTCCTGCATTTAGGATTATATTCCGCCGTTCAAAGCAAACGAAAAGTAGCCTGCGTAGCAGACGCTTGGAAGTAGTAAAGCCCTCGACTGAAGCCCTTCCTCCCCCACCATCCCCACCTTTTGAGGACTTTTTAGTGGTTGATTAAGACACAGTAAAATCCCAAGACTAAGAACCTGACCTGCATTTTCCCAAGTTAGCCTAAACAAATTCTTACATAAATGGAAATTAGCACAAATTTAGACTATTTTGGTTGTTAAATAAGTTCTTATTATTCTTAAGTTGTAGCTAAGAGCACTTAGTGGCCTTCACCTCATTCGTTAGCATTCCTTAACTTGCATACCATTACAATTGCAGTTGGAGAACTAAGGCACCTACATCTCTATAGGGATCCTGAATGTTGCCTGTCTTATTTGCCAAGTGTACAGAATTTGTTTTTAGATTTTAGAAAATAAGAACCTGTTTCAAACTTTAGGCTTAACAGTGACTTAACAGGGTCTTGTACAGAGGAAGCCTAACTGGCAAATTTTAGCCTGACAGGTTCTTAAAAACCAGATTTTTAGTCGCGGGTGTTTACTGTACACAGTAACTGTTTTTTTTTTTTTATCATGGTCTAATGGGAAATTGTGGTTCACCAAATTTCATCTCATTCAGACTGATAAGTTTATTATTAACAGAATTTGTTAAATAAGTGCTTCTATGTGGATCACTTTTTGTCGTCATTGCTGTCATTAGAGACTGTCACTTATTGAGAGACCTCCAGAGTAGTCGTTAGGAGACTAGGAACATCGTTGACTGAAAAAGCCATAAAGTCATAAAGCTGTTAAATGTAGCCTGCGAAAGGCAGGCGTTTCTCCTCGCTTAACGTCGCTGAAAGACTATGTTAAATGCAACTGCTAAGAATCACATAAATTAATTTTTAATGAGAAGGCCAGACTGAACAAGTGGCTGAACTAATCGCCAAGAATCTGCAAAATGTCGCTGATAACCCCGGTGCCCGCGGGAGGGCTTGCCCGCAGGCTAAAAAATAGTGTCCTGCAAGCAAGCTCTCCATATTTTGGGAATTATGAGACGGGGAAATCGTGCCTTAATCTCGCGCTGCTCAATCGCGCGTGATTCTCGTCATTTCATAATTTCTCTAAGAAGAGGAGATTTGAAAAAACAATTTTTTTTCTCTCCCTTCCCCCTTGAAAAATTACCTTGTGGATCCTTGTGCTAAAACAAAGTTAATCAGCCAGGTGTAAAATTTCGGCTAATATGTCGAAAATAGAAATGAATGAGCCAATCAGGTTGAGGATCGTTTACAAGTTCAACCCCACTTGAGTATTATTGGGCTTATAATTATCTCTTCCTCGATCAAGTTTTCACGCCATTTTAGAGGGCGATTCTTTTGAGCTTACAGAGCTGGCCTCCATTGTCCAGGCTGGTAATTCTATCGATCACAATGGCAGGGCTTGTAAAACCAAAGAAACGCGAATGGAAAGAAACTAACATGGCGCTTTTTGGAAGCGACACCGAAAGGGAAGTAAGTGCAATGTGAGATGTAGGGTCTAGTGAGGTTTATAATGTATATATAATGCAATGTTGAATTTTCTTGCGAAACTGTCCTTAGGAAACACCCTACAGCCGACACTATCCAAGGATATAAAAACAAAATAGCCATAAGTCCTTATGAAGGTGCATGGGTCTTGTACGTACTTGCAAGAATATGCATTATAAGTACCGAAGTTTCACATTTTAACGCGCTTTTCCAGTTGCTTATAACACCAGCTTTGCAAATTAGACCACCTGCATGACACTATGTAAACTGTCCGGCAGTGGCATCATTGGCGTTTGTTATAAATATAATAAAGGTTTTTGCGTTAGTCTGTCTGTTTGTTAAAAAGCCAAATTATGCAAATATTAGCCTCAAGATAATGTTGATCTTAAAAACTCCTTGGTGGATTATAAAAGCTCTTATGCATGTTTACGTAAGACGAGCATATTTCAACACTCGTTTTGAAATTGTAACGATTCCCAACGCGGTGGAGTTGAAAAGAATACCCATGTAGAAATGCAAATGTGAAGAGTTTTGATCATAAGCAAAGCCTGGCAGTCACATTACCTCGTCTGACGTTTTGTATAAGGGATTTCAATTCAGCGTCTTAGCGCTGAACTGATCTTACTGATGCCACACCTTTTCGCTTTCAATTTGAACTTGCTAACAAGTTCCGGCAAGGATGTAAGAAGGAAAAGAGCTCACTCCCGTCCCCTCCCCCACCTCGAGAACTTCTAGGACCATGAAAATAGTGCATTTAAACTTTCGTTTTTATCAGTATTCTGAAAGGCTGGATGATTTCTTAATCAGATTTATTTCCGGTTTGCCCAAGGAAGTAATTGAGAAGAAAGAAGAACATCATAATCGCACCTGTCACGCGATGAGTAGATTTCGTGAGCTCGCGTTCTCTCCCTCATTTTAAACCTCCCCTACTCATTCCGACGCCCGCCTAGACCGCGAGCAGTCTCTTATTTTTCTTTTGAGACAGTAGATCAAGAGCACGCGAAAGGGGCGAGCGGCGAAGCCGCGACGATGGCGGAAGCCCAATTGCCAAGTAATCTAGCCCCTCGAGTACTGAATTGAGTTTGTCAAGAAATGGTATTGGAGGAAGGCGCGTGTCGCCTTTTCTCGCGTGGGGTGACTTTCACGCGCGCTCGCGTTTCGCTCGCTCTACTATCCCTGAGGAAAAATGGGGGACTACTCGTAGTCTAACAACTAGGCACAAACAATCTCGATCATTATGTTATGAAATTAGGATTGACCCGAGGCTGAGACGCAAAAAGTACAAAAACATCCTGAGTAACTTAAAAATTAAATATTCGATTACCTGTTGTTTTGGGATCATGATACGTTTCTGGGAAACTGTCCACCTACCCCTCCCTTAAGCCAACATCTTGCCCTCAGTGGGCGTTATCACATTTCGATATCCTTCACGAGTTTCTAAAGCACTAGAGCAACTAGCCTTTGCAGCAGGCACTTGGAAGTAATGACGCAAGAAAGAACGGGTCTGCTAGCTACTTTCATACCATCGAAGCATCCCCAAGGGGGTAGTCAGTCGGGTCTCGAGGAAAGGCGCGACGAAAGTCGGCGACTGACCGCCCCCAGGATGGAGCCGAAGCGGTAGTTGACGTCATACGTTAATAAGTTTAGAGAACAAACATCAACATAAAAACCAAGCGTGACCAATGAGAGAGAGTTGAGATTGGATACGCTGCACATATTCTTCTATCGAGGGAACTCCTTTATTTGCCCCATCCGCGGAAGGCAGCGTTTTGAGAAGTAACATTCAAAAGAGACGAAATGACGGGTCTTGTAAAGGCGAAGAAATATGACTGGAAGGACTCCAACTTGGCTCTGTTTGGTTCGGACACGGAGAGAAATGTAAGCTCTCTCTTGCGACAGCAAGAAGATTTGAAAATGGTTCAGGTTCTTCTTGATATGTGTGGACCTTTTGGGCGTCTTAGAAATACAGAACACAGCGAGGCGAATTTTACGTAGTAGAGCGAGTCTAGAGAAACTCCAGACGCAACCTGAGGTGGTCTTTATGGATCCCTGTTTTGGATCACCGCTAGCGCTACGGTTACACATTACATACGACTCAGTCGCTTTAATTTACACCAAATGCTCAGAGGCAAACACTGTTGATTCAAACCTCAAACGTCAAAAAATGATCCATGAGTCAAAAGCAGTTGCAAGTTTCCTACGATATTATTTTAGAGCTGTTTCTGCTGTATGTATTATTAGTATCAAATTAAAATGGCATTTTTGTTAAACGTACGTTATTTCACGATCACCAGGTCAAAAAGGAATCTGCTATGACAGAGAAAGCTTGGAAGGGTGCTGGAGAGAAAGTCGGTCTGAGGATATGGAGGATCGTAAAATTTAAGGCAAGTATTACCACAACATATCTTACAGAGCGTCTTTTAATTATAAAATTTATAATATATTTATAGTATCGATATATCCAATAGTAATGTAGTGTTATTTTTTCCCCGGACTAATTTACGTCTACAGATAAAACGCGGTATTTGTTTGTTATGAAACACGTTCCTTACCAACTTTCACTTGATTTGATGCCCATTATTTTACCTTTGGTTATATGTACCAATGGCATTCGTCTAAATCTTTCAAAATTCACCATGGATTTTGGTCTTGGTAATCTGATTACAGAAGTCCTAGTTATTGCCTTATATGGTGGTAATAGATATTACAAACATACTTAGAATATAAGCAAAACAAATAGGCAAGTGGGGCTGACCTTATTCCTTGTTGGTTCACTGCACTCGTCCCTTTGCCACAATGAGTGACTGTGCTGATTTGCCTAAGAGTAAAATATTACTTGGTTAACCACCTTTATACCAAAATATATCAAGGTTGCATCTGAGACTTATGAAGGTTGTTTGATTATACCAAGTCTCCATCCATCATTATCCAGAGATTCCATCCTCAAAAGATCTAAAGTCTGAAGACTGTCTCTTTTCCACAACCCCCCTCCCCTTGCAGGGACATAACTCACCCTTTGACCCTTTACCCCCAAATCACAAATTGACCAAGATGGGTGTGGCAAAGTAATCAGGTCAGTGATCAAATACATATAAGTGCAAAAAATGCCACAGACACCACACCATGCCATAACTATACCTGTCCCTTTTGTAAAATCCAACTAGTGGTCTATTATCAATGTTGCATTTTGATTGGTTGAGCTACTACTAGGCTATATGTTATAGCCCACTAGTAGCGAAAAGTGCTGGCTTTGAAAACCAGAACAATGGCAGCTGAATCGCATTTTGCTAGCTAAAGTTGTTTTGTCTCGATATTTTTGACTAACTAGTTGGATTTTACTAAAACAATATTCCTTTCGCCCTCATGGGAAGGCCTCATGGGCTATTGACTCAAGAGCCCATTCGGGTCCGAGGAGTAATTGTTAAATAACCTACTGATTAAATTTTCCCATGATCATATTTACAGTACCAAATCAAAGATTAGAAGTGAAGTCCTCTTTCTGTTGCTGTCAATATTTTAATCCTTGATGCCTTCTTACCACAGGTAACAGATTGGCCATCAGAGGACTATGGATCGTTTTATGACGGAGACTCATACATTGTTCTTAACACTTACAAAAAGGACCCCAATAGTGAGGTATTAATGACAATATTTATTTGCTAATTATGCATCAAGTTTGCAGAAATTGGGAGTGCATTAGAGAAAAGAAAAGAAAGAAAGAAATTAGTCTTGGTAGGAAGGGGAAGAGAGAAATTGGAGGTTTAACAGAGAAAAGAAAAGAAAGAAGAAATAAACTTGGTTGGAAGAGGAAGAAAAATAAGGGAAATTGGGGGAAAAATAAGACGCATCTTATTAGAAAAAATGGAAAAAATAAGACGTTTAAGAAAGAAATTAGGCTTGATAGGAAGGGGAAGAGAGAAAAGAAAGAAGAAATAAACTTCGTTGGAAGGAGAGGAAAGAAATTAGGGGGTGGAAAAGAGACAAGTAGTGTCTCCCACATGACAGACTTATGACAAGACCCAAATGACTAATAATTATTAAGATATTAATCACATGACCTGAGAAAACATTTCATCATCTATATATGTACTATGCTGCTTTTTGTTGCTTTGAATGAGAAAATTATTATCGGTTAACAGTACAAGTATCTGTTGATGACATCACGTTTGATTTAGACATGTGATTGATGTCTTTTTGGAACTGATAAAGGTTTCGCTTTATGCCAGAAGCTGTTATATCACTGTTTCTCTGCATTTTATTATTGTTTGATGTATAGGAATTGGACCATGATGTCCACTTTTGGATCGGCAAACACTCGACCCAAGATGAGTATGGTACAGCAGCTTACAAGACTGTTGAGCTTGATACCTATGTAAGCACATGTTCCATTGTGATATTGGTATAAAATATTTAGTCCAGATGAGTATTATTTTTGTAACACAAGTAACTTGTGTAAAAAATATACAACACAAATTGTATTGCATGTTTAGGGATGACTTTCATTTGTAACTGCAAAAGCAAATGCATGCAGTTACAAATTTTAACTCTTTGAGAGCTAACAAATTTTTGTGTGATTTGGCCATGATTGCAGTTGGATGATAAACCTGTTCAGCATCGTGAGGTGATGGATTATGAATCTGACCGCTTTAAGTCCTACTTCAAGGTCATGTCTAAGTGGAAAGGAGGGTGAGTACAGCCCATGCATTAACCTACAGGCTTCAATGGAAAAGCTTGCATGAAGTTTTGCCTTGAGTATCTTCCCAAAAAAGTGAACCACATATTACATTGTTAAGTGATAACTCTGTACTAAACAGGTAGCAGTATCAGTAAGTTTTCCTCCCAAGTTTTCTCAAATTTGCAGAGCAATTTTCCAGACATGTAAAAAGTCTGGAAACTAGAGATCAAGTCCGGGAAAATGATGAAAGGTCAAAGCTAATTCAATTGCTTGATAAGTTTTTTTTTGTACTGTGATCAAATCTCAATCAATCTCACCCATAACTAAGACACTTCGATAGAAGAATTAGAATTTTTAGAGCTTTCTTATGTCAGCATCGGCCATGGTTACTGTTTGATGTGCATCATAGAAAAAAATTGGTTTCTACATTTTTCAAGAGCTTTTCTGAAAAAAAATATTTGTTAACATTGAGTCTGTAAAAAATTATTGTTTAGGAAAAACGTCGGGAAAAAGTTATGAATGTTGGACCAAAAAATCTGTATGAACCCTGTATGATTAACCGCTGTTAATTTTAGGAGCAGATAAAACATGTGGCCATAATTTGAGATAAACATATTAACCAGTTTGCCCCTGGAAATTTTGCCAAAAAACATGTTTTTAAAGCTGCCTGGCTGTCAAGAGCAAAAACTAACCAAAAAGCATTTACTGGTCAGTCTTCTGTTTCAGATGCAAAATATCAGCTTCCAAAATTTAAGGATGTGCAGAGTCAAAATTCAAAGTTTTTGGGTTTAAAAGTGACCCAGCGTGCAGTCACACGTCTCAACTTTTTTCTTTTGCTTTACCTCGCTCCTCTTCTCTTCGTTTGCTTTTCTTGGCCCCCTTATTTTTCTCTTTTGCTGGTTATTTTTTAGGCTTCATTTCTGAGGAAAGGTTTTTTGGAAGGCTTTTAGGATTGTAGGATTTGATGGAATGAGTTGCGGGTGGAATTTTCGTGTCAATTAAGCATTTTTTATTTTTTGACTTTTCTGGTAAAATTTTTCTCCCTGCACTAGTTATATGGCGGAGTTGTCCTTGACCATTAAAACTGATAACATTTTATTATATAAACACCAATGAAATACCAGGTGAGCTTTGGCACGAAAACTTGATATCTTCACATGTGAAAATAACATGTTATCTTCACATGTGAAAACATCACCACTGCTATGGCTACATAATAAATCGCACCTTTCACACCAAAAAACTATTAAAGTGAAATGGTTTGGTAGTTCATTGGTGTTTATATAATAAAATAGAACATTACATGGCCGCTTGGAGATACAAAATTTCTCTTCTGACGTGTTGAAAAAATATTTCATTCATTTGCTGCGCTCACTCGTGAAATATTTTTCAACACTCAAAGAGAAATTTGTATCTCTGCGCAGCCATGTAATATCCTCTATATATGCGATGCAAGGGCAGGTATCTGCATGGGTGGTTCGGAGGAAAATGGGTTAATAAAAGCATTGATATAACAGTAACTGCCCCCTTATTAACCTCATATGAGATAATAGTGAACGTACACAACAGGACGTGACAAAATATGTAAGCAGTAGGCCTGTCAGGTTTGTCACTCAAGAGCGTTTTGCTGTCCTCTTCTTCCTACTGCCCTGTTGTGTAAACTCACTATTAGCAACAGGATGATCAGATTCATCACCTTAGAAGCTATTTTAAGAATACAACTATTTATAAAGTGGATACTCCTTCAGGTTTTTATTGATTTAGCACAAGTCAGCATTGTATATAGTTACTATATATTGTCCTTCAGGGCGGATTCAGGATTCCGAAGAGTTGAAGCGAAGAAGTATACTCCTCGTCTTCTTCATGTGTTTGGTGAAAAGGTATTATGTCTTAAGTGTACGACTGTCCCTTATGACTTCATTTCTTTCAAGCACCACTATTTTTGCTAGCAGAAATAGTTGACTCAGGGTGCCATTTTCTTTCAAAAGTCTTTGTTTGAATGCATGAAACCTGAATATAATTTTGAAGGAATCCTTTTACTTTCAGAATAAAGTAACAGTTAAAGAAGTGAAGTTCAAGAAGGAATACTTGAATGATGAAGATGTTTTCTTGATTGACTTGGGACTACAGATTTTCCAGGTACATTTCTACTGCCAAACTAAGCGGTTGTTTACATGAGAAAACTCGCACCGGCACGAGTTTCATATCGAGGTGACTTTTTTATTTCGTATCACGGTTACATTATGACTGGGTCACTTCATATCTTAAAATTTGAAGGTACACTTCATGTTGATAAAATACACGTGTGATTCAAAATCACAAACATTATGCATGGCTACCTGTTCCAGTCTACCGGCAGACCGATTTCACAACATGACGGGTAGTTGTTTCGCGTTTACATGATACTGTTGCAAGATTTCGTACTGGAGTGAATTCTCACCCCGGCATGACATTTTGTGGTGGTATCATATAAACAAATATAAAGCCATGAGAGGGAACTGGAGTGATCTTGCCCTGCTGCGAAAGTCGCCCCAGTGTCATGTAAACACCCCCTAAGAAAACACATGTATATTGATCATTGAGATCAAGTCACCTAAGCCAAATATAAACTACAAACACTTGTTGCTGATCATGGTTCAGTCACACCAAACCTGATTGTCCAAGTATTTATGATGTTCACATTTTATGTAATCTAACAGTGTTAAGCCATCATTCTGAAGATCTAAAACAAACATTGATCAATAGAATGTGGAGGTAGAGCATCCTTTTTTCCTCCTCATCAAGAAGACAAAAGGAGGCTCTACTCGCAGTGAGTAAGTGGGCATTGTAATCAACGAACCTAGTCAGACTTGGGCCAGTTTCATGGTGTCCAGAGAATCCTTGGCATTGTAACTTATGTGCAGAAGTTTGCCCCTGGCCTTGTCAACTTGATCAAGCCACTCAAGAAAAATAAAACTTGTTTGGAAGCAGGAACTCCATGGAAAGTATCAAGTGAGAGTAAAGTTATGACCAAGCACCAGTGCCAGCTTAAGTTTTTTATTGTGCATAAGAAGACGCAGTTTAACATGATGTGTTCTTGGGTGATAAAGATAGCCATGCAGTGGCATATGCATCTAGAGCCCTCGTTGAAGTCATTTTGAAGATGTTTTTCTGACTTTGAAAGGGAAAAATACTGCAAAAAAAATCCACCCCCTCCAAGTAACGTTGTGCCTCCGCTCCTCATTTCACAAGATATGGACTTTCAGATAGACTCAATTTAGACAATGGTACCATGGTTTAATTTCACTGAATTTCAGAACTCTGCCAAAGAGGGTTAGTTTGAGTACATCAAAATGTCACCTAGATGTCTACATTCCAATGAAACAGTCAGGAGAACATTGTGAAGACAGAAAAGTCTCCTTTCAATAAAACTGCAAATGCAGCCTACGACTCGCATCTGTCTAAACAGGATTTTAGAAACATGCCATCAATTGGAATAGACTGCTCCCTAAAACAGCATCATCTGTCTTGAAGGATTTGCTCTATTTTCCCCACAGCTGGTCAACTGCTTTGGGACTACCGAGAACAAATCTAGCTAGCAGTGAGGGCGGGACTTGAACTTGAGGCCTCTGGATTACAAATGCAGTACTCTAACTACAGCTTTTAGCCACACAGCAACTTTTCTATATGTATGACCTTGTTATTGTCATTTTTGTAGTGGAATGGAGATCGTAGTAACAAGAATGAGAGATTTGAAGGTGGCAAATATTGCAATGCACTGAGGGTATGTAAAAGTAGTGTAATACATTCTGTCCTCAACTTGCCTGATGGACAGGCCAGTGAGTTTTGGGGAGGATTCAAATTACAGAAACACTGAATGATAAATTGCTTAAATTTCTAATATTAAAATTTATGTGGACCAAAAGCTGATCTAAAGAAGTGAAATCATGGAAAAACAAGCATCACATTATGTGTTTTGTCATACTAAAATAATGATGTAAGATCCACACAAGCTTCCATTTACAAGCAGATAAAAGTACCTTAAAAGTAAAGTTACATGTGGCTAATTCTTGCTAATCAATAAATATTTCAGGGAAAGGTAGATGTCTTAATTGTTAAGGCTTCACTGGTTAAGGAAGGTCAGAAAATTGTTTTGGTCCTGAACTCTAGCGAAAAAAATTAATTGAGTTTTAGAAGTGTTTCTGGTCTTTCTGGTTTTTACATTGCCGTGTTTGTTTCAATAAGGTAAATTCTGTACACTTACACTGTAGATTTATATTGATTATAATTTCACCAAATTACAGCTGATCATTGGCAATAAGTATTTAAGCAAGTTGTATATTAACTAAATATGGTGTAATTAATTAAAAAATAATGATTCATGATTAATAATTTATAATTATTGATCCTCTCTGATTATTAGTTTTTCTTTTTTGGCCTGGGGAGGGGGGGGTGTTAAGATGACTTTAATGCTAGTACATGCTTGCAATGGCTTGTCTGAAATATTATAAATATAATAATTGCTTTCTTTGCACCCTAAATTGACTGTGAACATCTTGACAATCTTGAAAAATTTCTTCTTAAAAATATTTAAATAATATTTTTTATTGTTATCATTTTGCATTTGATTACTTTATGTTCCAATCACAAGTTAAAAGGAAGTGTGTGATATGATGTCTTCAAAAGTTATAAAATTGCAGTATGGAGTATCTGAAGTTTTTAACCTTTTTTTGTTTTTCTTTGTTAGTCTGAAAGAGGGGGAAAACCAACAGTTGAGGTTTTAGGTAAGTTTCAGTTAATAATATTGGATTATCATATGCATTTTTCATTTATTGTGTAAGCTAATTTAAGCTCATCTAGCAGACCTCAATGGCCCCTGGCATCTAACATTTTCTTCTGAATAATAGAAAATCTTAGTACTTTTATAGAAATCACATGCCAAGCACCCTGAATTTCACAGACATAGAGCACCAGGGCTTCCTTTTAGTTTTTTTGCAGGGAAGGCACAGCCTAGAATAACCTATTGATTTCATGGTATATTGCTAGCAGCCTCATTTTGCAGCAGTAACCACTTCAGTTCTGTAGAATTTCAGAGTGTGGCAGCCTAGCTGTTTACTTTTGGTTGGACTAAAGAGATAGGAGTTCACTGCTATCCAAAGACAAAACAGCCAAATTTCTGACTAAAACTGAACTGAATAAATGTAGTAATTCACAAATATTATTACTGGATGGATGTTTGCAAAGTATCTGCTAGCAAAAAATCTGTTTTGTATCCTGAAACTATGCCAAGAAACAGGCAAATGGTTGAGGAAAGTCTACAAAGATGTAAGGTTGTTAATAACTTTAATATATTTAGAGAAAAATCAAAATAATAAAACAATAGTAATTATCATGTGAGGGTTTTGTATGATGCGGAGAATTTGAAAGTGTATGCATATCTCAGAAGCTACTATCCAGTAAGGCCAAATCCTCCTCTGCAAAATTATTCACATCACATTAGTTTTAGCCTTATTCAGTAATAATTTTAACCTTATGTTAATGATAACACACAGATAATGCCGTAACTAGTGATTTTCCAGAAGAGCTAGTAGATGTATTTTCTGATGAGTCAGAGGCAGGGACAAAGCGACCTAAAGACAAGGTAACAGCTTGAATGCATTATTGTAGTTGAAGTCTAATTATGGGTACAAGGTGTTTCATAAGGGATGAAAATGATGTTTCATCTGGTAGTGAATATGTCACCCGAAGATAGAGCTTAGAAATGGCTGTCATATGCACATGCTCAATATAGAGATGATACAGTATAAACCCAAGTGGTGTTTAGAAGCTGTTAGGTTAAAATTTGCCCAGTAGGCACCCCCTATACAAGAACCAGTTTAATCTTACTCGCGGGTTTTTCCTCCATATGTACAGCTGTTTACAAACAAAATTTTTTTATAACGTTAACATTAGGTGAAGTCAGAGGTATCGTCATTTTTGGTGATAAAATTAAGGACTGATATTGTGTTTACGGAATGTTTTTCCAGTTAAGCGGATGAGTTTAGTAGGCAAAAGTCGTATATCGACCACAGGCGTTTATTGAGTTTACTTGAGTTTTTGTCTGGTGTGAAAAATCTAAAAACGTAACTGGAACTTCTACATCACATCTGAAAAGCTTATAAACAATGTCGCATTTTAAAACTCTTCTTTCACTACGATTTCGTACAAAAATACGACAACACCTGGCTCGAGGCAGATGGAAGTTGCTTGAAGCATTGACACTTAAATCAAGGTTAAACTTGGAGCGAGTGAGAGAAACCCTAGTTATTAATACATAGCCGTTCTTACCTCCTTCCTTGATGATTTTTCCATTTTTTCTAAAGATTTTTTGCTGTCATTTATAACTTCTCGCACTTAGAAAACTCTCCTGGCTTTCAGCGTTCTTGCTTCCACAAAAGCATGTCTGCTTCTGGCGGCCCGCGCGTCAGTCGTGAAAATGGCGGGAAAATACCACAGGCCAACCACAGGAAGGCCCGCGGCTACCAGCCCCTGCTTGGGAAATGAGCCCGCGTTAGGGACGGACCTTTAGAAAACTTATTGGGTGGGGGGAGGGGTTGGGGGGGCGGTCGAAGTACAAAAAAAAAAATTCGCGCAAGGGAAAATTAAATGAAAAAAAATTTTTCCACGCCAATTAACCCTAAAAAATATTCATGCTATGGCCTAAAAAAAATTCATACAAGGAATTTCATAACGAACAAAAATTCCTGCGGCTCGAAATCCCCCCATAACGTTTCTAATGGTCCGTCCCTTACTCCCTCGAAAAGCCTCTTCTCTGGTAGTCTGGTCTAGTCTGGTAGGACTGAGAGAGCGGTTGAAGCGTCGGCGGAAGCGCGAAGCTCACCATCTATCTTATTGTTGCGGAGTGTGATCCTTAGATCCTTATATATGACCGTGACGGCTATAGTAAAATAAAGTAAGCTTCTCTAAAAGCGATATTTTCAGGTTTTTTTGGAAAAATCAAAATAGAAGAAAAGAAATAGAATTTTAATCTGTCTTTGTTTTGTCGGCTCAACCTGGTAAAAGAAAAATAAACAAACTCGTAATCTGATCAAAAAGCGTATGGTAAGACTGTGGTTCCACCAACGCTGAAAAAGGGCGGATTAGGTTGCCACCTTTAAAAAAAAAAAGAAAGTCCATGAAAAGCAAAGTGCGTGTTCATTTTATGGGCCAGAATGACATCAACTAGATCCATTATACACTTAAATCAAACAAAATAATAGGAGGAAAGCAGTTGTGTTTTTTCAGCTACGTTGCTTCATTAAAAAAACACGAGCAATTGTTTCAAACCTGTCAAAGGTTTTACGTTTTATATGAAACATTAGGCACATTTAACGTAGCTTCGGTATTCACAATTCTTCCTGATCGATTGAATTCCAGACCATATGAAGTGACTTCTTGTAATAACATATTTCTTGTATTGCTTTTTAGACCGATAGTGGTTCGGGCTACGAAAAAGTTTTATTCAGGTTAGCCTGTATTACACTGTATCAGATATTCTTTTTTATTGACTTATCAGTTAGAACTACCGAGAGCAGGGGCGTAGCCAGCCCATAGACCTGTAGGCCCGGGCCTACAAAATTTTTGGTTTGATCACTCTACCGCTTGTAATAAATCAGTATGCGTTGTTGGGGTGAGCTAAAAAGTTTAAGAGCTCAAAGTGTTGGTGAGGTCAGTGCGTACTAGTCATGCGTGCAATTTTCAGGATATGTTGAAATGATAGTTAGCCATGCCTACAACTAGTCGAAAAGCTGGCTATGCCCCTGAAGAGTCATGATCAGCAAATCCAGCCCTTATTTCGGCTACTAATTACTCTAGAAAAGACTGCTGGATTAAGTCAGAGTATGGGACAAACGCTCTGTCTTCTGGAGAGGCTTCGTGAGAATCCACTGAACATGGTGGAAGGCGCCGCCTGAAGTCAGGGGTCATTTCGTTTCAGAAGAATCCGCCGAGTGAGTTGGTACGCACCGCCTGAAGGGTCTTACGGTTTTCATACCTGCATTCACTTTGCGCAGCGGAAATCATCTGATCCGGGAACATCTTTAGGGTTTTACCCAGTTAATAAGACACGATTCTCACTTTTCTTGTAACAAAAAATTGTGTTTGCTCAAATCGCAAAAGTTTTTGTCTGAAACTCATTGAATTAATAGGTTGTCAGATGCATCAGCTCAGATGACGTTCGAGGAAGTTGCTCGAGGAAAGGAAGTGACAAAGAGTCGACTGCAAAGTGATGATGGTATGCCTTCTTTGTCAAAGCTCCACAAAAAATAGTAATACAAAGACAGTGATCTCAGAGAACAGTTTGGGCCCTTAACATGCAAATCCTAAGAAAATGCTGCAGAAAAAAAAACAAGAACAAAAACAAATACAGTCGGTCCGATCGCACAGTGCCCGCCCCAAATTTTCAATGTCTAATAAAAAAAAATCGACCCAAGAAAAAGTAGGGAAACAGATAATAACTTCCTTACATGTATTGATATAAAAGATCAAAACTTCCTTAGAAGGTACTTCTCTGTAGTCTGTGATTACAATCAAATGTATTGATACACTGATACATAAAGCAATTTCAAGAAACGTTATCGGAAAAAGTGCACGCGACAATACCGAAAGGCATTGTGGATAGTTTTAAGTTAACTGTTGTTCAAAGAAATTTGACAGATTAGCTCGAGAGGCCATGGACGTATGTTTGCGGGTGCGAAAGGAAAGAAACAAAAGTACTTTCGACGGCTACGTTGCCTTGAACAGTGTATTGATCATATCCCATACAGTAGAAACTCTCGTAAGCGACCACTTCGGAAATTCGAAAAAATGGTCGTAACAAGAGCTGGTCGTTTACGAGTTCTTTAAAAACTCATTAATAAGGAAAAAACAAAAGAAATAAATGTTTAATGAGTGCCTTTTCATCAACGAACCATTAGCGCAGTGTGGAGTTTCATTAAAATGTTGATTTGTATGAATACTGAAGACCCTGAGTGGTTGCTTACGAGAGCTAAACACAAAGGAAAAAGTCCAGTTGGGTATTCCCAAAAATGGTCTCTGTCGCATACGGGAGAGGTCGCTTACGAGAGCTTTTCAGTACAAAGTTTTAAGTCACAGTTCAAACGGGGTTTCACAAAGTTGGTCCTAATTAGAGCTGATCGCTTACGATCGGGGTCGCAAGGAGAGCTTCAACTGTATTACCTTTCTGGATTGTCGCGTGTACATTTTTCCCGACAAGCCTTTCTCGAAGTAGCTGTCCGACATAGGGTGAAGTCACAATCAACCCTGTAAGCCCTTCTTTGATGGAAGCCGTTGCGTATCTAGGGGAGGCAGGGAACCGTCCCCTCCCCCCCGGGCTCCCACCTTTTTTTAGGCCAATCTTTTCGAAGTCGGGCCCCCTCTTATCTTAGGGACTGGGTCCGCTGCTGGGAAGATCAGATGATGACAATGGTGGAGTTAAGGGGGGGAGGGGTTAATTGCGGTTCAAAAGCTATATGCAGCGAATACAAAGCTATAAATGACATAGAAACAAATACACTGGTGCTGTCTCAATGTGTCTCGTTTTTTTCTGTACCACTGACTTGTGAAGTTTTTTTTCAGTTTTCATCTTGGATTCAGGAAAACATTGTTTTGTTTGGATTGGCAAAGGTGCTAGCGAGGGAGAGAAGAGAAATGGATTTTGTCGTGCCCATGTAAGTTTTGACGCAGGTTCACCACACAATAATCTCTTGACTACACTTATGGTAGTTTTGACTCAGGCTCGCCACGCCAATGTAAGTTTTGTCACAGCATCACCACTCTCGTTTGATTTGTTGGACTGTGTGGAATAAAGTACTAGTTTTCATGTAGCCTGATTTAAATCGAAATTGAAGGCTGTAAGAATTGATGAAAAGATCAAAGCGGTCATATAGTGAACAAATTCTCTCTTGTAACCGCGCACTTGAGCCAGTGGTAACAGAAATAATTTTTTCTTCTACAGACCTACCTTCAGGGTTCTCAAAACCCGTATCAACCGGTATCTGTTGTCGAGGAAGGAAAGGAAACTGTTGAATTCCACCATGCCTTTTGAGGTACTGATCTTTTCTATTTATTTTGAACATAAAGTCAACAAGGTGTGGTTTGAATTTCCAGAAACGTTCGTTTTTATCCCAGCAATACGGACATTACGTCATCAGGATACCGGAATCCCAGGTAACCGGAGTGGTTGGGTTGTCATGTAATAAGAAAGTTGATTTTTGTTGCATTTATTTAAGGGGTCGCGACCTTGGCTAAGCGAGCAATGCAAGCCCTAGCCCACCCATGTCATCAGGCCACCACTACAACCGACCCCACCACCATTTTTCCTGTTATCTCTGCTTGCCTAAAATTTGATTCTTGACTAATTAAAATTGACAGGGAAACTGCTTTTGTGCGGAAGAAAAAAGGAGCCTGTGATGAACTTTATTACTGTTTAAGTGACCCCAGATTAGGAACAATCTGCCCTCAAACAACTTAGCCCAGGTGTCTAATTTTGACCTTTTCCTCTTTTTAGGTGTAATGCCAGTTACCGGAGGAAAAATGTCTGAACCCCTAGGATTTAAATTTTAGTGTTTTTCGTATTAGTATGTATGAAAATTTCTAGGTGCAAAACTGGGTTAAGGAGAAACCGCTTCAAAGCTGTTGGTTATTATAAAATCTCTTTGTTAATTTTACCATGAATGGCTACTGAATAACACTTAATTATCAGTCAAGTCGATTGACAGAACAATTTCAATATAATTTTTGATGTTTCAAAGGTTGTGTGAGAGTGTATTAAGCGAAAATAATCAATTCAATATAAATAAAGGATTAACTTAACATAAACTTGTGTTATGAGGTCTTTTGAAGCAGCAGAGAGCGCAGAGGCTCTCTCCCTGGTCTACCGAGGCCTGTTTCTTTCGAATGAAGGTTGGGGAGGGGGGGGGGGGGGGGGGCGGGAGAAAAGAAAGCGCGCGGGAAATGATGGGAAGAGGAAAGAGAAGCACGCTACTGCTACGAGGCAGGGCGGGGGACCCCAGGTCGGTGAGGTAATCCGCTTCAGCTGGGTAACCCGCTTGCTCATATCATCTCTCATTTTTATCACGTTTACATGATAGGTGGATGGGGTGACCATATGAGAGATTATATGGCCAGGCAGGTTACCTCAACTACCCGGGGTCCCCCACCTCCATGTTAACAGGCCCTTAATTATTTGTATTGGAATACCCAGGGGAACCCTCTGCGAGGAGAGAGGCGCAGAAGAGATATGAGTGACATTGTTGCCAGTTAAGGTGGCTCGACCCAGTTTTTCAGTCGCCATACCTACTTTCTTTAAGGGGTATCCCCGGGAGAACTTGCTCCCAGATCACCCTCTTCTAAAGTAGCCACTTTATTTCCCTTCTTGGTCCCAGATATTGGTACCCAATTTGGAAACCAAGCTCTCGTTATCCAAGTCAAAGGCCCTGGGGACAAGGGTGCCTTGTTTGGAGCTTACTGGAAAGAGTATTTCTCACAACGGTGATCCCCGAACTTTATAAGATGCCTCACAGTCATCTTACAATGTTCGTTCATCAGCGTCTAACGACAAGGAACTAAGTTTGATCGCCAAACGATGCTGGAATAGGAAAATCAGAAAGCGGATCATTTTACATTTCTGGGAAACTGCCCACCTACCCCTCCCCTAAGCCAACATTAACACTTACTTCTCACTTAAGGCAAAATGCTGGTTTAGGGAAGGGGTAGGTGGGCAGTTTCCAAGAAACGTAAAATGATACCAGAAAGCCATGCATGAATAGCGGTGAAGTTTTGTCTGTGCCCTGGAGTTTCAGGCGCCGTCCAAACGAATCTGGATATTTTTGAAACCCTATATTTTTTTAACACGAATCAACCTTCAGTCGACGACGCGAAACCAGTTCATTCGCTCGCCGAACCCGCATCTTCTTAAGCCCTGTCCACTCGAATCCGGGTAAAAATATGCGGTTTTAAAATGCCCGGATTCGTGTGGACGGGGCCTAAAGGTGATGTTACACGAGACGATTCGCAACAACGATTTTTAGCGCAAAACGGCGTTGCAACATTGTTACAACATTGGGTGGAATGGTTACAACATTGTTCCAACATTGCAACGCTATGTTGCGCTAAAGATCGGCGTTGCGAATCGTACCGTGTAATCGTACCTTAAAACTCGGCGTTATAACTCGGCTCTAAAAATAAAATAATATTTTAGTTCTTCCTTTTGAGAACTCTCTGCCCCCGTCCCCCCCCCCCCGTTCTTTTTTCCACTAGACAGTAAAAATCAAATTAAAAAATTCAAATTGTAATGCGCTATTTAGTTTTTTTCCTTAATCAGGTCCAGTTTGATTAGACTCCTCATTTTCATTGAATTAAAAGCAACTAAAAGCACACTGGGAATTATTACTGACAACTATTATACAGACAGAGGGAGATTATACAATGATTATAATTTTGGGAAAAATAGTGCTCTAGAAATTTAGAATATACGGTCGTAAATTGCTTTTAAAAAGGTAACGTGTGAATTGTCCAAGTTGTGGGAGGATGAACTCCCTTTGCGGTTTTATTCACTTTAATTAGCATGACAGAAGACCGAAGACAAGGAAAGACAAGGATTGATTAAGGACAGATGTATTTTTAATGCGGCCTTTCTTCGCTGGTCACTCTATAATAAAAAGATCTTTTCTTCTACCGAAGAAGTTAAATTAATTTTCAGTGTCTTGCATTAGGAAGACAATCCAAAGAAAATTAACCAAGAGCCATTTACAAGTACCTCAGCAGACATGCTGTTCCTACCCGCAAAATACACCAAACAGCAACATTTTTTCATTTACAATTAGTTTAGCAGAGTGTTTCACGAATTGATGTATATGAATATTAGTCTTAAAGTCGCGATTAATAATTTATTTAGGCTCTCGAAATGAACCGGAGATTTCTCAAGCACTATAGAGTATTTTTTCAGTTTATAAGTTTCCCGCGCTAAAAGAAAACCTGTAACATAAAAATTGTTTATTTTAAAGGCACGTGTGTAAATAGACGACTTAGAACTTTTTAGGATAGTTTTACAATACTGAAGGGAAGGTTGAGGAGTTATTTAGGTTCTAAGGATGGATTTTCATTATTCATACTTATCTTGACCCAAAATTTACGACCTAGTTAATATTTTATGATAATGGCACCAAAGTTAAAGTAAAATTCTTTATGACAAGAAGACGACTTTAAACACCTAGTCTGAACCTTTGGCGAAATAAAAAAGTGCTAAAATCTACGTGTTGTACATTGTATACAACATGTATAAAGGTCTTTTCTTATTCAAATTTCTTTTTTGACTTCTTGAATTTATATGTTTTTACTAGCTCGTTACATTTTGGGTACGTTTCCTAGTAGTGTTTTAAGGTTTTGAAAACCTATGTAATCAGAATAATACTGATTTTGTTGTGCAATATCGTTTTCACACAACATCCACAAAACATGTTATAATGTAACTATATTTTACTTTTTCCTTCCAAACCAACTTCGAAGACACCCACGTTCTGATGTCGTCTCCGTTTGGATGAATATAGCTATTCATTACAATCAATGTTCCCACGTTTTTGAAATCTGGCCTTAGGCTCAAAAACTGAGGTTACTATCATATTTTTCGTACATTATATAAAAGCGTATTTCTCGATTTCATACGAGTTAACAATGTAACAGGAAATCTCCTCGTTGTGCATACATTTCCAATTTGAATAATTCATGTCGCTTGGCCTTTCTGTAAATTTACAATTCTAAAATGACAGCGCGTAGAAAACAATAAAAACTGTATTCATTTGAACCACCTGTCATAGTTGTATGTGTCGCCTACTTTGGTACAGCGAACAAAAATTTAAGCGAAAACATCGAACTTGATCGAATTTGCGCGGATCAATATCTAATTGAAAACCCATTCGAGGGGAAGTAATTTCTTTTTCTGTCTATCTCCCGAACTCGCTTAGTGAAATTTAAAGGAGCGTCAATTGCTGTGTTTTTGATTGCTTTATTGCCATCCGGGAAGTCAAATGGACGAAGAAGAGATCAATAGTGGATTGAATCACATCGGTGAACAACCGACCCCTTCGGCTGGACTGAGCCGCAACTCCATGACTCTGATAACAAAACCGACATCTAGGGAGGAAAATGGCAATAAAGGACGAAGAATCATCATCAACGTGAGTGGCCTACGGTTTGAAACGTACGAAAAAACTCTTTCGCAGTTCCCGGCGACACTGCTTGGCTGTGCGGCAAAAAGGGACTTCTACTTTGACAGCGAAAACAATGAATACTTTTTCGACAGAAATCGGTCTTCGTTCGAGGCCATTTTATTTTTTTATCAATCAAATGGCAAGCTTGTACGACCGAGTGGTGTTCCATTTAACGTCTTTGCCGAAGAGGTGAGGTTTTTTGAACTCGGTAAAGAGTATCTTCAGCGACTAGAAGTGGACGAGGGATACATCGCCGAGGAAAAACCAAAAATGCCTGCCAATCAAACACAGAGGAAAATATGGGAATTATTTGAGTACCCGGACAGCTCGCTGCCGGCGCGTTTTGTAGCCTTGTGGTCGGTATCGGTTATTTTATTATCGATCATCGTATTTTGCTTGGAGACTTTACCAAGATATAGATGCGTGGAATACCCGCAAGGCCCAGGTTGCGAGAAATACCAAAATGTGACGACCTCAGACACTAAAACTAGTGGAAAAAATGATGTTTGGTTTATTATTGAGGTTTTATGCATCACTTGGTTTACTGTTGAATACGTCGTGCGGCTACTATCTTCACCGCAAAAATTAGTCTTTATTCGCACGTTTCTCAACATTATTGACTTAGTGGCGATTCTGCCTTACTACATCACACTTCCAATGAACGAAACTCGCGTTACATCTTTGGCTGTGCTCCGTGTTATTCGGCTGGTACGCGTTTTTCGCATCTTCAAACTGTCGCGCCACTCCAAAGGTCTGCAAGTGCTGGGCTACACTTTGCGTTCAAGTTCAAGAGAGCTGGCCATGCTCATTTTCTTTCTGATGATCGGTGTGGTGTTGTTTGCTAGCGCTGTGTTCTACGCCGAACAGGATAGCAAAGAAACCAAATTTAGCAGCATCCCGGATGCTTTCTGGTGGGCAGTGGTTACCATGACAACTGTTGGGTAAGAGAAAAATTTGTTTTTTTTTTTCAAAGTGCATGAAAGAACTTTTCTCCCTCAGAGTTGTTCAAGTTGAAAACACAAAGGAATAGAAAACAGCACAAAACAGATCAAAGTGGTGGTAGTATCTCTTAATTAAAAATTTGAGAAATATTATGCAGAAACCAGGAGCCCATCAAGGCCAAAAGAAAAAAAACAGAAGAAGCTGTCCTCGACATTCCTCGTTGCCGGGGTTACCCTTCTTCTCGGAATAGTAAGAAAAGGAGGTTTTAAATATAGCCACTAAACTACTGAAATGGTTAAATAAGGTAATAAAGTCTATTCAGGAGCATTGAAGACCCATTGCACCTTTTTTAAAAGGTTAAACACAGAAGTCAAGGTGAAGAAATTAAAAGCTCAAGAATCTCAAGTATTGATCGACCGCAAAATTTGGCATTACTGATGTTGTTATGCATTTAGTTGATTAATTTATACCGGCATAATATCATAAAAACTGGCATCATTAAGTCAAATTTAATGTTCGGAGTAGTTCTACAAAGGGAAAAACAACTGAAATTCATAAAATTTATTTATAACTACGTTGTTTTTATTACAGCATTCAATAAAACCTTGAGTTTACGGAAAATGTTAAATAGTTAATATTGGGAATATTTTCCGGTTAGAACAGGCTAGAACTGTTTAGCTTTCAATATGCCGAATAAGAGATATTCAACGTACGCAGTAAAATATTTGAATTTATAAACGAGAGGTAAAGTACTATATATACTTATCTATATTAAACTTAATTATTAGTGAGCCCAAATTGCTTTTAGATAATTTCCATAAAATGGAGTTTTGTTTTATTCAAACGACAATTGCGGAAGAGTCAACTGAAGAATATTTATTTCCAGTCAGTCTGGCGGAAAGAAAAGCGACTGATAATTGCTCAATGAGACACAAGAGAGATTTGATATCTTCTACAAGACATGTTTGTACAAACATATTTTTTTGTATAGCATCTTAGATTGAATAATACCTCTAATTATTTTAATTCCTATTGCATAAGCACTACCGTTGTTTAAGTTACGCAAACTTGGCAAAACGTTTGAAAATGGAGATCGCGCATTATTACCAACACTGCGGTGCTTCTAGGTGAGCTACGCTGCGTTAGTTGCGCAAATTACTCTGACAATGCCCGAGGTCGGAAAAAAAATTAAAACAAAATTAAATTCATAGAAAAAAATTCGAATTTAATAAGCTTGAGTGGTACGACTTGTAGTCTAAACATACAAGCTGTCAAAAACACTTGGATTATTATATAAACTTGTTCGCCACCGTAAATATTAGATGAAACACTTCACTTGTGTCCGGCTTATAAGCACCGGATGTAATATCCCTCTATAGGAATATCTTTTCTAAAAACTAAATGGACATCTTTGAATTTCAAAAAGCAAGTTTTGTGTTGTCTCAGTGAGATTGGTATAGACGTATCATGGTGCATGTTTTTTGCTATAAATTATCCTACTGACCTGTATAGTTATACCTAGGAATTACCCCATTTAAGGGAAGAATGATAGCCTTGGATTCTGGAATCCACCCTGAGGATTCCGGATTCCGAGTACCTGATTTCTTCTTCTTTTGTCAAAGACACTTGTATTCCGGATTCCCACACCCACAAGTAAAATTTTCCCAGATACCCTTACACGGGGCGATAGGAAGTCGATCTCTGCAATATCTACAGTTTTACAACAAAAACCGTGCTGCGTTCATCTTTATCGTTGCAGGATATAGACAAAAGCTACAATGAATTGTAAATGATATTTGGGCATTTTCAGCCGCGGATAGTGTCGCACAAAAAGAGATAAAGGAAATCTCCAGATGTACCGGGGAGTCGCATACTCTGCTTACCAAGGCACAGCTATGATATGTCAAGGTTATAGATAGATTAATAATGTTCTTTCAGTAGGATCAAGGAAAGATTGAAAGACAGCACGAAAATGTGAACCTGTTTTGTCTTTTCACCCTGATGAGTTACCCTCAACTACACTACCAAAAGCGCATTATTGGAGCTTCCATTTCTCTCACAAATTTTCAGGCTATATAAAAGACGTGGGCGAGCACCCATCACAGTGCATGTTTTTTGCTATAAATTATCCTTACCATATAAATTTTCCTACTGACCTATATTAGTTATACCTAGGATTACGGAGAGATAAAAACACAGCACGAAAATGTGAACCTGTTTTGTCTTTTCACCCTGATGAGTTACCCTCAATTATACTGCCAAAAGCGGATTATTGGAGCGTCCATTTCTCCTACAGATCTTCAGGCTATTTATAGATAGGCGTGAGCATCTAAGGAGCGTTTATCAAGGCATAAAACATCGACTGCCAAGTTTGAATTGTGCCCAATTATTATTAGTATGAAAGTAGTATTATTCGGCCGGCCAGTAAAGACCTGATAGTCTGACCCGCTGTTTCACCTCTGATGAGCAACGGATGGAGGTTCTGGGCCGGGTTGGAGTTGATGGGGTTTAAAGCTTAACTTGATGGTGTTGCCTTTGTTTCCTTAGGTTTTCGTGGTCAGTTTGTGTGTTTCTTATAACGCCACTTTAAATAAATAAATGAATAAATATATAAATAAATAAATTATTTATTTATTTATTTAAATCCTTGCTTCGTTTGCCAAATTCATATATTATAACCATTATCTGCTCTCAAGAGGTTGCCAGAAAGTCTCAAGAGAAGCATTATCTAATTGTAATTTCCATTTTTAGGAAATACCCCCTGGCTGGGGGGCGGGGGTATTTAGAATAATGATGCCAAAGAGGATGGAGAAAAGTTGCCAAAATTCCCCTGCGCCTTCCTGTTTAAGTTTAGGAATACGTCCTCAATGTTTATAACTTGTATCGGTCCAAACAACTGGTACATGGTGGGGAGTCTGAACACGGCCTTGACCGTACAGAGCTGGTCCCACGGCTGTGTCATGCTGATGAGCCCTAATAAGGGTGAAATAGCTGTCCATGGCTCTCACTTCTCGGGTGATATTGCTGTGCGCATGCGTGAAGTACTGGCCAGACCGTGGGTTGTTGATCATGAGCCACGTACTTTTAAGTTCGTAGTTATCCTTGCTTCGAAACTCGTCCCCTACGAGTTTCCAAGGAGTCCCGGTGATTAAAAACACTCGACAGTTACCCCAGGGAACATACGGCATATAAAAAAGGCAAAATTTAATCCTTTACTTAATTTTTGTTTCATTTTTGATTTTTTAATTTTTGGTTGAGGGCCACGCGAATATTATCTGTGGATATCAAGTGAAACCCTCGTTGAAAAAACTATCTATCTATCTATCTATCTATCTATCTATCTATCTATCTATCTATCTATCTATCTAGCTATCTATCTAAACTTGTAGTAACTACCATAAACGAGTGGAATTAGAATACTCCTAGTTAAAAAGATTAGAAAATCAGAAAAGAAAAATAGAAGAAATATAGAGGGAAAAAAGAGTTAAAGTAGTTGGAAAGTGGCGGTAACGTTACATCCATTTAGATTTCCCATATTACCGTGTTTTTGCTTTTCCTCCTCCTTCCACCTCATTCCCGGAGTTCTGTCCTACTCGTACCTTATCTCGCTCCTTAGGGAAGAGTAGGGGAGAACACTGGGAACAAGGGTGCATCTCCTTAACTATCTTTTCTTTTTCAGATACGGTGATATGACGCCCCGGACCTTTGGAGGTAAGATTGTGGGCTCAATTTGCGCTATATCGGGCGTTCTTACCATCGCTCTTCCTGTTCCTGTTATAGTTTCGAACTTTAACTACTTCTACAAACGAGAAGAGTTAACCCAGTCTTTGGAGATGGCCGAAAATGGCCAGTGCGGAACAGAGATACACGAACCTAACGAGGCCTTTAACGGACCCCTAATCAGTCCTTCAGGGCAGATGACAGTCAGTTCATTTGATACCCTTGGAACAGAAGAGGTCCGAGTAAAAACTGAAACTCCCGTATAATCACGTGATTTTGGACAGCAGCCGAGGCTAAAACTGTGGAAGTTTTTTGCTTCAAATCAAAGGGCGTTCGGAAAGGCTATTATTTGTGCATTAGCATCTTACGAAAGCCAGTTTAATCAACTGAAGGCTATTGATGATTCTAGTTGTAGTGCGTTTCCATAAAGTTAAGTCCTGCACCGCCTTTGCCGGCATGATTCACGAGGAAACAAGGTCAAAGAGGACAATAGAGGGCTTTCTTCCAAATATTAAATCTAGGAAACAAGTTGAATGGTGCAAGTATTTAACAAGCCTCGTGCAGAACGCAACATGCTGAATATTCCAATATAATTTTGAAGTACCAAGCGTTGGCATTTCTAGAAAATATTCCTCTCTATATATTATTTGGATACAAGAAAAACTTGTCACAGATGTAAACTATTATTGACTTGCGTCTTATGGGCCAAATTGAAAGCGATTGCGAGACATATTATCTGTCCGTTAAAACCATTAGTTACAACCTTTCATTCTAGAAGGAGGACACAAACAACGTTATACTTTCTGTAGTTTTGACTTTGATTTACCGGAGGATTCCAGGACACTCGTTTCTGTCGCCATCTTGCCTTGGAATTCCCCACTCCTGAAACTATGAGGGAAGGGGTACAAACTTTCGGCGCAACTACGTTTTGGATCGTTAGGGTGAACAAACATTAGTTATGATTGGTCGATGGTATTCAGCACAACCATTAACCAGCCATAAGAAAGGCTTGTCCACCAAAGCGATCCCAGAAATCGTCGCGCCGAAAGCTTGTAGCCATTTCCCCTATAGATTATTGAGAGGGTGGGTATCCCCATTCCCAAAACCCTAGTGATATGGGCATCCCCTTCTCATATTACCTTAGTGATTTGGGTTATCGTTAGGGTTACAGGGAATGCCCATATTACTAGGGTTTTGGGAATGGGGATGCCCATATCAATGTGACCAGGGAAATAGAATTTTCCAGGATTTTTTAACATATCCTGAAAAGCCACTACGGTGAAAAAGATTCATCTTTGGCATCGAAAAGAGCTTTATGTCATAAACAATAATAAGGGGGCTATCCCCTTTTGTCTTGGATACAAAAACCGAAAGAACTTGAAAACCAAGACATATTTGGATGCTCGAGATATCACATTACAGCAGCACTTCTCGTCAATGGTGTGTAATTGCTTTAATGAAAGAGGAATTTCCCTATAACATAACGCATTTGATAAGGCCCTGATGTTATACTGATCAAGGTTAGGAAGCTATAATGTAAAATGACAATCGCCGATGGAGGAATTTTAAATTGAATAAGTAGGTTTTGCTTGCAAAGCTCAGAATTTATGATATATAAATTTTAAAACGTACCTCTGTATCATCCTAGTTAGAATACTATTCTGATAGTCAGTAGCATTGGGCAGTCATTTGTAGAACAAGGAGAGACGTTTGGGTAGTTCACTTAAAATAATTATAGTCCTAGTTATGAATAAGTAATATAGTTAACGGAAATTTTATCCTCTCAGGGCCTTGAAATAACTAATATTTAGTTTCTCCTTAATTTAATAGTTCTTAAGCAAACAAAAAGGCAAGAAGAATAAAGGGAACGATTATCACCTATTCATTGTAACAGTATTAAAACAAATCTTCCTCAATGGTAACAAATAAGGGAATATGCACTTTGATCTTAGGGTTAGTATAGTTAGCGATTAAAATCATTTCATGTTGTCCAAGCCTAACATTATCTTCACACTTTACAAGAAAGGAAACATGTTGGCATGGGCTTGTAGCTAACATTTTTAAACACTTAGGAGACAACCATTTGACTTTTAGTGGGGGGGTGTGAGGGTATGGGTGATTTGGTTTGCGTAAGGAATCCTTACCTTAATTTCAAAGACATATTGAATTGCCCATTTCGGGAAATTTCCTTGTTTTGTGGATGGTGTAATCACCAAATGACATAATACAAAAGATTGACGAGAGGATGAAGAAAAAGAAAACACTTTCTCAGCCTTCTGTTCCTCGCCCCCTTCCCCATCGTTCTCTCGTTTGACCTCGGTTCAGCTTTCGCGCGCACGGCGGGCTCGAGAAAACTGCAATATCCACGCCACAGCACAATACCATTTACCAAACTAATAATAGCTTCTGCACTCCCCCTCCCCCCTCCAACTTCCGAGTTGCCCCAATCTTTTTTTCAAAGCGAGGCCTCTCCGCTGGGTATCCCAATAAAATTAGCAACAATGGAAAAATTGAAAGCGCTTCTCTCTTTCCCCTCCCCATCATGCCCCGCGTGCTTTCGTTTCTCTTCCCCAGCCTCCCTACGAGACAAAGAGGCCTCTCTGGAGGAGATAGAAGCGAGGCCTAGTACACAATCATTCATTAGAAAATGAGCGTAATTTGCAGTAAATGACAACTTATTTTCATTATTTGTCCACTGCGAAAGGCTTATCAAAGTAATTTGAGTTGTACAAAGGAAGTTTTGCAAAAAGGACAATGAACACAGATAAAAACTTATAATTTACTGGCTATCTGTCTTTTGTAATAAGGGGTGAAGTAATGTGCCTTACACACTCAAAAAGGTGCTGCAAATAAAGCCGATGATATTAGCTGCAGTAAATGGGTAATTTAATTTGTGTCTTAAAGTTGTAAAACACAACAACATTAAATAAAGAAATGGAAACAAGCAAACCTAGTAAATTGTGTTAAGAAACACTTGACACGCTGGCTCTACCCGGACAATGACGAGTCGTAAACCTTGACATCATCGTATCGCTATGGGGTATTTACAGAACTGCAATCAAGTTATCAAGTATCGTAATAGTATCGCAACTTTCAAAAACAACTTATCTTCCCAGCGTTAAACTTGCCTCCAGTCATTCTTTGAGGATGATCGAAGGTGATACCAAAAGTCTGTCTCATACGTGAGCTGCACCTCTGTTTTATTTAGCGCTCCCTCTTTCCTTACCACCTTTAAAATCGCAATCAAATAATAATAATAATAATAATAATAATAATAATAATAATAATAATAATAATAATAATAATAATAATAATAATAATAATAATAACAATAATAATAATAATAAGTACTGTCCCTGTAAGAAGAAGGAAAAGCGAAACCTGGGACCTGTCGTGACTTGTTGTAACCCGCTCCTAGGGACTATAAACCGGGCCGAACATCCTACCTGAGTCTACAAGGAATGGACATAATAATAATAATAATGATAATAAAAAATTAAATATTATTTTAACACATGTAACGTACAAATGTACCCTAACTTTTGTGTGGCACGGGGCCAAACATTGAAGAAGTCGGTGAAGTACCCCCACGCATCTAGAATCTCTGGTATGCCAGGTATTTCTTCAAGACGTGCGCCTGTCTTAATGTACGCACCTTCTTGGTTGTCGAACAGTACTCCATCGAACTGAGAATCAAAGGCAGAATGAAAACGGTAGCAAATCGTGTCAAAAATTATGTTTCTGATTTTTTTGCAAAAATATATCTGCGGATTCATCTCAAAGACAGCACGTATCTAACCATTTGCTGACCCCCATTTACCCTCTTGCGATACACGGACTGTTTGCATCGGTCATCGGCTTCCTTATCTACTCCGCAAACATAAAACGAAAGATTCCTCGCATTCCAATAATATGACCACGATACATTTCAATAATTGAGCATGTTAAATTACTTATATTTCAATAAAAATTAAGAAATTTGAAACCACTTGCATGAACGTGTTTCGCGTCGCTTTGTTCAAATGCTGTGCAGACAGTGTTTGTGTAGCAGTTAACATAACGTTAAAGTTATCCTTCCACATTGATTCCTAGTCGGAGCACCCGCACACATGCACAATTAAAGCGACAAAGCAATAAGCTCGACCAATAAGGTAAGTAAGTAAGTCGTCAGTATGATGAATGTTGACACCCGAAAAAATCATTTGAATACTGTCTAGCCGGAAAAAAAAAGTTGAGTAACGTTTCAAACTGTCACACCCCCTTATCTCAAAGTGCTTGGTTTGTCTTACGAAGAGCTCTTCTTAAAAACAGCAGCCCACAATGATCTTGCGGTAGAAAAGGGGGTAGTTTGATCCGGTCGGAGCCCGGGGAGATAACTCTCATAGCACGGTTACCGTGGGTTAAAGTATTTTTAGTAGCATGAGTGGTCACGATACATGTCATGATCATAACATGTATCCTTGTCTCTTCTGTCAAACGATGTATCAAGAAAGCAGTTGCAATGTTAGGAACTGTTTACTTAAATTTACATTGACTTTTGTTTGCCTTATATTGTACGCGTGCACACAAGTGACAAATCATTCTGTGACAAGATATCTCCGGCGGCTAAACTGATAAAGTTTAAGCAGCTGTATGCCATACTTGAGTTGCCGGCGTGCAGCCGTCTCAAGGAAATAGGAGACGTCTGCGCGCAGGCAATATTTGATATGTCACTACCTCCTTGGAGGTGTCGAGAGGGAAGAGCAGGCACTCCTACTCAGGGATGTGATTTGGTAACCAGCTACGAGTAGGGAGGGAGTGAGGGAGGACATATTTACAAGCTTTCTCTAATGATTTGGTCACCTATTAAAACATTTTTGGGCCCCTTCATCAACACACCGCATCGCTTACACTTTTGATGGAAATGCTGTTACATGGCGATATTATGATTTGATCGGGTGTTAAATTTTGAATTTGGCAGATTTCGAGGTTTATCCAACAAAATCCCCAAACCATTAGAACGCGATGACCTAGATAGTTGACTTGGTATGTTTGTCAGTGTTAAAATCATATTTTGATAACTCTTTCGTAAAGAACTTGTGGTAAACAACCCAATAACAAAATAGGTGGAGGAGGACGCGAGGAGGGGTGGGGGTGGGGGGAGCTCGGGAGAATTGGGGGCGGACGGGGTAAAGGTGGGTGGTGGGAGATCTAAAGATCAAAGGGGTGAGAAGTGGGAGAAATAGGGGGAACTTTCGCAACAAAACCTTACAGGGCTAAAGGGGGGAAGCCAGGAAAAGGGGGCGGTTTTGACCCCTTCCCGCTAATATGAGTCTAGAGCGTCACAAAACAAACAAATGGACCATTAACTTCAATGGTTCAAACCTGTTGGTAGAAGAAGAAGGTGAAAATCCGCACCATGGTAACATGTTTCCAATTTCTCCTGGGTATTACAGTCTTCCCAAGAGAAATCCAAGACAATGGTTACGAAAAATTTGGGGAGGTAAACAACGTGCATTATGGTCTATGTGAAAATGGTGAAAGTTGGATGGATAGCAAATGAGACCCTCAAAGCTAAGTGCAAGTTTGATATGATGGGTTAAATAGCTGCAAGTCTCTAACAAAACACTTTTCTCTCTTTTTTAAGCAAGGGAATTTCTCCATGGAAGCTGTCAAACTCAGGGAATTCCTTTTGGTGGTTTGGAAATCACAGACATACTTTGGCCAACTTTATGTCTGCTTATGGCTCCTGTCTTACTTAGCGACCTTGATCGGAATGGAAATACTTCATTCTATGGATAACAACCTAAACTGTAACTACAGCTTCAAACAGCCAAATGTCAAGCTGGTATGTCCAGATTACGACAATTCCCCCCAGAAGTACCGATTTCCATTCGCGATAATTTACGGGGTTCTTCCGTTTGCCATCTGGTTTCTCTACACCGCTTACTCAGTTCCGAGGCTACGAAAATTTCGAAGGCATGAAGAGTTTAGACCATTTTGTGGTCTCTACACAGCGTATTTCATACAACTGTTTTCCAAGCTTCTCATCCACTTTGTGATGCTTTTCATTTACGTTACACAAGTGCAATTTTCTTTCCCCTCGCGTCTTCACTGTTCTCTTATGAACACTACTGACCCTGACTCGAAGCCAAAACCCATCAGTTGCAACGAGAGATACCGCGTGGAAAAGTCAGTCATGCAAACCACGCTAACAACTGCTCTAGCGGTGTTGACTTTGATTCCTTTAGTAGAACTAGTTTACGTCTTAAATATGACGAGGTCCAGAAGCAGAACGGTGTTCGTTGGAGAAGAAAATAATGAACGTGAACATCTTGATAACGGATGTTTGTGCGTTTGTGCAATACCAACCGACACTCAATTCATTTTACTTAGCCTCCACTTGAGAAAAATTGACCTTCCACGCGAACCTGAAAACCAATCTGAAACAGAACTGGAGAAATACTTTGAGGACATCAAAAACTTTTATTTGGAGAAAACCGAATACGTGGACAACCTTCTTTTACCTGACCGTGGGGTCTTAAAACTAGATGACATTTTTATCAAACCGGTCATCACGGACGGGAGACGCCCCAAATCTGCTACAAAAAATTATTTTGTTCAAAACAAGTTGGCGGAAAACAAAGAGGATTTGTCGTCTACCTTTTTGTTAACTGGAATGGCAGGAACAGGAAAGACTACATTTGCTCATAAGATAATCAGGCAATGGGCGAAAGGAGAATCATGGCTTTCGAGTATAATCAAGGTTGTTTTGTTCCTTGATTTTAACCTTCTGAAAGACGCTGAGAGAACTGTTTGTCTGAGGGAATTAATTTGCAACCAATTTCCCTTGGAATTTAACGATTTTGTGCAAGGAAATCCCGGTTCCACTTTAATTATTATTGACAACGTCGGTGAATTGAATATAGAGTTTAAAGAATCCGATTTTTCAGATACTTTAGACGAAGAAATGCCCTTTTCAGTTATGTTGGAGAAACTTATTATCGGCAAATTGTTAAAGGGCGCTACAGTTATTGGTCTGACCAGGCTATTATACAGCGGCTATACAGGGTTGGTAGGTACCGAGAGTCAAGCCGAAATCGTGGGATTTCGTCCACAGTCAGTCGAAGAATATATAAATAAGTATTTCGACAGAGCAGATGTGGAATTGAACACACTTGAACTGCTAAACCAATTTACAGACGATGCTTGTTCCATCTGCTGTGTTCCATTCAACTGCTTCTACATGTGCTCTTTACTAAAATGGCCCCGACGCCTTGATAACTCATCTGTTGTGGAGAAGAGAGAGAGAGTTCCAGAATCTCTCACACAGTTGTACATTCAACTGACTCAAATGATTTCCTTGAAGGAGGAGCAACCATCATGTTCAGTACCAACAGATGAGGGATGGTTATCAAATCGCAAATCTCCGGAAAGTAAAAATACTCCACTTGGTCTGGCCAACATTGACAGCCATGCATGCTCTTTAGCAATGAGAAGTATCGATGAAGGAAAAGCCATCTTTACCATTGACGAACTTCGTTGTGTATTGTCAGAGGAAGACATTCCAGTTTACTTTCGCCCTATCGAGCTAAACAAGGATGACCAAGAAACACGTTTCTCTTTCCGCTGGGGTTGTTTTCAAGAATTTTTAGCAGCCTACTTCACCGTCTCTAATCATTCGCTGACGAAATTCCAGAGCTTGGTTGAACAAGTCAAAGAGGACTCAACTGGAAAGCGCGACCAAGTGCTTCAATTTGCTTGTGGCCTTTTGTTTGAATTACCACAGGCCTCGGATAAGACGAAGAGAGAAGCAATTCATCTTGTCACAGTTGAATTAGATAATGGACCTCAGCAATGCAAAAGAAACCAAAAGGAACTGCAAATTGTCTTGCTGAAGTGCGTTTCAGAGGTCAAAGATCGTAAGCTTTACCGAGAGGTAGCGAGCAGGTTTATTCCTTTCGTCGAATTTCCGTGCTGTGACATTGGTGTTCCCGAATGCTCCGCCCTTGCAAATGTACTAGGTGCCTCTCCTTTTGCGTCAATAAGAAGCATCGATTTATCGGACAACAAAGTGGGAGTGATGGGCATACGACAATTAACACAGAAACTACTGCTTCCAGGAAAAGGGCCAACCGAGGAGTTTAACGTGAGAGCAAACATGCTGGGTGACCAGGGTATAAAGGAAATGACCGAAGCTCTTAAGAGGAAGGAATGCAGGTTAAAGATTCTAAATGTGGCCGAAAATTGTATCACAAGCGTTGGTGTTTCATCACTCTCTTCAGCCCTTAACTTGAACACTTTCATAGAGGAACTGAATCTAAGTGGTAACGACATCTGCAGTGAAGGCGTAGCGCAGCTAGCCACGACTCTTCGAAAAGAGAAGACTAAACTCTCAAAAGTAAACCTCGGCTTGAACAACATTGGAGATAATGGAGTTGCGAGTTTGGAGTCGATTCGTCAAAGCAGTATCAGCTTGGCATGGAACAACATTACCATAGCAGGTATTAAATCCCTGGCCTCTTTCTTTCACTCTTTGACAAACCTAGAGGAACTTGATTTGAGTGGCAATGCCATTGAAGGTGTTGGATTGAAAGTAATGCTACCTTGTTTGATGACAGCAAGTTGCAGAATCAAGCGCCTTGAACTTAACTTTTGCAGGTTATTAGACGCAGGACTAACACACTGCGCCGAACTTTTAACTTTCTCATCAAACCAAATAACTGTTCTAGGTCTCGCAGGGAACAGCATCACGAACGAAGGAGTTCGAAACTTTGCAGGAACGTTTGATTCTCCAGCATGTAAGGTGAAACATTTGATTCTAAGTCGCAATCAGATCGGAGATGAAGGAGTGGAAATTCTTTCACAGAATTTGTGCAGCTTAAATTGTACCCTTCAAGAACTGGATTTAAGTAGAAATTTAATCCACAGCAAAGGATGCAAGTCCCTCGCTGCAGCTATCAGGAAACGCAATTGCTTGCAGAGATTAGATCTGCAAGGCAATCAAGTTGGTGACGAAGGTGCCACAGATTTACTGTCATCACTCCGGATTCACAACTGCAAGCTTCACAGTTTGACACTAGATCAAAATGACATCGGCGATGAAGGTATTTCCCGTTTGCCCCACGCATTCCGAAGCCCCCATTGCAACCTGGAAAATCTTAAATTGAGGAGAAACCTGATCAGTCGAAAAAGTCTGGAATCTCTGACCGAGGCAATGAACAACACCTTCTGCCGACTAGAGCTGGCATTAAACGAGTTGGCTTAATAATCTTAATCACGTTGTTCGTTTGTACAAATGCATCTGCCAGAAAGGACCAAACACCGCAACGAAATGGTTTTCCCTAAGGGAACAGTAAAGCGTTATATCATACAAGAGTGTTACTACTATTTGTATTAACGGCTTAAAAATTGATTATTTTAAAGTGGGAATTTGTAAATTTTTTTTGTGGAATCCATAGTGGAAATTAATGCATGTGTTGACATTTGAATATCGTACTACTACAGTATTACAGACCCTTCCACCCCAGCGCCAACGCCCTCTCTCAAATACTTGCAAGTCTAGCCTAGTCGACCTTTCGATGCAGATATTCAAATTCCAGAGACGTAGTTGCAAGCCGTCCTTCCTTTTCCCGCCCCGGCGCCAGGGGGCCCCGGAGAGCTTGCTAGCAGGCTATTGCAAGTCACTTGTATTAAATCACTTCTGTAGTGTTACGATACCCTTTTACACCAACCCCTCCCCAAAATACTTGCAGGTCACTTGTAAGAAAATATAACTGTATTTCAAGTTCTTGATATTTGGGTACATATACATTAGAGATAACAAAGTTTTATTTGTATGTTACAAACTGATGTACAGCAGTAATGAAAAACAAAAGAACACTGTTCTCAGTTGTGAATAAATACAGTCACAAAGGACGTACAAGTGCCTCCTATCAAGGGAGCGCTTTTAAAAAAAATAATGCCAAGATTAGTGGGAAATTCTACCATTATATAAAGGGGCTGACATTTGTAGTTTTGTTTTCTTTCTAAAAGTGAGTACAATTTGTGGAGCACTTAAAATTTATACCAGTGACAGCTTGTTATCTTTTTCGTCTTATTTCCATACTAAGTAATCAAAGACCTTTGATTTTTAGTAATATATACCATTTCTGAAATACCAGGGAAAAAACATGCAGTATTTCTAGAGAAGTCGTAAAAGACCACGAACGTTTCGCTGTCTCGCATGCAACCGGACTTATTTTAATTACCACATTTGGAGAGCTAATAAGATGGAATCACATAGTAAAGCATATCTACTGTCAGTCCTCTGAGGAATTGAAGATACTATGCTTGCCGTGTTATATTCAGTACCTAATTTTCCTTCAATAATTTACGAAAAAGCCAGCTAATGAAGTAGACAAATTGCTGTTATCAAAATTATTCTTGTATTGTCTATATATTCAAAGAGTTTCTGTACAAATTAGAAGTATGACCAAAATTCACTTAACACTGAAATGGTCAATACTTCTTTTCTGCAAAGAACAGGCAACACCTAAGAAGATCAATGAGAAGATACACAACTCGAGTAAACCGCAATGAGAGATTGCACTGAACTGGACACTAGTTCAAACTACCAACCAGAATTGTTGATCAGCAAATGTTTTCGATTTGCTTTCCACTACCATTTCCAGGCCCCGCACCAATTCTGACGGGTAAAGGAGACTAGGACTCTCTCTCCACAATCTCTCCGTAAATTAAAGTAAGGGGGGATATTTGGCAGGGAATCCCCCAAGAAGTCTTACCCACTATTTCCACGAACGCGGACCAGCCAGTTCCCTCGTGGAAATAGTAACGAGTGTAGCTCGAGTGTTTATCACTTCTCACCTATCTTGATAGGTTTCAGTTTTGCGCCTTGAGTGTTTACAATAGGATTTCACCTGAAAAAAAGAATGGCGTAAAATTCCGGGTCCAAGCTTCAGCCCCATCACCCCCACTCTCAATCTACCCGCGGCGCAATTTACATGTACATAGAACAAATATGCCTGTTACTTGACAATGACCACGTGAAAGGCGTTTTAAGGTCACACTTTTTATCAATATAATTCTTTTCCCCCTTTGATTCATTAGGAGAGACTGTCTTCATTCAATTAAATTCGAAAAAGTACAATTACTCTTTTAATTTAATCTACCTAATTATCTCAAATTAAAACCAGCATACGTTCACGCCAAGACTCGGCTGCAGATACTGGCGGAAACTTTGCACTTGGCTCAGCTGTTTTAGAACCCTACCAACAACATATAGATCTCACCAATAAACGGATGTACTTTGGTAACGCACTACAACATCGACATTCGGCAGTGACCTGGAACTAGTTTGCAATCGAGGCAAGGAACCAATGTAGTTCTTCAGGGGACAGAAAGAAGAGAAACCCTGGTAACGAAGTTGCTTGACAACAAGTTAGTTTAGTTGCAACTTCTTACAGAGAATACGCAAATTGTCTGATTGGCAAAGTAAAATAAAGAGCGTTACTCTGATTTACAACAAAGCTAATTAAGATTAAGGGCGTTTCCAGTTTACGTCTTTCGCAGTTATAAATTGTACGGTTTATAAAAAAGATTTCTATCAATACGCAGACATAATGAAGAAACAACAATTATGATAATTGTTTTGGAAGACAAATTGGTTGGCAGGATAACTTTAAGTAATTACCTAGCAAACACTTATAAAAATAACAAATTAAATACAAGAATACTTAGCTATCCTCTCCAAAAAGGAAAAGAAATATAGGAAACGAATATTGCAAATAAAACAAAATAAATCGAGAATTGGCTATTTTACCAACCACAAATATGTTTCTCGAATACTCAAGGTCACGCTCCTTTCAGGGCTGACATCGAGGGAGGAAATCCGGAAAATGACAACTGGTTACTTCGCCCACACGAAAGAAAGCTCGCCCCGAATTAACTTTTTGTGGGCGAGTTATTTGATGGCGAGGCTGGGTGTTTGTGTATTTACCGCAAGTCATAAAACCCAGGTAGGGTGTGCATAATTCTGATCAATTAAATTCATACCCAACATTATTAATAATATTCACAAGTCGGATAGGTTTTATATATATATATATGTATAGAAATTCATGGAAACCTTTTAACCATTGGAGGAGACCAATATTGGTCCCCACTAACCCCACGCAAATTCCTTTGCATAATAAATCTTTTGTTACATTGCCATAAAATTAAGCACTACAACTGACTAGTGTAGTTTGGCACTGTTAATAACCCTGTCTAACTGAAAAAATAAATTTTGTATCTATAATTTAAGCATACTTGATTAACAATTTATTATTGTTAATGAGCCAATGTAATTGACATCTGGAAAGAAAAAAAGAAGAAAAATATCTTGGTGTTAATATTTGCTACCGAAGCTTAACTTCTTTCCTCCGCAGAGGCCCCTTTGTTTCATAAGGAGGCTAAGATGAAAGGAAAAAAAGAAGGGGGATGATGGGCGGCCTTTGCTCTCAAAAAAAGACTCATTCCATTGCCGCCCCTCGCTTACTATAAATTGTTAATCTTTATTAGAATTCTAGCTGGAGACTCTGTAGAGGGAGAGATATTCCTAGCTTAGGGGAGAGGTAGGTTGGCAGTTTTCCAGAAACGTATAATGATCCAGTATAGCTTACTCTAATTCGCCTTTAAAATGCCTTGCAAGCATTTGCAGGCATGTATTAAGCGCCTGTGGAGTAATTGACTATTTAGTGCTACCTTACCGAACTGCCACATCTTCAATTGCCCAACCGCTGCTACGCAAGATTGTTGCTTGTAATCAGAGCATCTAAGGCAGAAGAAAATGACATTAGAAAATGTCTCCTTAGTTGTATAAACACAGAACTATTTAAAAATCAACCAGTGTATGCAATTGCCGGTAAGTTAATTATAAAGGGAAAAAATGAATTTTCAAATAAAATGAGGAAAAAGGTATACTGAAACAGTACCCTTAAAGATGAGTCGCAAAATAAATCCATTCATGATATCACTGTAGAAGTAAATTAAACCTCTACTGCAGCCACCTCTACCAAGTGGCCATGGTCAGCTTTTGGCATCACCATAGTTAATGGCATTGTTTGTGTTCAGTTGGGAGAACTTTATCACAACATTTTGAAGAGACGTTTTTATTTTTGTGCAAAAGTTCTCTCAAGACAATAAAGTGACTTGTGCTAATTTCTGACAAACCTCTTATGAGCGGCCAACTTCCATTAAGTAGCAAGGGTGGCCACTTAATGGATGTTCATCTGCACTGACAAAATGAAGCTAAGAATTTTTCTTCAGATAATTCTGGGCACAAAATGCCAGTACACCTTCCTACAGGAAACAATATTTTACCTGAAGCTTTACTGTCATTACTTGCTGCACCATGCTTTGTATTTTTTGCTGATGTCTTTGGAGATGAAGTGACACTTGATTGACTGAGTGATGATTCAGATCCAGAGGAGTTCTTTCTTACAGGTTCCTTCTCTTTCGTCTTGTCTTTTCCTTTATCTCGCTGCTTAAACATCTTTCGCCAAGACTTGGAGCGTTTGAACTCACCACCATTGCCAAGCTGCAGCAAATTAAGTTAAGTTAGATTTTATTGTTTCTAAGGCCATACCCCCCTTTTTTTCGTTTAGTGTCGAACTCGTTTCGTGATATTGGGTCGGTCGGTCAGATTGAAAACAAAAAAAAAAAAACAAAAACACAAGAACTCTGGAAAAAGGAGGCCTGGTATCCCAGGATGACATTACAAGTTAACATTCACATACCTGGATTACGAAAATGTACAATATACTGTAAAAAATGTTTCTGTGTTTGTTCCTGTGTTTCTCTATGCTGTTACCATGCTCATTTTTTAGATTAAAAGAATTATTTCAAGTGAAAAATGGTTCAATTTTGTGGGTACTTTCTTTCTGTTTTTTTTTAAAATGCCAAAAATTTGGGTCAGTCGGATTCTGCTAAATGGAGGGAAAAAAAAGAGGATGGCCTAACATGGAAACTCAATAACACACTGCAGTAACAAAGTGCATCAAATAGTTGTCCAGTGAGAAACTTGTGTATAAAGTGCTAGATGATTTCATATATCTATCCTATATCTAGTCGAGGGGGGGGGGGGATTGGGAGGACAGGAAGGGGGGGGGGGGGGGTCTCCACCCCCCCCAACTTCTTCCCCTCTTTTTCTCAGTTAAATCCTCTACTAAAATATCTAATGGAAAACTAGCCATAACAGATGAATATTCGCAGAGAATGGCAAAACTTACTTCATCTACAATTTCCCTGTCAGTGGCATTTGCCAAGAGCCAGTTGAAGTCTCGCTCAAGAACATGACGTGTCTACAAAATAAATCAACATCAATCACATACACTCCATACTGACATGAAAACTGGAAAGGCATACATAACACTAGAGGCACAGTTAGAGCTGATGTCACCCACACAGCTCTGTTTTCAGCATCATGAAGCATCCAGGAGAACAAGGTCAAGTTGAGAGAAAGAGGGTACAACTCCCATAATCCTGCTATTGGGTATTACAGTGGTTCTGCTCAGGGGCAGGTTAATGAAGTACGGTCAAACCTCGATTATCCAGACTCGTTGGGACCAGACAAAATAGTCTGGATAATCGAGGGTCCGGATAATCGAAAATAAGAATGTTAATGAAGAACAAAACTGATTAAATTGAGAAAACAACTATTAATCGTGTAATAATGTTCACCCTTTCAGAGACGTGGGTTGTTATCCTATAAACTCATACATCATAACATCTCCCTACATGAGCATAGAATTTGCACAATCATAGCTAAAATTAAATGAGAAACACCCTATTGAACAACAACAAAAATAAAAAAAAGACTTGTGTGGAATTTGGCATTATTCATTTGAATACCACATTACTAAACTGAGTACCAAATAACATTAAACCGAGAAATACACCATGGAAGAAGAGAGCATGAAAACTTTGCTTAAATAAGAAATAAAACATAGAAGCCTTACTTGTGTGTTCTGACTGGGTATCTGTAGGGCATACGCTAGAGTACTGTGATCAAAAGTCTCATCCAAAGCAATAACTGCCCCATGTACTCCAGTGCCAAGAAGATTGTCTGCATATTCTGACAGTCCAATCTTCTTAAGCCATGTAATTACACGATCGTTACTCCAGACAAGTACATCTGAAAAATGATGATCATAACATCGCTTTGGTACAATCACTGAACATTTACTCTAGGTGACAGGCTAAGAGGGTTTTTGAATGGTGTCCCAGCATGAACTCTATAAGCTACAAAAAATCTCTAATATGGTTCAGGATGCAGAAACAAGCTAAAGAAATCAGTTTGTTACTATGGTTTGCAGCCAGTGCAATTTACATATGGGGCAACTTGCTGCTTTTAAAACCAATTTTGCAATTCTCTTTTGAGTCAGTGGGATAAACTCTAGCAGGCACTGTTAACAATATAATTTCCAGTTTAGCTTTTACCTTTTGACTCCTCTGCACACATTTGTCTTCTTTTCTCTAGCAACTTGAAGAATAAAAAAGACGTTTATCATCTATTTTCCAACAGAATATCTCTAAACTGTTAAGTAATACATACAATTTTTTTTGCTTTTTTTCCACTTCACTATTCACTGCTTTAAATTACAACCGACAGTAGCTAATATAATATTTATTGAGCCACTACACTGTAGCTGAGTACTGAGTTTCATTCATATCACAAAATGCTTTGAGGGAAAGAAAAAACAGTTCATCCAGTAAAGTCATCTATTAGAAGGTTCTTTAAGGGGCATCTCATATGCTGCAAGGGGTTTTGGTTGGGCTTATATCTGGTGGGTGGGAGAGATCAGACTAGTTATCTGCACAAACTCAGACTGGTGATCTGTCATCTCAGGAGTTTCAAAGGGTACTACAGTACTTGGACCGCGTGTTTTTTTTTGTCTCATTAATCAACAATTTGCCACGAGCTGTCTCACCTAAGCACTAAGCATTATTTTGCTGAAGATGCAAAGTGATATATATTCCAAAAAATAATATACTTGTGCAAATCTTAAATATCAAATCTATCACTGACTCAAGGGAAGCAGACCACCATGTAATAATGATATTGTTCTGCTCACCCACTTGCATTGGTTTACCACAATGTAGACAAACACCTACCCGCCTATCATAATTCATAAATCCTAAACATTTAACACCACACTGTAAGCTGTGCCTGAAAAGAGGGTAAAGGTTTTGTTAGTTGTTATGTTGAAAAAGTTCACGAGTGAAACTGATAAAAACATATTACGTAAAAAAGTGCACATCATTCTGTCATTTACTTTATTTTACAGATGAAAAGATGCTATGATTGATTTTGTTGTGCCAGCAAAGGATAATGCAAGGGACCAGTCAAGATTTTGTTTATCGTGTTTCTGCAATCTTACCCTGACTGGTTGAGAAAACCCCACCAAATTGTTTAGAGGTATAAAAAGCACGGCACTTGTACAAAAAGTTCACATATAACAACTGCAAATTACCATCAACTAAATAGCCAATCAGTCAACAATCAGTAGTTTGTGCATCAGTCAGTAAATAAGTCCATCGACTAGACATCATCATACAAACCTGTGAAAACTATCAACTACTTTCAAATATTTTTGATATTCCTTTTTGCTGATGTGTTCCAGCATTCTTGCATCTACTAAACATTCTTGAAAAGAGCTCTGCAGGAGACAACATACAAGGGTTACTGTCATCATTGCAGTAGGATTTTAGCGAAAGAACAATGACACTTTTGGTTCCCTTAACTCATCAGCATAAAAACAAGCAACAAGATAATAATAATAATAATAAAAATCGAACAAAGGATAAAACAAGTCACAATATAATTTTATTTCTATATATACAACCCAATTTCTATCTTTAGTTGAGTCCAGTAATGTAAGAAATTTTAGGGTCATCAGATAACACCTGGAATTGATCAGGAGGGAGTTTACTCACCTTGTATTGAGCAAGACCTAAACTTGGAAGCCAGTCATTGGCAATCCAGTCATGGTTCATTTCACCATAGACTAATGACTGCAAAAGAAACAGGAGGTCAGGGGTTTTGATTGAAAGTAATAATCATTTTACCGTTTGTACATGTATCACAACATATGTAGTCACTAGGGACTTAAATCCTTACATTTCAACTGGTTATGTATCGTATTCTTCAGATGAGGCTTCTTGTGGAAAAAAAGTTTACTGATAACTAAATAATCAGAACCAGCATCATGTATCTCACTCATCATTTCTACACACAATGCTAAGCAGTTTGGTTACAGCAAGAAGCTGAACAGTGTGACTTCTTCTTATAACATTAAATTGTATTCTCTCTGATACCTCATCCAATCAGAAGCCAAGAGCAATTTTCCTGGCTTCAGACTGCACAACTAGCACAAAAAAAAAAAAAAAGGTAACTTGCATGTTTTCAATACTTACATTTCTGTTAGTTGTAGGTGAGGATGGACTTGTCAGAGTAACAATCTCTTGAATGGCAAGTCGTAACTTGAGACGATGTAGAGGATTGGATATCCCAATCTCATGCTGAATCTCAGTATCTGACAAAGCCTAAAAGAAAAAATGTTTTATTCTGACTTCTCATAATGGCATCTGGGAAATGGAATTGGTTCTGTTATAAATGAATAGATGAGGCACAGAACCCTTCGGGTTGCATTTTTTTTGTTGGACAAGATGAGCAACTATTACTTAAACAGAGCCCAGCCTACCATTAATGGCTGGTCCCCAGTAGTTTTGTCTGGCTATAAGAAACATGACCCCTGCAGTCTATATTAGGAGATGTGATCAAATTACATCGGTATAAATAACCATCAGATAAACATTTTCTCTCCTGCACTTTGGTAACATACAAATATAAGAAGCTCAACAGGACAGGATTATTGTCTTTTTTTTGCTTTGTACTGCCTAAAAAAATAGGTAACTGTGTGACTCCTTACCGACATTATTGCTCCACTCTTGACATTTGCTTTACAAGCAGCGACATACCAAGCAGGCATGCCAACCCACAACTACAACAATATTAAAAAAACAATCTCTAATAAATTCCTATAGTCTAATAATAAATCGACTTACTGGCTCAACTGAGTGATAAACAAAAGCACATTACATTAATATCATTCTTGTAATAACAGAGAGGGAAACGTTTACTTAACCCTTTAAGCCCAAAGGGTGATCAGCATCAAATTTCTCCTTGTAATATCAATGCTTTGTAAAACAGAGTGGTCATGAGAATTATGGACATGATCACACAAGATGAATTTTCATGATATTTATCAACTTCTCCCCACCACTCCTTTAGGAAATGAATAGGGGCAACAAATGAGAATTCAAATTTTGATCTTAGGGTTTAAAGGGTTAAGAGACATGAATTCCTTCAAACATTTTCACCAAGAAAGGATATGTACGGGCCCAAGAATTCTCTAACATTGATTCGCAGTTTCATGTCTAAATGCATCATAAACATTAGGTAAACTGATTGTCACCAAAATTGTTATGCATGTGTTGAATGTAAAATCATCAGTAACTCCTAGCTTAAACTCACTACACAGAAACACAGACCACAGTGTACCAACTCACCTCTAGCCAAGCCACAACAGTGGGTGCATTCCATAAAGCAAAAGGTGTACCAGCTGCTAATGCCTCCGCTAACAGGTGTGATTTATTTTTTATTCTCCTGTCTAACTCTCGCTGCCCTGAACCTCCCGGAACTGGTTCACCAGGCATCAAGTAAGAGTCTGTAGGGACTTCCCCAGAGTCCTTTTGCTTAGCTTTTGGTTTATTGCCAAAAATACGCCCAATAGATCCTTTGATCCCCTTTTTATGTGCTTTGTTCTTGGATAATGATTCTGCACTACTGGTTGTACTAGTGATACTTGGCAAGGAGTCTGCTGAACTATCCCTGAAAAATTGAGGATTTGAATTGACTTCAGATATATACCAACTTTCACACAAGTATACAGCAGCTTATATACACAAGTACGTTTTGAACTTTGGAAATAAGATGCCACTGTCACTCCTTTCAGCTATGACGATTAAATTCACAGAAACACAGGAAAATACTTTGCTTATGACCCATAAGCACAACCTTTTGACTATTTTAAAATACTCAATTGCAGGTAGTCAAAAGGTTGTGTTTGTGGGTCATGACCAAAGTATATCAATCCAAGTAGTCACTTTCTTTTTTGCAGCTTGGTCTGATACTTGTTGATGTGATTGCAAGTATGATTGGAACTCTCCTAACAAATGACCCTTTTAACCCAATAAAATGACATTTGACTGTATGGCATTTTACAAAGCTTGGGTTGAAACTTCAGAGTCTCAATGATAATAACAAAAATAAGCCATGTCTAAGTAAGTAAGTAAGTGAGAGATATTATTTTATGACGGTGACACGTAACAGTAGCTAAACATTACTGATCAACTTGTTGCCCTATAATTTCATTGATCAAGATAAGGTTACAAAGCCAAGGAGAACAAAACAGTTGCAACTGTATCTGTTTCCTACCTTGTTTTGATTATACCATTTGTAGAAGGAACCGTATTTCCAGCATCGTCTGGTGATAAACTAGACAAAATGCCTGTCTGACTGGGTTTAGAACTCCCTGTTGAATCAGATGCAGTTGAGCTTGGTGTGGGTGGCGTGTGGGCTTCTTCAAGAGTATTAAGTGAATTCTCCTTACTTGATCTCACCTGGAGTTAAAAAGTACAACATGAGCATCAGATACAAAGCAAGTTCTTAGCAGTTTGATATTAGAAGCACTTGAAGTGTGCCTGAAGAACTGATCATACCCAGATTGGTGTTGTGTCCATTGGATCAAGAGGAGGAAATGGGAAAGATGTAGATGATGCAACCAGCTCCTGAAAACATTTAAGACAAAACAACACAGTTTGACTGAATAATTAGAAACATGATTCATGTTGCATGTAAGATGTGCTACATTTCAATATGACAGATTCTAGGATGGATACTTTGTTGTTCACGACTACAATGCTGCTCAATCTCACAAGGATCAAATTGTGTCACGCACTACATGATTCCTGTAGCACAGGATGCAGATCCCTTAAGGCTTCCACCTTTTAAGTATTTTGGGTAATGTTCTTCAGTGTACGCACGGCCACATCATGATGATTTGGAAACAAAATGTTACATGTTTTGCAGTCAGACATTAAGTTTTCAATCTACCTTTGGCAACATTTGCATAGCTGTCAAAGTGAACACAAAGTTGGTTTAAAAGATTTACCAGCATATGGTTCAACATATTCTATTGAATGCCACAGATATTACACTTACATGTACTTGTTGAGAAGCTGAATACATATCTTTATGCATAGGTGTTTTTACTGCAGATCTTTCCAGGACCTGGGCTTTTCTTTCTGTTGTCTTGTGCTCTTCTTGTAATTGACTGAAAAGGGGACAAACATGGTCAGTATTTGAGCTTTGAGGGCTAAAAGGAATAGCACAATTCCAACTCACCTGAGCTCCTTGTTAATAACATCTATCTGCTGCTGTAACAATGACGCCAGTGTCTGTGCATCACCGCCTACACCTTTGTCCTCTGATGTTTCACTACCAGCATCACTTTCAATGTCAGACAATCGATTTGTGTCAAATGCCATGGCAACATTTTTTAGTACACTTTCCTGTTCAAGCTTTTGCCATTCCTGTTCATTGAGCGTGAATACTCGACTGGGTGAATCCTCTATTCCAGCACGACCTTTTGTCTCTCGTTTGACCGGTTCACTATAATGTATTTACAACAAAAATATTAGGACAACTCGCAGTCCCTAAAAAGTCTTCTCCAACAATTATTGCTCTGCAATTATCAGTTCTACATGTTACCATATTTATTCATTTCACATAACTTTGGTACTCTACCTGAAGTGCACAACAGGACCATTTACAGTTGCATCAATGACACCCTGATTTGAAAGATATAAAAATATATACAATATAGAATGTGTAAATGGTTACCTTAACATTCCTAGAGTTTATGCACTGTCCCTTGCTTTATTAATGTATTTAGGATCTTTATTATGGGCTACGAGTACAGGATTGAGTATGTGTACAGTTGTCCTTTTCATCTACATGATGAAAAAAAACAATGTTCCAAAAGGCTGCAAAACATAACCATCTTTGAAGTGTGACAGCCATTAATGCAAACTGTCGCACCAAAGGTCTTAGTTGTTTATATGTTTTTGATCAATGTATTTTGCTCCTTTTCACATGTAGGAATGACTTACATTTATCAGCAATAGATTGCACTGTTGGAGTCCAACTTTATTGATTAAAGCAAATCCCCGAAGTGCTTAAAAGTATCCTGACTTTAATATTCATGGGAAGCAAAAATTTATAAATTATCATACCTTGGATTTTAACTTTTCAAATTCTTCATTCAGCCTTCCCAGTTCTAGAGCTAATATTTCCTAGAAAGGGAAAAAATTCAAACAACTGACTTAGACATGAGAGCATTTAACATAGCTTCAGGCAGAAAATCTCCCCACTACAATAGAATAGCACTGGAGTAAAATTGAGCTAAAACATATCAGTGCTTTGCACTAGCAGTATCCAATGAGTCATAGCAGCTCACTCTTATTAGTCTCTTAGGTGACAAAAAAAAAAAACAATGTAAACTTACACAAAACTTACCGTAAAAATGTAAGTAAAATCCTCTTCTCAGTTTTAATCATTACTTAGATTATTATTTGGTTTGGCTTTTCTTCTGAATGGGTTTTAGGTACAACTTGTGTGTTAGGCAACCCGGATATAGGATCATTCATAGGATCAGAACTTTTGGTCTGCCTATGCTTTTTTTTTAAGGTACACCATTCCATAATCTCAACCATCTTTTACCTTCTCTCTTTGGAGATCTTCAACTTGTGACTTTATTGTAGTAAGTTCTTGCGTTAAAGCAGCCTGTTGCAAAGAGAATGGAAAATGTTTTGTTGAATGCACCAGTATTATTTAGAAGGAAATTAGGATTTTTTCACCAATTTGGTTAGAAGTTATTCCTTAACACAACACAGTAAAGGTAAAAAATGCTTAAATTAAAAACTGAACTATAGTCAAATGGAAATACACTTGCAGTACTACAAGTGAAGCTTGATCATTGTCAGCTGCAGAAAAACCAGATAACTAAGAACCATCAGCAGTTTAAACAATTTCCAGAGATGCAGATTCAAGGGCTTACATGTACTTAGTTTATAACAAAGCTAAACAAGAATAACTTTATTTTATTCGGTAAAGGCCTACAACAAAGTTAGTAAGCATAGAAGCCTTAAGGGAGAAAACCGCGTTTCGTATTCATACAAGAAGAACAATGTGGTAACTAGCATGAGGTAAGTATAGGGCACATATTCATACCTTCTCTTCCAATGCAGTCATTCGCTCTTTGAGGTGAACCTGTAATCTTTCATTTGATTCACCCAGTAGTTTGTCAATTGTGTTCGATAATCTAGCATTATGATCTTCATTCATTTTTTCTCTTTCACGTGCCTACAAAGATATTGATATTCTCTTGTAAATAAATGGTGGCAACACAGGGTACAACCAGCAATTTCACAACCCAAGGCAGACATTTTAGCAGACTCAGAAAGGACTTAAAACCGCTAGAAGTTAATCAGGAATCTTTACATACGGCAGCCAACTGTCCATAGTAGAGATCAATTTTGTCTAGTTTTCTGGTGTTAATAAGCGTACTCAGAAATATTAATTCCCAATTGCCCCTTCCCAACCAAAGTCTGTTGAATGAAATGGGGTGTGGTGTGGTCTTTGCATACTCTATTGCCTGATAAGAAAGTCATGTACGGAGAAGATTCTCATTAGGATGTAGTCAAGTGTCCAGTGCCTCACCCTATTGAGTTCTGCTTGGAGATCATGAATTTGGGCTTGCAGCTGCTGTACAGTCTCTTCAGCAGTGACATGTTTCTCGGCAGCCTGGAAACAAAACACCAAATATGCTGAAAGTTGTTTATGCACTACAATACCGAATAAAAAATGTTAGTGCAACAAAGTACAATAAAATACAACAACATAAAAATGGAAGACAATAAAATGCAGTAACTGAAAATGGGAGTTTTAAGATTAATAGGAGATTAAAAGTGCCAAAACTTTGAGAAAGTAAAAGGTAGAATGGTCATCTCTTACACCACCAATCTTTGTGTTGTCATGTAATGGGATGGGGGGAGGAGGGGAGGAGAGACTACGAAGACACAAAGAATCAAATCTCACCTTTAGAGTAAAACAAATTCCACCCACATCTGGTCTTTAGTATAGAAACAAGAAAAAAGTAGTTTATGTAAAATGTCCCTCATTGAAACCTAACCTCATTCAAAGCAGCCATTTGGACAGCTAGTTCTTCCTCAATTTTCGGCAATGCTTCAGCTTTTCGCAAGGACTGGTTAAGGTTCTGCTCAGCAAGTTCCAGTCTTTCTTGCTGTTGCCGGATCTTCTCCTCTGCCTAGAAAGACATAAAAGAACAGAAAACAAAAATTAACTGAGACAAAAAATTATCTACAACATCTACAATAATGTAGCTAATGTAGGAAAACTTGACTGTAGTAAAGTATCAAGACCTAGTAGTTTACATAACAACATGTCACACTGTCAATAGTAACTTGCTAACCTGTATAAGTTCACTTTCTTTACTTGCCAACTCGGTTTCTAGTCTTTCATTATCATCATTAAGTGCTGTAACCTCATGCTGAAGTCTCACATAACGCTTTTCCAAGGTCGTTATTCTATCCTCCATGTCTGATTTCTGTGCAGCTGCCTATTTACAATAATAGTTAGCACAATCAAATACTATATCATAAAAGTTGCAAATGCTTTCATTACTCAGTACCCCAGCTTACCCAATATAAAAGCAAGTAATAATTAATTTGTTATGTTTACACTGCACATAGCAGGATTTCGTAAATCACCTTCCACAATTAGGCCTAGAAGTCTACAAAAAGCAAACATACCTCATCTAAATCTCTTTCCAGTCTTTGTATAGAGGTATTTCCTCGATCAAGTTGTTTATTACATATTCTTAATTCCTCTTCTAGAGTTGTGCATCTCTCTTTTAAGTCTTTATTTTCTCTTGTAAGCTAAAAAGACAACAAACACAACAAATCTTTGAAAAAAACCTGTCACCATCTAGATGACAGCTGGCTGCCACCCAACCTAGCACTAAAAGTTTGCTGGCAGATCTTGTACAAGAGTAAAAAATGTAAAGAATATATGGTCAAATAATATTTGACAGGTTTTAGCTTTAGCACTGGAAAGTCATGCTGGCCAATTCCCCACCCATTCCAACACTGGTCTGTGAGTGAAACACACTCCCAAGAACTTCCCCATGGATGTGCTATAACAAAAGGGTGTCCAGTATTTCAGTTTTGTGCAAAATGTTAAGATTTTAGTGTCACCCAAAAGCAGAGCTAAGTTTCCAGAGACCACCAGGTGCTGCTACAGCACAGCCCTGCAATAGATTATTACCCAAAGAAACAAAGGGCTACTCCCTCCTCCTACTCTAGCTGCCTACAGTACTGCTATTTTCAATAAGTTAAAGTTTTACCCTTTCAACCTCCTTGGCTCGTTTGTCAAGAACAAACTGCATCTCTTCCATTTGCTCTTCATGTGCGCTTATATCATGACTAACAGGACCATTGGAGAGATGCTAAAAAAGCAAACCAGTCATTTATTATCAGCAAATACATGTAATGCATAACAACAACATTTTTAAATAATACTAACATTTTGGAGAACAGTGGGGTCAATGCCATAGCAATTTTGTTTTACAACCACTTCAAGACAGAAGTCAAAATAAAAATAAAGATTTAAGTAGGCAGGATTTGAATCTGGGGCCTATTTCTCAAAAGTCCTCACAACTTTTTGGGTCCAAAATCAGATATTCAAATCAAATTATAAAGAATAAGACTGCAGAACCTAGCTAACAAACCAGTCCATTTTGTCTTGTTAACTGATAGTTTTACCCTGTTATCTACAAAACTATCAGTACTTTAACCTCTATCTTGAATGTAAACAAAAATGGCTTTTCAGGGCCGTTGATAACCAAGACTTTCAAGAAACGGGTCCCAGTTTCTTAAAGACAATTGAATACCTTACTGTGCTGCAGAATCCCTTTTGCAATATTGCCACAAAATCTCCATTACAATGATAAAATTAACTATGCTGATCTTTAACATGTTTGTAACCTTCATGATAAAATCCCTGCATTAAGCTCTCCTTACCCTAACCTATGGGCTTAATTATTATCTTGCATACCAGGTCTCTTACAAACAAGATCCGCCAACATCATAAATTTATTGATCCACGAGGGACCAAATCATGGAGTATAAACTGTGACCATCTACACTGCTGGTCTCACATTTCCCCTGTCCCCTTGTTTGTGTGTGTGTGTTTGGTCAAAAACAGTCTCTGAAATACACAGAGAGATAACAGCACAGCTACCTGCACTGTTAAATCCTGATACATTCATCCCCTGTTCTACTGGAACACAGAATGATGCCATGTGTTACGTGCGTTAACAAACATACAGTATGACCTGTACAACAGCAGGGTGTTAATTAGGTATCGCAGATTGGATAATTCTCTGGTGAGCCTCTTTCAAAATATTCTCCTGTAACATTACACCTTTCTCCTGCTACAACCTAACTAGAATTCTAAATAAAAACCCCATAAGAGTCATGAAAAGCTAACCTTCACTCTATCAGAACCTTCATCACCATTCTCTACACAGTTTTCACTCGAAGTGTGAAGTTTTTCTTCAGTTCTAACTCTTCTGAGATTCCGAAGTCTTATATCTTCATTCTCCTGTTCGAGCTCTCTGAGCTGCAGAAACAAAAACAAATGCAAACATCATTATTTGGTGATAAGAGAAGTTGCAAATAAAGAATAAAACACTGACAAGTCCTCACCTTTTCCCTTGTTTCCTCTAGCTCTCCTTCTAGTGCATTACCCTTTTCTATAGCCTGCCTGAGTCTCTCACGCACCTAAAACAAAAAAGGAGAACACTTCCTGTTAAAAACACTGCAGCACGTCTTAGATTAAAATCATTTTTTCAGTTAATTTCCTTTCAATTTTTCAATCTTTGTCACATGAAAGGCAGTAATACTAACAATATAATTTTATTGTTTGCTTAAACCGTCATCTGAACTTGTAACTGAGAGCGACAAATTATGAAGGTATGGTTGAATAGAAAGGATTAGCGCATAGGCACACATTTATTCCAAGATTATGTCGAGGTAAAATCTTAGGAGATTACTGAGTCTGTTACACTCATTCAATTTATAACAATACCCTAAAGTGAAGGCTACAAACTTGATTTTAAGTACATATTTATAATACCTTTTCATCAAGAGCTTTGTGGTGTTCAAAAAGTGACTTTAGAGCCTTCAGGACTTCTACTTCAGATGATACGCCACCTGTAGTGGCTGCCTGTCGTTTGACAACTGTCATCCTCAATGACCTTTCATGCCGTGCTACTAAACACTCTAAATGCTCAAGAAGAAGCTGTAACAAACAAAGATAAAAGGCGTAAGCAAAAATACCCTTTTGCCCAATTCTTGTATGATCTGTAACAGTGACTTACAGCTGAAACCCTATTGACCTTAAAGCCACTATTATGCCTACACTAGTACTCACTCTTGTATTACACCTCTCCGACTTCAGTTCACTTATTTCTTCATCTTTTTCTAGGAGTTGCTCTCTGGCTTGGTTAAGTTCCTTCACCATTGTTGCAAAATCCTACAAGAAAATTGAATGCTGACAAGGTTACAAAAAATGCTTGAAAATAGTACCAACTATACCAGTAATTTCATCTTCTGGGTTGAGAGATTGGAGGCCCTATTTCCATAGGGTACTTATTTCATTCTTTGGAATTTGGCCCCAATAAACAAGGAAACAGGATATTTCTTGCTTTTACAACCCAAATTTGTGTGTGCAACATATATACTTGACTTTCAATGTTGTGCTGTCACTAAGCCCTGCTGCGCTCCTATGGCACCTGTGACTTCAACTGTGATGTCCTTAAATGGGTCATCCTAGTGGTTGTATAATTATATTATACTATATTCATTCAAAACATATGTGTGCATATTGTATTGCGATATATTCAAAGAGGAGGGATGTAGTAGTGGGCCAGGGGGGTACTTATTTGAAGTTGGGCACTATGTGCAACCATAGCCTGCGTAGCAGGAGTCGAAAGGGGTAGGGGTCAGGGAGGAAGGGGAAAAGGGATGGGGACTGGGGAGAGAGGGTAAGGGATACCTGCTATAAGAACCTCCTTTTGCTCATTTCTGTGGACACTGGTGCCCGCAAATTACTGATTGGCTGAGCCGTAATGAGTAACTTATTGGGGTGTGTCCTGGTGTGCATTAGTGAGAGACAAACATGATGCAGGCATCAAGGAAATGTGTTCTACTGGCATAAGCTTTGGAAGATCAAAATTACTCCAATGACGTGTAGCAACTTCACATTAAAACCCAAACTAGAACCAACTGTAATAGCTTGTTTAGCAGGCAGAGATGCCTAGGAGGTTTTGTATACTGGATTTGTCCAAACACCGAGTTGCAATTCAAGGCAATTGCAATTCTTGCCAGACATCTGCAATGCTGATATTCACAAGACTGCCTTTTCTACAAAAACATATACCATCTTGTACGAACTTCTAAATGGTTTATAAAGAGAGAGCTGAAGCTTTGGTAAAAATTATCTATTGAGATTTTCACAAATGTTTATAATTCTCCTTTCATTATTCGAATCTCTGGCTGGCAATAGTTCATTTCTTTGTGACCAATGTTGTTTTTGATGAGGTAAGACTAAAGGTATTGTGTATCAGGGCTGTCATTAAGAGGCAGGGGCCCTCTACTAAGAATGTGTCCCCTGGCTACTTTCATAGGAAAATAGAAGAAAAATAGAACCAAAAGAAATCCCTGGCTGTTTTATTCATTCCCCGCCTGCTTGTTGTATTTACCTGGCAACTTAAAAACTTAGTGACAGGCCTGTGTACTCACATGAAACTGATCATTGATCATTGTAGGCTACAAGGAGTAAAGAAAGAGAGACTGCTCGTAGTCTATGTTTGTCCTGTTTGCTGCGGGAGCCAGAACAGTAAAAATGTCTTATTTTGCTCGATTATGATATCACTTCAAAAAAGCACCTTGACATGACAATTTCTGGTATACAAAGTAATTAAGTTTGGACCATGCTGAAAAGCCCCACTACTTGTGATTGGTCACGTACTGACAGTTGACATTATCGGATTTTTGCAACTGCAAAGCAGACTATGTAACTGTTGTAGTTATTTTTTTATTGTAGTTACCGTATTTATTCGACTATAAGCCGAGCGATTTTTACACAAATTAAAACTGAAGTAAGTTCTATTTTTCCATTGTTTTTGGGTATGGCAATGTGTGCTAACGAAATTCACAAAGGAAAAACAAAAATTAACTACAACATAACCAAAGCACTTCCAGCAAAATTTATGGCACCTGACTGGTTCACCTTGACATTATAAATCAATTTTGGTGTTGTTTGTAGTAGTGTTCTCTTTGGACAAATAAATTGTAGGAGTCACTGTCACTGTTGTCTGTTATTGGCTAATCATGGTATAATACAAATACAAAATCATCATTCCAGCCAATCAACTAACATGTTCATGACTCTAAAAGTTCAAGAATACATTTTAATAACAAAATGCTTTAACAGTGCATTAATGTGACATTTGCTTCTCTAAGTGTTATGTGAAATTCAGGTCAATATCACCTTGTCTAGTTGTTGATAAGGAAACAATTTCTCAGTATAAGGAGTTCACCTTTCACCAGACAAATGTGCGATAAAATTTGGTGAAATCTTGATACACAACCATTCACCAACAAAAAAGGCAAAGCAACAGAAACATATGAATCTACAGTTGAACCTCCCCACACAGCCACCCTGGCGACAGAAAAAAGTGGCCATTGTAGGAGAGGTGGCTGTCATTGACTGTTTGCCAAAAAAGTGGCCATTGTAGAGAGGTGGACGTTAGTGGACGTTGACTGTGTTTTGTCGCAAAATATTTATTCATTTGGTTTATTCACAGCATACAGAAGAGAATTTTGAAACATCATATAATGTGGCACTGCTAAGAATAACCAAATCAAAACGATCAAAGAATAATATTGTTGTTGATAAGTAGCAAAACATTCTGGTAAAAACAGCATTGCACCAAGGCAATATCATACTTTGATAACATTATTATTATTACCGATAACCACATTGTTTTGAACCAAATATTGCTATAATGTACATGTATTAAGTTAAGAAAGCAATGAATGTTAAAAAGCAGAACATTGCACTTCTTTGTGGACTGGAAATCACGTTTTTTGCTGCTGAAAAATTCTTATATATCATACACTTTGAACTAATGAGTATCTAAATGTCTCTTTTAGTAACGCAGATTGACGAATTATTAATAATTACGTCACACTTGAATGTAATTGTATCTTGATTAATAAGTAAAGTTAGGTCAGCCATAAAAAAATGCTAGAAAGTAGAGATTAACATGCAATGTTAAACACTCCATCTAAACTTGAATAAAAATCTGTTTCCAATTTTCAGAATTTGTCTTAGTTGTTTGAGGAAACAATCAAACAGCTTATTTGTTATCATGAAATTTGTGATTGCATAAATGTTTCTAAAATTTGACCATCAGCAAGACAGGATAGTATTAATATTACTTTTGTTTGCTTTAATAGATTCATAATTTAGATAAACAAAGCACACTCACAATTTTGTTTAATTGACAATGCAAAATGGGATAAATTTAACAAAAATCCTTTTAGACATGATCCTCAAGATGAACCAGTTCTGACAATTAATTAACATAACAGAAATTAAATCTTAATTAACTAACCAAAATTAGAACTTTATAAATGAAAGGAGATTGATTCTGAAGTAATCCAGGTATTTGACTGCCTTGCACAATCTGTAGCTTTCTCACGAAGGGCAGCTTATCACAAACAAGTAAGAATCAAATGAAATTAAAATTCACCACATCTATATAAAAACTAAGTACATGCAGTAAAATATAAGACGTACACATTTGCCCAAGTTTAATAAACACTACAATTAGAACTAACGGGTAGTCTGTTGTCTGTTATTAGAAGAGGCTTTCACTTGCTATTTTATTTAAGTGAGTTTTGTCGCCTTTCTTACCACAGAATTACCGAGACCTTTCACATGACGTTTTGTCAGTTAATAAATGTACCAAGTGTACAAGTAGTGTCAAGTAACTTATCAAAACCATACACCGTAACTTGTGTCATTTTATATTTACATATCAAGCGATTTCTGTTTGCCGCACACAACCCGGGAAACGTATTAAATTGCCAGTTGTCCAGCGGAGAGCCTTGCTCGTCAGCACCAAGCGAAAACGGAATTCTCTAATCGTGAGATATCAACAAGATATCAATATCCGTGTAACATTACAGAGACAACAAGGTTCTGATTGCAGACGGACAGATGACAGATATCACGGTGCGAAACATCCACGAATCGGTCGACATGTTCTAACTCAACAAAAGCCGATCACTAAATTATTCTCATGCAAATTACACTTAAAGAGTTCAGTAAACATACTACTGTCTGTACAAAAAGGTTTTCCTTCAGTTCGCGAGACGTTTATGACAATGAAACATAACTTGTATGCAAGCAATTTCCTCTCCAACGCGAGAAAAGAAAAACAGAAAGTATTCGAAGGTAAAGCTCTTTATGCAGTTAAGTCAAGTGGTAAAATGGACTTGTTTGATAATTTGAGGGCTTTTTAATAAAATCTTCCGTGGCTAGGTGTCAAGAAGCAAATAGTACCATCTTTGAGCACACAACCGCTTAAATATTCCAAGCCAAATTGCAACTGATCGTTTCAGTAGACCATGAACACACAAAAAAGTATTCGCATCGAACCTGCAATTATGTGGTACGATATAAAATACCACATAGTGTATTCACCGGAAATTACACACTACGGGCACTTCAATAGCTATGCAAAGAGACAAACTACATCTCCAGCACCATGTTTTCCTCAAGCTGGGAGAAATGTTCGAAAATAAAAGGCACGATCGTGATTTTCGCTAACGTGATCGACGATACTGGACACATGATTAAATGCAGATTGTAATGACACAATTGTTCTACCCACAAAAAACTAAACATTCTTTACAATCATCACCGTTCGGTGGTCTGAAACTCGACCTGTACTTTGCTAACAGTTGATGAAAGCGTCATCACACTCATAGTGGAATTCAGTCGTGCAAAAAAAGATTTCACTGTACTTTTCGATTAAAAAAGGTCAAACATGAAGAATATTACTCAATATTCGAGCTTTGCACTTGTTAAATCCCATAGTCTAATACCTTTATTCTCTATTTTGATTTTTACGCCTGAAGGCTAGTGGAAAACAACCTATATAGCTGAAAACAAGTTTAATTCCGTTTAATCTGTGTAAAATTTTTAAATTAAGATCACAGCATTCACAATAGATTCCCACCAGTATTGTTTACAAACACCTTGGAAGCAAAAGCAAAACTTTACAGTGAAAATTCATTCTCTGGGGTGAATTATTCCACAGAAAACCAAGGAACTGCTAATTAAACTAATTCCTTTGCATTTTCGTGGTGTTATTAAAACAAGCGGCTAAAAAAATGACAGAATTCTCCACACACCTCGGCCAAAACGCGAACTCTGTTTTTATCAGAATCTTGTTTTAGATCATTCCCCGCATCGCTGATAATTCCATCCAAACCAGCCAGTCTTTCAATAAGTTGATCATCACCCTAAAAATAAAAGAAATACCACCGAATGAAATCAGAAATTTCTATAAACACGTGTGAGATTAATGAAGGAGATAGTCTCCATCAGCAGTGACAAAACGAATTGGATCGGAGATGCATAAATATGCATGATCTTCGGTGAAATAACACAAACACATCGGCAAATTAGAAGTTCCCAAGCCGCAAACTAAAATTATCATCTTACTCGGTTGAAAATAATGCTTGAGACTGTAAACTACGAAAGATTTGTGGACAACATGTACAGGAATGCAGCTTGGAAGCTTGAGCGACAGTTTAAAGATTCTTGACGTATTATGGAATTTTTACCATGCGACTTTACTTGAAAATAAACGAGAATGTAGTTAATCGATATAGCTTCTTGTTGAAATACTGCAGAGACTGTTCTTCGTGTACAGTAAAACCCGTGTTCTGTGGATATGTAAACACTTGGTCGGTGAAATGACATTCAATTGCAGATCAAACATGGCGTATTTGAGTAAGCCAAAGAATGAATGGTCAGGCCTCAGATTAAGAAGAAAAAATATATATTAAAAATACAGCTTAAAAGATTCTTACATTATTTAGCACAGTTTCCAAGTGATTCATAAGCCCATCTTTTTCTTTTTGACATTCCGTTAATTTGGCTCTCGTGAGAGCAAGCGAATCTTGGGTTTCACGAAGTGTTTCCATAAGCTTGTCCCGTTCATCGAGCATATTAACCATGAGTTGTTCGAAGTTCGTCTCTTCATTTTGCCCGTAATTAATCTCTGGCGGGTCCTCAGAGATCGTAGGCATTATATCGCACATCATTTTGGCGATGGAACGAAATGCCGAGTCCCAAACAAAACCAGATGACGGGAATCAGGGATTTCACGTCCAATTACATGTCCGCTACGTTACCGGTTCACACTTCCTCTAGCGCAAAAACAGCCGATGGAATCTGTCATCCGTGCATTCTTCCACCATATTGCGGGATATGGACGCTCCTTCGTTTACTGTTTGCACGTTTAATATCCTGGAAAGAGTTGTAAACGGTTTTTCACGCAATTCTAGACGATAATTCGCTTGACAATCGCAAAAGAACAAGATACACACAGCTCATGAGGCAAACTTGCAGCGAATACCCAAGATGCAGCGCGCGCTTAGCACCTTCTACCACCTGTCAGAACAAAACTGGGAGAGATCAAAAAAATTTCCGTGGGTTCACAGAAAATCCAACCCACTCACGAAGAGTTCACCTATTAAAAACCTCAGTTTGAAATTACGATGAAGAGCAAGATGAGTGCGTGGTTTAGAAATGCATTTTGAACGAGATGATTGGTTTGAAACCGTACGCAGCCAACAAGGGTTCAGGAAACTATTAAAATTTGACACTCGCGCCAAGTCAGTTGCGTTGTGATTTCATGGGATATTGTTCTCGCGGGATTGTTTTAAACGATATTGTTTTAGAGAAATTAAAAAACATATTCAATTCTACGGCCAACATCGCAGAGGGATTAAACCGTCACGGAGTGTGGACCTGAAGAATGAGAATTACACATGCGATAGTTTTTTCCCATCAGATACTGAGTGAGAGAGAGGTAATGGGACTCGACTCCCCGGCAGGAAACATCAAATCGATCTGTCTCGGTTCCTATTCCGTGTTTACGTCTAATTTTTTTGACATAAAACAATTAACCTTAATACATTCCTTAAATATCAAAGGCTTCCATCCATAATATGATGGCTTTTCCAGACATGCGATCTTAGTTATGACTGAGAGGAAAGAGCACATCGCGTCCACTGACAAACAGCCCACTCTTTAAATTGTCAATGTAGTCTCGCCTTCTAACGGGATCCTGAAGTAACGGGAGTTAAGCGAAATAATATTTCAGACATTAAAAACGCATGTCCCGCAGATTTTGAACAATGCTCTTTATTTTTGTTTTGTGAAACGGGGTTTTGTTTACAATATTTGAGTGGAGAAAGCATTTTCTTTTCATCTGCCTGATAATTGCGCCGTTTTTAATGTGCATTCACTTTGATGGGGGCTTCTTTTAACAGCCGAAACTGCTTTGAAAGTATAATTAAGCCACCGTAGCGTAAGGATAAGCCGAGAGCTAATTCCGCATTATGCCCCGTATTTTGTTATCGATCCAATCCCTATCTTCAGTTGACCTTGAGAGCGTTGGAATTCCAATAATAATATGTCAATGTCAAAAAGCTATTTACTAGTGCAGCTTTAAACAACTTCTGAGACGAAAAGGATTCTTCGAGAGCCAAATGGTAGACAAAACATTTCTTTAGAGATAAACAAGAATGTTTATCTCATAGACCTATGTTTAACAATTTTCTCACAAAACCAGTCACATAGATGGCCTTAGTTACTGTAACGTTGTATTACATGTCCGTGGATAAGAAAATTACACCAACTATATCGAAATAGTTTTTTCCTTCAGTTGAACAAGCACCTGAAAGGCGCATGCGTTCCTTCCTGGAGCTTTCAAGAGGAAAAAGGTAAAGAATCAGTTGTGTTTTTGCTATGTCTTTTTAAAAATCTCAACAATCTGCCGATTTATCTTGTATTTTGATTATATTGGATGCAATAGATAGCATGTGGTTTTGAGTTTATTAAAATATGTATGAATCTAATATGAACTTGAGAGTCAAAAAAGTGGCAACTGTGATTTGTATTTTGCATAATTTTCTAGGGCTAAATCTCTCGTCTTCAAACTTATTCTAAAGAGGGGGAAATTTATATTTTTACCTTTGCCTTCAAATCTGAATTATTGAATCTGAATAGTTATTGCGGTACCCTTCCAAATCCCACTAAGTCGGTCTTCAATTCGCTCAACATACCGTATGACACAAGCACCGGTATACCACAAAAATGTTAAGTTGCATAGAATTATCTTTAATTGAAGCTCAGTAGGATAACCGTGACTTGAATTTAAAGATCAGTAGCGTAAAAACAACCAAATCTCGAAGTTAATTACACGCAGCCTTAAGGGGTTGAATAAATACTCAGCAACATGACGCAGTGGAAAATGTAGTCAGCATACATGTAATTATTATTAAATTATGTGTTTCCGACAACTTTAGGAGGCATGGAAAGTACATTTTTTATTCATACATGATTATTTTGGCAAAACCAAAGGTAAGGTCGTCACTGGGCATACTGATGACTATTTGTTTGTTCTTGATTCTGTGCGAAACACTGATTTCATTTTTATATGCAGAGATACAGCACGACATGGCAATTAAATGATATACTGACAAAGATACATAACAGACAAGCATTATTTTTCACCTCTCCAAAATTATTTATGTCATAAATACAAAAAAAATTTCATCTGGCGAAAACTCTTGCAATCAATTCTGAAAAGGTTAAGCTAGGGATCTTTGCGATCATAAGTAAACCAATCATACATTTGGATCTGCGTGGGCAGGATTAGGGAGGGAAATAAACGGTGGAGGGCGGATCGAATGGGCGTGGGCAAGGCGGGCTAAATTTGTCAACGGAAAAGGCCTCAATGTGACTCCCAATTTCGTGAATAATCACGTAAAGTAGCCTGAGAAATGAGAAATTTGTGGCGATGGCTAATCATTAGAGTATGTACTGAGGTTTAGTTTTCTCACGCGATTGTTTTCTATTTATATATATATCTTATATATTTTTTGGCCTTTTTGAAGTTGCTTAGAGCCCTAGCTACTATCAAGCTGACTGGGGAACGGTTCGTCGGTCTTGAAAACACAATTAAATTAGGTAACTAGCCTTGACATACAGGGTTCAAGCATCAGGCTTCAGCGAGTTACAACTCATCTTATTGAAGAAGACACCTTCGTCTTGGAGAGTCGATTTTGAAAATGAACTGACATGCACTTATAGCTAAAAAAAAAAATCCCTCGCACTCAAGTAATGAAAACGAAACCATCAATGAAGGTTTGTTTAGTGAAACACAACAGTTCAAATTTTATTGTGTGATAAAAAACAAAAGGATTAAATCATTCCCAATTACGAGTAAACGAAAGACTCCTCAAACCACTCAACTCGTCCTTCAGTGAAATGCGCTTGAGAAAGGTGTCATCCGTCAGTCTAAGACAAACTCCTCTTGAAATTATTTTTAACCTATTTATTTAGCTTTCTGAACTGTGGCTTGCTAAGCTAATAAGCTTACTGACACTGAAGGGACACAAGAAGTGTGCCTCGCATGACCTTCTTTATTTCTAGCCGATGATAAACTTATCATCCGACTTACTTGTTTAAATCGCCTTTTTTGTGGCTAGTTTCTTTTTACGGGGCCAAGGTGTTAGAAGCCTGTCTCATTAACTCTTATACTGGTCCCTTATAACTCGAAACAAAACATACGGGTCGACGAGAAGAATTATCAAGAACGCTCAGAGTCTCCTCACAGCTGCTGAGTCCTCTATCTGAAACGGAGCCGTCAATGGGAAGGAGTGTCAAGGAGAAGTAAAGCGCTGTTGTACATGAGGTCAGCGATGCAACATGACTTACTATTACTGTTGGACCTACAACATTTTGTGCTCTCTCTTTCCCCCGTTGTTCCAAGGCAGCCTTCCTTTATCTTCTCGTCTATAAGCTTAAACTTTCTGGAACATGCTCTCTTTGATCCTCGTTTTAAGCATAGTCCGTCGTTCCTCTTTCCAGCTTTCTCTTTGTTCCTCTGCGGCCCGTCGACCGCACTCTCGTCAGGGGCACCCAACGAGGATATAGTTCCAAACCACTTAACATAGCTTTGTTGAACGCACTTTAGTTTTTAAACGGTAGATATAGGCATATGTTTATCCCCTAAAAACTTTTCATCTGTTCGGATTTCCTAGCTGAAAGTCTAGTGATCCGAAAATTGTAGGGATCAAAACTTACCTTTTCGAAAATTTCAGCCAGGAAAAGGCTTCCGAAAATTCTAGGTGGCCTTTTTTAGGGTAAATATCCGTTTAAAATGGGTAATTATACCATTTTGTAGATGTTCGAAAATCCTAGGAGAGGCAGGCAAGCAAGAAATTTTACAACAAATGTTCCGAAAATTCTAGTTCTCAAATCGTCCTCCGAACAGATATTTTCCCGAAAATTGCCGTTGGGTGCCCCTGTCTCGTTTCCCCCCTCGTTCTCTTCCTCATAATTCCGCCCATTTTCGTTGACATTATAAAGAAATTTAACATGAATTAAGCTAAAAAAATACCCACAAAATACAGAAGGTTGTTTTGCTGTTGTCTTCAGTTTAATTTTTCAAACATGTAGCTGATCATGCAATTTCCCGCCCAAAAAAGCGTTCGCCGATACGACTTTTGGCATATTGGTCTACATTTAGTGGAGATCGCGGGCGGAACGGTATAAAACCGTTGAAAGGTGCCTTTGACTGTGACGGCTAGGAAGTGGGCTGGAAAAAGAGAAAAAAAGAAGAAACAAAAACAATTTAACCTATTTTGACCAACACAAATATTAAAGTTTTGGCCTTTATCCATCTCTTGGTTGTGTCGCTATGGAACTCCACAGACTCCACCCTTGGAGGGTTCAAATTTTTGGTTGGGTGTCACTTTCCTGTTGGGTACCAAGACAGTGCCAAATAAGAAAATCGTTAAATAACAATGACCGAGACTAGGTTTTATGAGCCCCCGAGACTGAGCACCCCAGCCAAACCCTTTACTAAAACCGCTGGACGCCAACCTGGTTGAGGTCATTAGTGACCTTAAGATACACCGTTTCAGCCTACGGGTACAGGTAAGCGAACATGTTTACCTCGTAGTTCTATAAAAGGCAACCATTATTTACCAGATGTGATAATGCCGTAACCTTTCTACCTGGTAGCCTACCCGTTTCTCCCGGGTAAGTGGCAACTTACCCGTGCTTACGGCTACGTGTACGGCTAATTTACCCGTACCCGCAAACGGAAACGGTGTATGTTAAGGTCTCTATTGTTATCTAAGGTCTTCCCCCAAATATGGCATTTGTTTCAACAGCAAAACTTGACATACCATTCGGGAGATAAAACCAACTTGTTACTGAATCTTGGCCTCATACTTTATTGGTGAGGGTTGATTTTTTTCTTAAGTTCACGGATACTTTTACAAACCGATTAATGCTAAAAAATAAAGCAGTTATGTGGGAACAATCATTTACGCAAATGGCAGGGCCACGTATAATGGTACAATAAGAGCAATTACGCAACAACTTGCCATGCCATCAAACAAGCTTTGATTTTTCCCATCTCCTTTTTGGTGTCGTCAATGGCATTCCTGGTTAAGGCATTCGAAAGGCAAAGAAGCGTCTCTCCTTTCCGTCAAGGTAAGAACTTCCATCTTCCTTCTGCTCTTTAGATTTTCGTGCAAATTTCTGAAGAAGATAACGGGTCTCCTTATCATGAGGCACTTGGTACACATTACGATATAGCTAATCCTCTGTGGCTTTCAAGTTGGCGTTCTATTTACAGTTTGAAGCCAGATTATTCAGTATTGGGAATTGGATACTGGATTTAGCGATACAACAATTGAGATAATGAGGAAGATGAGGTTAATTTCGGTCCCGCTACCACTGTCTTCCCCGTTCAGAGCTAACATAGAGTCTTGTGTGAAAGAACTGTTTTGGTTGTTTTTTTGTCTTCAAGGTGGTACTGTGTATAAGATGAATATAGGCCTCATATAAAGTCTAAGCGTATTATTTCAGCTCTTCTATTTGCCAATAGTGCTACAGTTTTAATTGCCCAGTGCCTGCCGGAGATTGTATTTTTCTATGACGATATATAGATAAGACATTCTCGTGCTAGAAAATCTATCATCATATTTCTGATATATCTTAGCCGGAAACGATAAATACCTTTATCTAAGAGGACAGCTATAGCATGCTGATGATAAAAACGTACTATATTTCCCAACAAGTAGGATGGGCAGGGTGTTTACCTTATGACCTGGTAAGGCCCAGGTTTGCCATTTTTAACGCCGTACTCTAAATAAAATCTTTTCATAAACGTCCAAAGTTGAACAGGAGAATCCCGAACATGATCTGAAGTATTTCAAAGATTTCAAACTGACCCGCAGGTTTCCAAAATTCTTAAGTCGTTTCGGTCTTAAGCTTTGAAAAAAGTCAGTTAACTATTATCACTCGAGGTCGTTGGATTTCCTCATTTACAAACAGGGTCGCTGAAGACAAATTCCACAGTACAAAATTCCATACATAAAGTTATAAATACAGTTTTATTTACACTTTACATAACACGTGCACAAAAAACTTATATATACACATTCAACCAGCAGAAATCACGTTCCACTTGTTTTAACATTCCTCCATTTTGCAGTCACTCTTTTCAAATACCACCAAATCGAGCTACTACGCAAACCTTAATGACAGGCCGAGAGCTTCACTCTACGCACCAAACACATAGTAGGCAGCTGCGTCACGTAGGCTCCACATACGTCTATCTGCGTGTATCTCGAATGTCAAGTCTACGGCCTGAGTTTCCTTTTTTGTAGGGCAGCGGCTGCTGTACCTGGTCTCTGTGCCAGTAAAGTTGGGTCGGGGAGTTTGCGTGGGGGCCTAGTGCCATCTTTTGTGGGCGTTTCCCTGTAAAGCAACGATTACTAAACTGTTCAACAATACGCCATTTCCCAGTTCCTCCGGGCCTCAGTATCAAAACGAGCTTAAGTGCTCAGCCTTTGATATGGGACGTGTTTTTAATTCTCATGCAAATAAAACTCATTTCCACAAGAAAAGTTGTGCACTTGGCCTCATTTTGAAAGTGAAGTGAAGTGGTCTATTCAAAACCTATACCCTTTGAATTTGAGTGAGACCCTTTGTGAGATCCTTTATACAGTTCTAGGTGGTTCTAACTTTCGACCTCGTAGTTTCCCTGGTAACGGGCTCCTGGTTATGGTTGTTACAAACCCCCAGGCTTCTCTAAATTTAAAGGATTTTTTCTGTGTTTCTCTCAAAAACAATACACGACGATATTCAAGGTCATCGTTATTAACGTAGCCTGCGTGGTCGGCCCAAAAGGACGGATGGAAATTAAAGCGCAAAACGGGTGGGGCCGGGCAAGGAGCTCCCCTCCTTTCTCCCTCCCCTTTTGACGCCTTCCACGAAGGCTAAAATCAACCAGGATATAGTCATGTCAAATCAAGTTTGTTTTTGTCTCCAAAATCCAGGTACCAAAAAATAATACAGCTACAATTAAAAAAGAAAAAATGTTACATATTTATTATTGACAACTGCAGTAAAACTAAGATTGGCTCGCCCAAACAGAAAGAGCTAACAAACACATAAAATACTACAAAACATTTCAGAGAGAAAAGTCAAAATTGCACGTTGACAATCCCAGAAATAAAGGAGATGCTGGTTTGACGAATAGTATGTTTTATCTACTTCAACTGACCTCGTTTGTCGGCCTAGACGTACAGGCGCAGAGGAAGAGCGAGGTTCCGAGTCCTCTTCGACCGATAAAGCGGGAGAAGGTCTGGAATCCAGACAAGGCGTCGACGTATTTTTGTCTACGTCATAACTCTCATCTGCACGCATAGCTCGAAGCTTTAACTGATTCACACTGGTCTCGCCAGAAAGTTGACGGAATCTACAACACAAATATTCCTGTTAACATGTTTATTGTACTTGAAGGTTAATTCAGGGTTCTCCAGAAAATTTGAAGAAAGGAGAAAAAGATTAAGCAGGCGGCAACTGATTACATCGAAAGGCGTCTTTAGGGGTAGGTATAAGAGGGGGCTGTTCCCCTTTCATTGGGAGTCTGCGTCTGAAATCATACGTGTGGTTTCAAAATCGGACGGGCGCACAGTGATTTTGATTTTAACAGGGAAATTACACATATGATTTCAGACCAAAATTGCAAGGCACGAAGTTCAATTACAATTTTATTCCAGCCATTTGAAATTGTACAATTTAGACAATATACAGTAACCGGTTTGTGAACAAGAGATACCCGAAAACACCTCTCATTTATGCGAAATGGAAATGCCATTTAGAGCACAAATTATACGATTTAAAAAAAATGTGATTTAGAGGGAAAACAGCGCAACTCGCGGATAAATCACACTACCGAGAGCCAATCAGGTTGCAGGAATGACTAGTAATTTCAAAATGGACGCAATAAAGACCTCAACAGTTTTACTCGAAACAACGTCTCATTCCACTGTAAAAGCAAATAACAGGCAAAAATAGCTATAACATTATTTCAACAGAGTTAACCTCAGATTAAAGCTACTCCATGTTTATTGGCAATAAAACGTACGTGAGTCAAATTCTCGATATTTCGTTGGATCACTGACTCTTTAACGAACAATGCTTTTTCTCCCTCCTTAGTTTGTCCACTCAAAACAAACAAATTTAACTTCTTGGAATAGAGATAAGACATTCTGAAGGATTAAAGGAGTACTGTTGCTTGTTGCATTTATAAACAAATTATATAGACCCTCTGTCTGTTCGAGAAATAAAGAAAAAAAAGCAATGCGACGCACATGTAACTACTAACCTTCGCATCCTAAAGTCCGCAGCAGTATTCGGTCTGGTCATTACCTCTCTACCCACCAGTGGAGGGGTAGGGAGTGAGCGACGCACTGCTGAAGGACTTCCTGGACGACGAGAGGTTTTCGAAGGAGGGGACGGTGAGTAGGTGGGTGGGGTGGGTGAAAGTCGTGCGGCTCCCGTATCTTGTTCGGGGGTGGATGGTGGTAATTCACTGCAAGAGGATGTTCAGTTTAAGGTTTTACACAGGTTTTATCCAGTATACAGCCTAATAAAGCCACTAAGGGCCTGTTTATATGGGGGTCAGGTAACCTCGGCGCTTAGGTGGGGTAACCCGTCTCTCTATGTAATTGGCTCTCATTTTAATTTGATCACGTTTACATGATAGGTGGGGTGACCACATGAGAGATTATACGAACAGACGGGTCACCCGACCTAAGCGGGTTACCTCACTTACCTCGAGTCCCCCACCTACATGTAAACAGTCTTTAAAAACTGTTTATACACAAACTGTACATGCGTGTACGTCACCTGCAACATAGAAGCTTCAGGTACATTCCCTTCATGGGCAAGTACATTTTCTTTTCTCAAGGTTATCCAGATATCTAATAACTCAGCTGTTATCAGAGTTCTAGGTAATAACAGTTCTAAAGAAATTCCAAATATTAGAGAAATATAGAGTTACGTTTACGGCAAACTTGTACCACTTGACCAAGTTTTCCCTTTGTTTGTCGTTTACTGTTCATTGTAACTACATGAAAATCAGTAGATTCACACCAGTTTTATCCATAATGATAGTTTTGGGATGTTTTTATTTGATCATTTTCTATACTGAGAAATTCACAACGGGAATCTCACGTTTGTAGTTTGCCGTATGCGTCACTCTAAATCTCTTTATTAAGTGGCTTGACCATACTTGCATTTTTTCATTTTTCTGGTTGCCGAACAAAGTCATCTGAAGAGAAGAGGGCAGCTTATTCAGTTGAACTGAAGTGCAGCCTATTTGCAATTTCAGTCACCTAGTGTGAAATAGAAACAAGCAACAACAACAAAATCACCTTACCTGGATTTGTCACAATTCTCATCAGTATTAGTTGTTGTACTCCTTTCATTGCTTAATATCCTGAAATTATAATGAGCAAATTAACGGAAAATGTAAACTATCGTAATGGGGGAGTAACAGTGGGGAATCCAGACCTTCGGGTCAGGGGAACGGGGCGGTCATCCAGACCCTGAGATAAGGCGGGGGCCCGGTCTCCAAAAAAAATTTTTTTCAGCCGTTTGGGGCTCAGTTTCGTCTAAAAATATTCACAAAAAACAAAACTTATTATGAGAAGTAAGACGCAAGGTGTCAATTAAAATCGATAAACTTATATTTGGGCTTGAGGAAGAAGCAACAATCCCATGTAAGTAAACAATGTCGATTATTGCAGAGTTATTATGTGGTGGCGAGTAGACTTCTTGGTGGCGATTTCGTTGGTGGCGAGATGACCGTGAACCCTATTGCTTTTTACTTATTTCTAATTTTAATGGAATACCGAGCAGGAGCCTGAGCGGAGAAGAGATATCGAGGAGGAATACTGAGGAGTTGCGTTCCTTTAAGGGCCTGTTTACATGAAGGTGTGGGACCCCAGGAAGGTGAGGTAACCCGCCTGTCCATATAATCTCTCATTTTAATTTGACCACGTTAACATGATAAGTGGAGTGACCTGCCACATGTTACCTCACCTATCTGGGGTCCCCTACCTCCTTGTAAACATGCCCTAAGTTAAACCTTACTTTGAATATTCCTTTCTCCAAGCTTTCAATTCTTCGAGAATATCACTGGCACTGGCTGATGTTTCTGTTTCTTCCTCGAAGCTTTTTTCAGGTATAAACAGACGCGGACTCTCAAGGCGGAAAGTCACCACTGGCATCTTAGGTTGTTTTAAAGCCTAAGAACAACAAACACGGTCACAGGACAGCCCATAATAGGGAGTTAAAGATACTACGACGGCGACGGCGACGGCCACGAAAACGTCGCTTACAAAGTGAATTTGCGTTCTTTCAATCACTATAGCAATTACTCACTTAAGTCATTTACTTTTTTCCATGCAAGCGAACTCTCTTTGAGCGAAATTCCTAAGAACCATATTCAAGTTCAGAAAAAGAAAGAAAATTTAGCCGTCGCTTGTTTACGTCCATAAAACGTGAAATTATACATTCGCCCGTCGTAGTCGTACAGTGACGGCAGAGAAATGTACAAAAAAGCGTGATGCACGTGCAGAGGTGTTGTTTTGCCTATTCAGCCTATTGATTTTTTGACGTTCTCGTTGCCATCGCTGTCGTGGCATCTTAAAGTCCCGAATGATTCAAGATTTTCAACCACTAAAGGTTAACACTACACCTGACTACACCGCTAATAGGGACAAGATCTGATCTAATTTATCCTTTCGATTACTACTGATGTATACGACAAAATGATCATGAGAAAAAACGATCACCAACTTCTGTCTTAATGCTTCAACAAATTCTTCTAATTAAGATCAATTAAGTCCCATAAGAAACGTATGGATGACAGTGCTGGGATTATGCTTGCTGATATTATAGTTCAGAACTACATGTGTGCTTGATGGAGCCCCCGGGGTGTACTCCCCTGTATGGCCAGTGCCGTAGCATGAGGAGGGGACAGGGGGGCGTGCCACCCTCAGTTTTTTGCCCCAAAAAATTCAAAACATGCACGCATAAAAGTTGAAAATACAAATTCAAGAGTTAAAAAAAATCCAAGAGTATTGAAAGAATGATGTCTCTGCAGCTAGGTAAAACATTTTCTGGTTTTAAGATACAGAGACCAGTCTAGTGGGACCTCCTGACTGAAAACCCTCTGCTTTTCAACTACAATGAGCTAACTAAAATCTCTGTGCCCCCAAGTTTCTAAAGGCTTGCTACGGCCCTGCATTGACCTATACGAAGATGTGCCGGTATGGTTTTTGAGCCTTTCTGTCCTAAGCAACGGAGGTGGAGCAATATGAGAGTATTCTCACAATCCCCTCTGCATGGGATGCTAGTAGCTTAGAAACAAACACAGTTTCCATGAAATAATAACACAGTTACAGAAGTCATGATGAAGTTTATTTTTTTGGGTCCTAGTATTTTCCATTTTGATTTTTTTAACGTATGCAACATAGTTTTAAACACCAAAAAAAATTCCTACTGTAAAAACCAAATCTGCAAAAATCAACTCCACTATCAAAATAATAAACTTATGTACTTTCACAAACATGGGTTTTAATGTCTGGGGCTAGTTGCATCACTGGAAAAGAGAGTGACTCTGGAGATGGGGAAAAATACTAACTAACCACACGATCATCCCAGTACAATAATTATTATTGTACTTCCTTACAATGACAACAGCGATTCATTTTTAGACGATGCCTTGTCTGTATTTTTGCTCAAATAAAAGCTAGTGCATTTGCTAAAGAAAGCAAAAATTAATTCCCAGTCAGGAAGACCAGACTGAACCTATCAAAACATGGAAATAAAGTGCCAGATGCTAGTGTAATGCTTCAAAAAGGAGCAAACCAGAAAATCCCAATAAAGAACACTGGGAGATGAATTTGTTCAGAAGAAGACCAAAGACCAAAAACCAAACCTTCTGCCTTGACTTCAAAGCTCTTGATATATTCCCACAGATGACTTGGCTGGAACCTGGTCAAAGCAAGAAGACATCAAGGAACTGTAACTAAACAGCTGTACTCTAAAACAACTCAAAAATTTGTAAGGAACTAGATCATAAAATGAAGCTTACCATGAGTGAGATCACTACTGTCATCTTGTTGAAAAACTCCAGGTCCAACAGGTTCAGGGTTCCCTGAGGTACAACATTAAAAGATAAATAACCAGATAACTACAAGAAAACAGGAATCTTAAGTTTACCCAAGGAATCACAATAATAATAATAATGAGCCTTATTAAAGTCTCATGTCTTATAGCTCAGGCACAGTGCCTTACTAATTGGGGAGACTTGATTTACTTGTACATAACAGATGTACAAGTAAATGTACCAATGTATGTTTTACAATAGGATCTGTTTTCTATTTTCCATATTTCAATACTGCCTTAAAAAAGACACTGTGCACCTCATTGTCTTTCTCCACTCAGGAGTCTGTTTAAATGGACTCCCGGACAAAAAACGTTAACAAAAACAACAGTTCATCACACTGTATACATAACACTAAGTCATTGTGGAAAGCCACTGAAGTCTCACCACTCCCAAAGTCATGAATAGCGACCCTGCAAACCCTTTTTTAACCAGAATAAAATGTTAATCTGTTTTATCAATCCCTAATTTTATTTTCTGAAATACTGAAAATTGATTAATACCTTTGTAAAGGACTGTAAAAGACCTGCACATGTTAAACTCATTAGTTATACCTTTAACATAATAATCATGGTATTATGATTATTGATTATAGGAATTAAATGGTTGAGAGCAAAAGTTGTAGAATAACACCTACCTCCAGCAGAGCCAGGACGTTGTCCCCTAGCACTTGAAGGTCTTTTCCCTGATGCTGTTGGAGGTCGCTGTCTTTTTGACATTGCACTGGAAGGTCTTTCTTGTCTTGATACGGAGGACGCTGAGCCTGGTCTCACTATATCAACTGTTCAAGCACAACCAGTTTAAAGTAGTCAAACAGAGAATTGAAGATAAATTTTTTTCAAAGGTTAAAAATGTAGAAATAAACCCATTATCATAAAATTAATCAGAAAGATCAAAAAATGAACGCAAGCATTTTTTGATATTGCTTGAGTTGTGTTTTAATTCACTAAAACTGAATAAACAAATAATTATTTGTAACTATCCAAAATATTGGGTTGTAGAGTGCACAGCTAATCAGCAAACAGGAGGTCAAAACAGCATCACAAAATATGTCCTGTGTAGTGGTAGTAACTTGGCCAAAACATGTATAATAATTTTAATGTCCCAGGCAACCGACCACACTGGTATAAATACTGTCCAAAAAGACACCTACATGCACTGTCTTCCTGTTCATCAACGTTAATTGCCTTGATCCCTTCACTGACAAGTTGCCAGTCAGTCCTGAGATGATCTGGCACCTTCTTAGCTCTGTGTGATTCTGGGGGATCTCGAATCACCAACTGGCCACCTACTTTTTCCACCAAAAAGGCTTCATCATCCAGTATTCTAACATTTGGAACAGCTTTATGGATTGCAGCACGATAATGATACTGTCTTATTTCCTGCAAAGTAGCAACAGGCTATTAACCTTTTAGGTCCCAAGAGTGACCAACATCAATTTTCTCCTAACAGCATCAGCAGATCATCAAGAGTAAAGGTTATGAGAATTACTAAATTGATTGCCAAAGGGAGAATGCTTTGACCTTAAGCCAAATTCTCTCAGCTATTCTTAAAAGAAATTTATGGAGATCTGTCTAGAGAATTTGTATGTGGATCTTGGGGTTTAAATTAAGGGTTAAGAAAAAGAGGACCACTAAAGGATTCCCATTATCCTTTATCTTACTTATACTTTTTTCATAGTCTGATGTAGCTTCACTGATCTTATAAAAGTGTTTTGTGAATAGGAGATAGGTCATGAGTCTACTATGAACTTTTGTTTGACATTAATTTTGCACTAGAGCTGTCAAAAAGTGTCGTAAACTATAACACCTGTTACAGCTGAGCTCACTAAAGTCTTTATGTCATGGGTGATCAAAGTTGACAGCTAAAGATGCATGACACCATCAATTTTTTTGTGAGATGTTTCGGATGAACATTCATTCACTATGGCTGCTTCAAACTTAACTACAGCCCTGAATACACAATAAAAAAAATTATCTTGGGGTGGTGCATAGCTAGGAATTTTCCAGAGCTATGCACAGGTTTCCAAATCCAGCCTTCTCATTTTCTAAATCATTTCCAAGCAGCTATCTTCATAAATATTCATATCATCTCTCAAGGTTACCCAAGCTCTGAATCATTTCAATTAAATTAGGGGAAACTGTTTTTGACTTATGACCCTTATTGACTTTGTCAGAAATTTCCATTTTAGGCACAGCTTTACTAAGCTTGACAGTTTTTTTTCAATATATATAACCATCTCTTTCCATTTCAGTGGGGAATGTTGAGAAAATATGATTTTGGGCATAGCTCACCTCCTGTCCACAGAAAAATAAGCCTCTGGGTGTGGAGCTGAACAAATTGGATTACCCTCTAATGTCAGCATATTCAGTGATGAACACAGGCACAAGAACTCCACCTGTGCTATGTCACTCACATTATTCCTACACAGGACAGAATTATTTTGATATTAATTTAGTTGGTGATAGGGTTAACTGGAGAAAGCATTTAGTTTTCTCACCAAAGAGGTCAAGGTTAGAATCTTTGTTAGACCTCAACATTTTCAAGCCTGAGGTAAGCTAAATAAAAATATAATAACTTTAAGGAAGAAATAATTCTTCTTCTAATTAACTGCATTTCATATTAGAGTTAGGGTTTGGGAGATTTTACAAAATGAGACTAGTGTGGTTGAAGTATTGATATCATTAGAGAACTCTACAATTTATACTGTGTAACAATAAATTATTAGAGCGGTTGTCACTTGACTGTCGTAAAACCAAAACCAAAGTAAATAAACTAGCCAACCAAAGGGCATAGTAAAACCAAAACCAAAACCAAAACCAATCCCTTTCGACAGTCAAGTGAAAACCGCTCTATACAGTACAATGTACATGTACTGGGTACGGCCTTTACAATGTATTACTTTAATGTGTCAAGAATGCTATATGATGTACTTGCGGGCAACCAGAGAAGCCTGAGATCCTAATCTCTAGCTTGCTATTATTACGCATGCATGGCATGTATGTAGCCAGCATTTGTTTGGACCTTGACTAGGAATTAATGGAATGTAAAGAAAGCAATCTCATCCTTCGACCTCGCCTACTCTCCCTAACCTTTGCTTACTACTAACATTAGCATAAGTACTTTTCTTACCCCTCTAAGTCTAAAATCTCCAACTGATCCAGCATGCTAAGGGGGCTGACATCTTCTATGTCGTTAAAGGCCAAATACAACTCCTACAAAAATGGAATGTAGAATTGGTACCAATTTAAACTGAGCAAAAGATTAGATCCAACTTCCGACTATATTTAAATTTGCAACTAAACTACTATCCTAAAATTAATTTAATGTACAAATTTCAAAACTCAGAGCTAAATTTATTAACAAAATTGAATATTTCATGCGAATCATTCCAACTCCATCAGCAATTGTAACAGAAAGGTCGTTACGTATTCCCAGGAGAGGATTGTAAATGGCTGGGAGGGAATACCTAACTTCCTTTCTCTTACGTACCTGACATTTGACATTGCTGATGAAGTTCAAGAGATTCAGCAAAATATTTGATTTTTTTTAAAATTTAGCTCGGAAGTTTGAAATTTATCAACTAAATGTCTTTGCCAGAGAAAATAAAAGACCTTTTTGGTAATTATCATACATGTATTTTACAGGGCTGAGAAAAGTCCAGTGGGTTGTTCAGGACAAGTAGATTTTCTTGCTGCCCAAGTAACTTTTTAAGCTCCCTTTTCCAATAGACATTAGGGCCCAGGACTTAGTTGTTCAAAAGGTAGGTAACACTATGCACTGGATAAATCTCTATCCAGTGGATATGCAATTGGTTTCCCTAAGACTTATCCGCTAGATAGTTATTTGTCCATTGGAGAGTGCTATCTGATGTTTGAACAACTGGGGCCTGGCAAGTACCTGAGTGATATTCACGTCTTTACCTTCAATGACGAGACTGAACTGATACCATCCAATTCAATCAGACCACACCTTGACATCCAAAGGGTCCTTAGACTTGTCAAAGAGGTACCAAGGTCTCTAATTAATCAAATTAACCAGCATGTAAGTAACTCTTTTGACGCTGAATTGTTTGGCCTTAAAAGGTATTATTATACAACAGCAGGGCACAATAAGCAGTTCTCAATGTACATGACACCATAAAAACTGTATGCATAATACAGTGTACCTAAAAACTTTTACACAATTTCTATTCAAATGCCATAAATCATTATTAAATTTGTCTAGATAATAGCATGATTTGAAGTGATATTTGGCATAAGTACCACGAGTAATAATTAGAAATAGTTATACGTAATTTCATGAGCCATTAGGCGAGTGACATTTAAGACAATTTTGAAATATCACGAGTGGTATTTATGCCAAATATCAAGTACAAATCATGCTATTATTTGTTTATACTACTACTCACAAAAGGTTTGTTTTTTCACATGTAGGTATTTCAAATTAAGCTGAAATACCACAGCTCTGAGCCAATCAAATTGCAGAAATTTCTCATGTAGTAGTACAACAGTTTGAATTGCACAGACTACGAAATAGACAATTTTTTCTCTGGAAATTTCTAAAAGCAGTAAATGTTCATCAGTAGGGTGCCAGCCCTAAAATACATACAATTCCACAATATTCAGCTTGGTTCCATTAAATCCAATGCATGTAAGCTATAGACTTACCTTATAGTAGCTATGATGCTGTTGGTCAACTTAAGCTCAACCAAGTTTGGTAGTAAAGCACCTGAAGAAAACAAGTCAAGAAGGTAAAAGATTATTTTGCATAACCTTGGTGCAAAGTTCCTGTTGCATAAGCGACAGAAATAAATTACTAATTCTTACCAAAATTTCCAAGACTATTATCTCTTGTATCAACTTTCATTTCAAGATATTTAACCTCATCTAGATTCTTCATGCCGGTCAGAAATCTCTTTAAAAGATGAAAAGTAAAAATAACAAAACAATAATAAAATAACAATATTAGTCAACAGTGCAGTTTGTAAATGTTACTCACCTTATGGTGATATAAGACCAGTTTATACCTATAAGTGATTTTAATTGGCAAAATGTTTCTTATAACTGAACAGATGGTAGGAATCAGCCAAATTACCAAAAAATAAAGCACCCATATTTTACGTCAATAACTTGTGGTGGTAGTTGAGACCTTTTAGGGTAAAATTCTGACAGGTGATATGGCCTTGAAACAGTGACATAAGACAGATGAAATGGCGACAAGCGACATGACGATAGGTTCACACTGCAACAGTGACAGAGAAAATCGCAAATAGTAGTAAAATACTGACAGGGACATGGCTCCCTCCTCAATATGCGAAACAACTACTTTTGAAATTCAGACTATGGACACACCTACCCCCTCTAAGGACTCATAATTGTGATAAACAAATTACTGATGGAGTTCAAGTTCTTAAAAATACTGTGGTTATTCATCACACACTTACCAGTTTTGCTGGTGAGAGAAATTCTTCCAGCAAATGATCTGCCTCGTCATCCTGCACAATTGGCTCAGGGTTAGCAGTACTTTCATCAAATTCCCGAATTCGTACTGATGATAATTCCCTAGGGATTGTAGGAATGTGTTCAACCTGTTCAAGGGTCAGTGGAGTCTCTTCCATGCCTAGACTTAAAGAGACAAGTACAGATAGAGTTAAATGGGTTAACAAAGTTCTCTGGATTTTTGCTCATTTGCATAATGCTTTTGTTAAAGTTACATGGCTGTTGTAGCTTTAAATTGGCAAAGTATGGGTTAAACCTCTAAAAAAGACCAAACTGGACATGGTACAAGCTTCATTTGACCCCAAAAAGATAACATGGCTAAAATAATCCAAACCAGACAAATAATCCAAACAAGGCTTTGGAGTACTTATTTCCCCCCAAGGGAAAGGGGGCATTGAACATATTTGGTCCCAAATAAGGATACAAAAGAAAAAGGTAATCTACCTGCTTACTCTTAAGTATAGCCCTCTGCTGTGGCCTTGAGCCATCCCCAGTTGATCGGGTACAAATTTCCCCTACAGGGACCGTGCTCAATGGCCAATAAATATCACCTTAAATTCTGGCACCTCTTCCTCTGGGGAGGTTGATTAAGTTTGCTCGGAAACCGTTTGGTCATTTCGATACAAAGTTGTTTTGATACGACCTCAAGCACCGAGATTATGCACCTATCAATGTAAATCCTGTGGGGGGGGCAGGGGAGGAGTGCGGGCAAGGGGAGGGGATTTGATGCCTGAGACTATCCCCCTGTCGGGCTTTTGATCGTGCGAAGCAACCGCGGGGTCGGGACATTTAACTTTGACCGACAGAAGCCTGGTATTCCTGGTATCAATTCAGAAGCGGTTACCAGGTCTGTTCCTCGAGGCTTTCTGAAAGTCACGCTGTTGGAGAAAGGTATGAAGTTTTCATTTGTTTTAATCGCCATAATCCGATACTTTAAACTGTCTATAAAGTCTATTTTAAGAAAGTTTTTATCTTCAAGTTCCCATCTGATTGTAAAACTCGATTGAAATTGAATTCCACCATGAAAGTCAGAGGATTTTTTACGAGTCACTGATCCGACATGTTGACCAGATGTTATAAAGCATTTTACGTTTCATTAATATTATAATAGAACGGTCAGTCTTCCTGGAGTGATGTTGTTGTTCAAAATAAGAAATGCTAGTGGAGAGAGAAAATACTTAATTACAGCGAGTAACTTAATGGAGCTTACGTTAACCTTAAATAAAAGTAGTAAGAATGTACTTTTGAAATGTTCTGTTATTCATTTTATATAGTATTATAGTATTGTTTGTTTAGACTTTTTTCCCTGGGGTGGGGTCTCTTTTGACACTTTTGATTGACCTTTTGTTTCCCACCCTGGGGAATTTGATCAAAAAATTTTAAAATTTGTCAAATCCCCACCCCTTGCCCGAAATCACCCCCCACGGGTTTTACATTGATAGGTGCATTACACAAGAATTTGGATCACTTTGACGTGTATAGTTTGCGCCTCAGCTAGAAAAACATTTGGGGGTGATTATTCTTTGTTCTTCAAGCCGAGTATGTGAAACTATTTACACCTTAACTAAATTAACTTGGATCAAAACAACTTTGAATTGAAATGTCTAGTAACCAGTTTGCTTTTACTCCCCATAAATATTATGCTAGGGCTTCAGTAGCCCTTTGTTTGAGACCAAAAGCAAATCACTGGGGTTGTACTGGGCTCTAGCTCCGCGAAATGACAATGATAAGTTCATAAATATAATATTATTGACAATCACAAGATTTTGGCTTGGAGTATTGATTATGTTGATTTAGTGACCTGTGGAAACACAACGTATTAGATACTTTAGACATAAATTAAACAAGCTAAATAATAGTAGTCGAACTACAGCAGTTTTACGGTCGATGAAACTGCATAGGACTTCTATTTTTTTCTAAATATGCCAACCACAGGTTTACTATTGCCATAAGTAAAAAGAAATAGGTCATAAATTGCTACCAAAAACACGAGACAACCTTTTTGTTGGTTGTTCAAAACAAAATTTAACACTAAAGATTAAAAATCAGCTTAACTACAGCGTTTGTCTGCGTTGCCATCGTTTCATCAAGCACTACCTCTTTCTTGGATACGCAAACTTATCCTCCATCAAAGCCATCGAAAAAATATTTTCTGAAGTCGTCTGTCTCCTGGTTGATGTAAAAATCTTTTAAAATAATATGTCATGGCAGAAATGATGGTAAAAATCCGACGTAAGTCATGTTCTCCTTCTTTAACACAAGCCCGCCATTTTGTCTATGCGATGAAGAAGTGCACTATGGGATTTGTGTTTATCCACTTGTGACGAGTGGGGAGGGGATGGCCCCCGCGGGGGAGTGTTAGGGGCGTGGCGATAGGGCCAGGAGGGAGTAGCTTTGACTTGCCCTTTGGTTACTTTAGCCTTGCTAACGAGCCTGCGGGATTGGCCTTAACTCAGTCAGTGAAAACTTGTAATTTGCATTTCTTCTAACAGTACAAACTTGTGGAAAGTTTGGCATGGGCTGCACATATGGAGGCGGGGGGGCTACTCCCTTATTTAAGCTATAAGGGTATGTTCAACATTAAAAGGGTTATGGTTTTTGTCCCCCTAAAAATTGGGTATAGAAGTGCAAGTTTTGCACCCCCCTCCCCCCCCCACCTCATTCTATAATCCCGGAGGCTGCTAACCCTCAGTGTTCTTTTAAGTTTCTCTTGTACCTGATGTTACTGTGTAGCACAACAGAAAAAGAATTTGTCATCACTTGTTTCTTTTTAAAGTCAGAGACGGATGATTCTCTTTTGTAATGACTTAATTTAAAACACTGGACTTCCTGCAATAGTTATTGATCACATCTGAACCTCAAGGAATGTATTTGGGAAATCATCATTGACACAGTGTTTGTATTTTTTTGATTTATATAATTCTTAATGTTGTATAGTGCTTAATTCTTACCTCAATTATGTACTCAATTATGTACATACGGTATTTTTAAAGTTGAATAAATTATTTTTTTTTGTTATCATCAAGGGCCGATTAGGTAATTGGCTCCTGTTATCATGTAGGGCATTTAATTTTTAAAAAACACCCACCACTCTGGAATTTCAGTTCAGAGTTAACCACACTTCCCATATACAGCTATTTCAAGAAAAGTTGTCGGAAAAAGTGCACACGACAATCCCGAAAGGTATTGTGGGTATTTTTTAGTTCACTGTTCTTCAATGAAATTTGAAAGAATGGCACGAGAGGCCATGGACATATGTCAGCTACAGTGCCAGGAACAGTGTATGGATCATATCCCCATATTACCTTTCCGGATTGTCACGTGCACTTTTTTTTCCAACAACCTTTCTCGAAGTAGCTGTATACATTAGCTTAAGATGGACCCCTTGGGACAATCTCCTAAAACAGTTGCTGAAAGCCAATAGGGTTATTCCTGAAACTCAGTGAACTCAGCACTCGTTATTTTACAAACGTTAAGATGGGATCCATCAGGAAATTGAGTAATTTTAATTTTCAGTGGACAAAAACCTTGTACCACAATAATTTAAACAATATCGCAAATAGGCTTAAATAATAATAATTATTATCAGATATTTATTCAGGATAACCCTTATCAACAGAATCCTGCTGACTAAGAATTTAAAAACTAATAAACAAGAATTACAAAAAATTAACATATAGAATAAAATACATTTTAAAAAGCAAACATGCACTAAGTTACAAACAGTTTTAAATGAAAATAGAAATTACAAGTAATAAAAGTACAAGGCTTTCCTAAAAAAACTTTAAAACTAATGTTTCCTAAACTTAAAGGCAATAAATTAATAAAAATCAAGGCTCCCAAAAAATAAGAACTATGGTGCACAAAATCCAGTTTGACCTTTGCCCTTCAATGAAAAAAGATATTGTGTAACATTTGTGATCAGGGGATAAAACATTAAGACAGAATTCATTAGGAAATTGAGTAATGTCAATTTGCAGTGGACAAAAACCTAGTACCAGAATAATTTAAACAATACTGCATTCTTTTTTACATTTTTCAAGGGCTATAGATATAATATTAGTTATAATATTAGTTATCTGTAATAACAGCAAAGACTATTTCCCATGGGAGCTCGAGAAAATAAACATCAAATTTCACAAGAATTGTGAAAACACAAGTAATTTTCTGCAAATTCCATGTGTAAGATGTCATTTTGTGAAATTTGACTTTTTATTTTCTTGGGTTCTCATAAGAAATTTTCTTTGGTGTTATTACAGATAACTAATTACATCTATAGCCCTTGAAAAGTATAAAAGGCTGCTATTTTATCAACTCAGTGGTTATAAAACAGGGCGCAAAGAACATCATTTTTACAGCTTGTCATTCGGGCAAGCTGAATCTAGCATTTACTAGCCCAGACGTCATTTCAACTAGCCCCAAAAACTTTTTGACTAGCAGAATTGATTTCACAGTTCTTCTGTTATTCGAATTCCACAAAAGACATCACTTGCCCGTCAGGCAAGTTAAAAACAGAATTCACTAGCCTGATAGCAAAATCCACTAGCCCCAGGCTATCGGACACTACTGTCTTTGCACCCTGTAAAAGTATGGTATTCACTAGACTTTGATGAAGGGAGAGAAACAGTGGTACTGTTATTGTGAGGTTTATCGATCAGTATCAATAAAAACTTTATAGGTTATTCTTAAGTCTCTTCAGAATGTCAAATGACATAAAAAGTGCTCTTAACCAATGCTGCAGAAGTTCAAGTTTATAAGTCTTGCATGGTTATCTAAGGACAGTTAATAATTTTGCTTGCAACAACATAACTGTAAATTTTAAAAGCATTACCTTCTGAGCATTTTTACTATTAAGTACATCAAAGAAGAAGCACCATTATTTTTTTCACTTTCAGACCTGACTTGTACATTGCTTGTTCCAGTAATATTACGTAGAAGTTGTTTAATATGTACATTAACATTAATAAGTTATTGGTAAATTATTATTGACTACATCCCACACACGAGTAATGTTAAGTACTAAATAAATACAACAATATTTGGAGCTCAGAGAAGGTATAAAGTAACTTGTGTCAAATTCAAAAATCCATGGTTTGCTAGTCATCATCTTCAGGTGAAAAAATATCATTTTCCTCCAGCCAGGCTGCTCCCTCACGAGAGATAATACCACCAACATACAAGAACGGAACCACAATCAAAGTTACTTTTGTTAAACCAAAGCGTGTCTTCTCAGGCTTAGAGAGAACTGCACCACTAATTGAACGTGTGGATGAATGCCTCACAAAGGAATGTCTAGAGTGAAGAAGTAGTTGGGCTGGACGAATGCACATCCTCAACAATGAAGCAGACATCTTTTTGTTCTACGTATGTACTTCACTTCGTTCCCTGTTTGATGTCAATGATGTCTCTGAAATAAGAGAAAGGAGCAATTCAGAATACCCAGCCATATAGAAGCGGTTCTACTACCTTAACACTGTGGTCCTTTAGGCCCAGTTCAAATGTTGGACTTCACCTGCACTGAACTTAACCCAGTAGGAGCCCTCCTAACGGACACTCTCATATAAGATTACAGCTCTTCTTACTGCCACCTTCATAAAACCCTGTTTTTCTCAACTCCCTACAAACTCTGTTTTTTTACATTCCTAGCAGCCAGCTCCAGTTACAGACTCCTTTTTCGCATCCCGAGAGTGTCCGCTGATGAGGGCATCCACTGTAGCTATTTGGTTTGACCCAAATGATAAAAGTACGATGGTTGATTCAGATGCTGAATTAAATTACTCAGATAATTTTTACGACGTACATGGTCTACAATGTTTACCAGTGAAAATAAATTAGTACAGTTGTTAATAAATTAGGATCACCCAAAATGTAGTAGGGCACTGAAAGCATAGCTTATCATGACTGACTGCTGACTTGCTGACTGGTGGGATGAAAGTCTAGTCCTGATTTATCTTTCATGCTCCCTGGATCGAATGAAGTATGAGGGTCAAACAGTAGCTCTCTTTGTCCTTGCTGTTCCATTAGAATTAAACCTCCTTCTCTTACTGATGTATGAAAAGGTTAACACTTATAGAGCTCATCTTTATTCCAGGTTCAAAAAACCTGACAAAGTCCACCACAAAGTGGAAGGGCAAAAACATAATGGTGACGCTTGTTAGTACAGTAGTCATAATTAACATTGTGGCTAAATGGCCGGTAACCAGTCAAGGATTTCAAAACACTAAATGACCGGCAGTCAGGGATTTTCAATAAATTTGACTTACACTGTATCTAAGAATCCCAACCAACCCAAACTATCATATGTCGATTAAGAAAAGTCAAGCGATCCTGAAATGCTTTATAGATCTCAAGTTTAGCCTTTAGTTTACGCTGAGCTCAGAAAATGAAATCATGTTTCGTGACACTTAAAACTTTTTTCAGCTTCCTCTTTCCTCTTTCCTTGTTCCGCTTTCTCCATTCCTCTTTCTTATTTTAGGAAAGATCGAAGCGACTCTGCTAGCAGGGTAGACTGCCAGTCATTTAGTGTTTTGACAATCTTGACCAGCAGTCGACCTGGAAAAAGTTCTAAGTGTCATAAAACATGGTTTCGCTTTCTGAGCGCAGCGTAAACCAAACGCTAAACTTGAGATCTACAAAGTGTTTCAGGATCGCTTGACTTTTCTTAATCGACATATGATAGTTTAGATTAGATGGATTTTTTCGATTTGTCAAATTTATTGAGAATATAGGACCACCAGTCAGTTAGTGTTTTAAAAACCTTGACCGGCAGTCCTGTCGACCTGAAAAAAGTTCTTAGTGTCACAAAACATGGTTTCGTTTTCTGAGACCATCGAAACCAAACGCTAGACTTGAGATCTATAAAGCATTTCAGGATCTCTTGACTTTTCTTAATTGACATATGATAGTTTGGATTGGTTGGGATTCTTAGATACAAGTCAAATTTATTGAAAATATTGGACTACCGGTCATTTAGTGTTTTGAAAACCTTGACCGGTTACCGGCCACATGGCCACAGCGTATATAATTAATGTCCGTCCTCTTTCAGATCAGTTTCTGAAGAATCCTTGATGGTAACAAAACACTTATCGCAAAAAAATAAACAACAACAACAATAACAGATCCTAAAATTGCAAAACTGAAAAACGAACTAAAATGATGGAAAAAACTTACCAAAGAATACCAAGGTCCAAAAGACGAGGGAAAGATGTCAACAAAGTTATGCACTGAGTTATGCAAATGACTGTAGCAACAAATGATGGAATGTGTTAGTGCGCATGCTGCTACCGCAACTGACAAATGATACAATGCGGGCTCGCGAGCGCTTACATGATTTTACTATTTTACTCGAAATTTTAATGCCACTTAAAAAGATTGGCTAATGAAAGGCATGAACATATTACCTGTGGGTTGTGAGCCAAAAGTGTTGAAAATATATTTTAAACAACCTCTTGAGAAACCCCCCACTCCACCCTAGCGGATCGAGTGCTCGTGCCAGTTCTTCTCTGCATCACACGCATAACCTGTTAACCTCTTAACTTGCGGCTGTTGATCGCCACAACAAAGTTATTGAAAAAGGTAAGTTTATGTTTTATTCATTGTTCATTATCATAATACACGATTTTCTTCGGCTGGCAATTTCTGTATTAAGCACTCGAGAAAGGTCCATCCTTTTCAAGAATTGGTGCAAACATATGGAATAGTGTTCCCGACAGTGATCGTGCTGTACCTGAATATAAATTTAAGAATACCCTGTATCAAAATATCCAGTAGCCGACACTGTAGGAGGATACCAATGTTGACGTGTTTACTTTAATTGACATACTCAGTAAATATTCAAGTTTCAGTTAATTTCATTCACACCTTGTTTCATTTACCTATTTTGAAACTAGATATGTATAGGTTAATTCAATTTGTCGATGTTCGTGTATCTGTTTCAACCCGGTTATTGTATTTTTTTTTTTACTTTTCCTTCTCGCCTCGGTTAGCTATAGGCTACTTTGCGGGCAACGATCAATTATGGCATGTATCCAAAGTGTTTTTAGTAATAAACATGAACTTGAACTATTGTTTCATTCTAATATATGGGCTCTCTGTTCCGCCATTCTGAATCATGTGATTCTAAAACAATGGCGAATAACGAGAAATGGACATTACACCACTTAGTCGTGTTTTCCCTGACTTTTTTCAGGTGGGTACATCTAATCCAGTGTTCATTGCACATACAAAAAATTGTTTACCTTTAACCTCAGACCACGAGTTTGGAGACAAAGGAGTTTATTGTCAGACTCCAATTCAGCAGAGATACAAAACTAGCATTTGACAATATAAATCCAACACCATAAGGGTGGGAGGGAATTAGGGTAGTGAAATGAGCTTGACCACAGTTCAACTAGAATAACTTGACTAATGCTTGATGAACACAACGCTCTTATTACAATGCTCGCATCATTATCACAATTGCGCTTTCCACTATTACCAAAAATAGGTTTTGTCACCTTAGACCCCCCGCATGACTCAGACAAACTTCCCATTCTACTCCAAGGCTTTGTATGGGAAACATGCATTTCTGACATGAAAATTGTTCATAAAAATTGCATTGAGCATTTTTAAAATGTTTTTTGAGCTTAATTCCAATATATAAAAGGCACTACTGCTATAGGGAGCAAAACCTGGTCCAGTAACTCAAATAAATGGTTAAAATCAGAAAATAAAGTGACTCAATCAAAGAAAGCTACTGAAATCGGATCCCTAGCTCTGTGTCTTAGGCAGAAAGCACTGCTATGCACTGAAACATGAAATAACATTATTGGCTGTGTAATGTACTCCAAAACCGAAATTGCTAAAGAGAAAATCGAGAGAAGACATTTAATACCCAAAGTTACACTCTGAACTAAGATTTTAATGCATGGTGTCTCTGTCAACCATAGAAAAATCATAGAACCATAAAATAATCTTCATTCAATAGAAACACTAAAAAACTGCTCTTTTTCTGTCCATGACTTTTCTATTCATCATTATAAAGAAGAGGATTGGTCAAACTTAGAATGGGGTGTGGGTGTGGAAAATAACCTCTCTGAATAGAAGATGGTATAGATGTTGCTGTTAATGTTTTATTTCAGTTTGTTCTTGTTTTTCCTTGTTTCAAATTCATTAGCGTACATTACCATACCACAAAACAAAGGAAATAAAAAATTAACTGAAATAAACTGCATCATATACCTTGTAAGTCTTATTAATGTTTCTTTTTTTTGTTGCAGCTTCTCTTGTGTCCATGTTGCAAGGAAAGCTTTCAGCAATGTTAAACATTTCATGCAGAAGGAATGGACAAACAGTTCTGTTACCTTGGATCCTCCACAGGTTAATTAATTTAAGTTAAATTTTGTGTCTTGTGCAAACCAGTAAAGAGAACAAAAACAAAAATGTGTTTGTAAATGCTGACAGTGCTGTATTAAGATGTACTGACTGGTGTGACAGGCGAAAATATTCCCACGGGAATCAAAGCATACAATCTGAAAGTTACTTTGATGATAGCTTGAATATTTCTCTTGTAATTCAGATAAAGAGGACTGTGATCCAAAGACTCACTGAATGCAAATGAGGTAACTTGTTTTGGGCAGTTTTAAGTATCAGATTTGCCCTTTTCCAAAAAAAAAACCTCTGGAGATCTAAAATCTGGAGGCTTGTGATATTTTTCTCTTTCAAACCCTCCAGCAAATTCTTTCAGCAGACTTTTTATCCCCGTCAAGGTTTCCTGTTATTTTTTAACCCTAAGTAAGCAAAAAGATATCAATGACCAACTCCCACTGATAAAAACAAATTGACTGAGTCCCCTATTTATAACATCGGTGTCGCTTGGGACATTATTATAAAGTCTTACATGAAGTGCAGACCATCAAAATCTGCTTAGCACAGAAAAGCTCAAAAGTTGATTTTATCAGGGAGATTTGTGGTGACCTGTTTATGACCCTCACTGAATGCAAAATTTGCATTCATTTAATGAGGGGCAGAGATAACCTCCCTAAAATATAAAGATATCAATGCCATGTAAAAACAAATTGGTATGTGCCGCATCCAATGGGACATTATATAAAGGTTTTTCTGCTTAGCAGAAAAGCTTTTTATCAGGTCTAAATAGGTAGGGTTTTTGTGCCTTTTTGGTCTAAAAACGGGTATAGATTTTGCCCATTTTGGTTTAGAATTGGGTATGGTTTTCAAGGGAACTGCGGGAGTGTATGATTGTATATATTGTTTCAATTCTAAATGAGTAAGAAAGAAAGAGAAATGGATGTGAAGAATTTTTTTTGCGCTCTAATCTAAGTAATGATGACGTAATTTCTGCCTAAAGGCCAAGTCTGAAAACGGGTGTGGATTTTAAAGTTCTGGTCTGGTAAGAATTCCCAGGAGCACCCCCCTCCTCCGTGGGTCCATATTGTTGCTGTATCGGGGTGACTCCTGGATAATCAGGGAGGGTTCGCTTATATGCAAGTAGTGTTGTTAACTTTTGCAGTGCAGATAACACTCTTTTCTGCTGAACCATTGATTGCATTAATTTATTGTGATATCGGGTACCCTATTGCCTTCCCACCAAGAGCAAGTTGAGCCAACTGAAATGTGACCCATGCTTTGAACTTTCCTGTGAATCATATGTTACATAACATTGGTGTGTCAGTTATTAGCTACCCTTATTTATCAACACATTTTTTTGGCAAGGGGGAGGGGGGCATTACTTTTGGGAATTGTTACTTTTTGAACTAATCTCTCAGTCAAATTATGAGGGGGAAACTCATATTATTTAATTGTACAGTACATTGTATATTTTAAGAAAGATTTTGTTTTGTTCATTCAGCATGTAGTTTTTTAATTTTCATTTTTTTTAGGTGTGGGAGAATAGTCACTTTTTCACTGATGAGGTGATTGTCTAATAATTTATTTGATTGATTGACTTATTATTTTAAAACAGATTGCTATCTTTTTAGTTCATTGGTATACCGTATTTAGTTGCAGTTTTAAGGCCCTTGCATGAAATAGTGCATTGACAAGTTGTATGATAATGGGTACATGCAGAAAAATACATAAAATAGGTTTATTGTGAAACTTTAATCGCTTGTAATAACATAGACATGTTTTGTTGTGCTGGTTAGCAGGTTGCATTAAGCTAAACATCATGGGAAGTTTTAATTTTACCAAACTGGTTCAGTCAAAACAATTTATAAAATAACTAAGACAGTACGCGCGCTCTGATTGACCAAGAGGCGTGCTTGCATGAGAGTATGTAAACATAGTTGTGGCGTCAAAGTGTTTTGCTTTTTGCACTCTAATTACTCAAGCACAAATTTGGGAAAAGTTTTTGAGTTGAGAACTCGACACATTCCCTTATCTGCCGAAAAACGTTTTTTATTGCTTAAATATTGGGTAGATTTGCTAGTAAATTTATCACTTCATAACATATATTGCTAATTTGATGGCTGTTATTTTAACATAGCACCATGCTCAGGTTTTCTTCGGTGCCATGGATACTACCTTCCTCTTAGCCTATGCTGTGGTAAGAATTTTTAACAAATAATGTCTGTGTTTTTGTTAGAATATTGAATTATTTCAGAAGAGCTCTCCTCACTGAGGTTTATAGCTTTAAAACCCCCTGCCCCTCCCCTCTGGAAATTCAAAGTTAGGTTTAGGTTAGTATCTGTTTCATGGTTCAAGTAAAATCACTCTAGTTGTATTGTCTTTATATCCTCCTTATAAATGCCATAAATAAATGTATGTAGATTTGAAAATAGCAAGTTTACTAGAAATGTGTTTGTTTTTGTACAGGGTCTCTTCATAAGTGGAATTTTTGGAGACAGGTATGGGATTTTTTTATCACTCCTATATGTAATGTAATAGATTGGTCCTGTGGATAGTAATACATGTAACAATGTGCTCCTCAGAAGATGGCTAGCTATAGGCTAAGTATTATTTGCCTGATAAAAGTTCCTGTATTCTTTTGATGGCTAAATTATCCCTCCCCCTCTATTTATCAACTCCAAAAAAAAAAACATGCAGAACAGGCAGATTTCTGAAAATTGTTCAATTTTGCGTGAAAAGGCTTTCCTAGATGAAATTGGTTGTGCAGATGAAAATGTATCCTGTTGTAGTGCAACTTGGTCACACATTTCATGTGAGTCAAAAGTCAGATCAAAGGCAACATTTCTCCCTGTGTATTGTAAAATAATGTAATAATCTTTCCTTTTTTGTTCATGAATCAGGTTTAACCTGACACGAATCCTAGCATTTGGAATGTGTTCATCAGCTGTTGCGGTGAGATAAAATGAGATATATTATTTTAAACTCAACTAGCTGGATGATAATTTTAGAAAATTAGTCCGCAATGCATGTGATAATTATAATGTACTACTGTAACTCAGTCACTTCTGAAACACCTGCAGAAACTGTCCCCGCCCCCTCTTCCCAGGGCTATGGAAATGGCCTTAAATGTACACTTGTAACATCATCAGTTTAAGTAATGCTTAAAGATAACTTTGATTCTCTACTTGTGAAAGAGGAAAAGACCTTCAACTGAAAAAGAGGAAGAAGCGAAAACTTCAAGTCAAAAGTTTATTTTGTCACATTGCAAATACCGAAATGTTTTGCATGGCATGAAAATTAAAAGTCTCATTATATACCATCCAATTTATCTTTTGCTTGGGCGTATAGCTGAAACCTGCCCAATACAGACACCTCGTTATTACAGACAGTTTGCATTGTCCCTGGGAAAGCCCTTCCTATTTTTCTCTAAATTTAACCCACTTAATATGGACACCCTGTTAATAGTACAGACACTTCCTATGGCCCCCTCAGTGTCCATATACTAACAGGGTTTGCCTGTATTATGTTTACTCTTGACATACTCAGAGCATTTAAGTTCTGACTATCTATATACTCAGTAGAATAGGAAGGTAATACGCTGTCAGTAATATATCACACAAGTTATTGTGTTACTATCTATCAATGCGGTGTAAGACTGTAATCTTTGATGTTTGATAGGTATTTATGTTTGGAACTGCCAGCAAGTGGATTGGAATTTATAACATTTGGTATTATGGAGTGTTAATGGCTCTGAATGGTAATGAAGCAATTATTACTTTTCATTATATTTGTTATTCATCCTTTAACTGAAGATTGTCTGAGACAACTTGAATGAAACGAAACCATGCTTTCTCTACTTTAATCACACTAGGACTCCTGGGAAGACTCCAGAAACTACTTCATGTAACAATATTCTGTTAATGGGAAAAAAACCAGTCGTGAATTTGGACCTTCAGGTCATTTATTTGTGAGAAATTGAAGAGACATTGAAAAAAATTTCCTTGCAATTGAAAGTTTGAAGGAGGGGATGAACTTTCAATCTAAGGTTGAGTTAGTGGGATGGTCAAAATGCTGATCACTTTACTTAATTTTTGTTTGTTAAACCCTGTTTGTTAAACCCAAGTTGATGTACAAAATTAAGTACCCAGTTTACAACGAGAGGCTGACGATAAACCATACACAGCGGCGTGTCCCTTTATATGCTAACTGAGGATTAGCCTTTGAGCAAGCTTTCCAGGGAATACTGTATGGGAGGGGCCAATTGAGAATTGATGAGGAAGTCCTATTCTTTGGCCTTTAATTTATAAGCCTATACAGTAGATGCCACATTTATGCTTCAAGTGGATAGCAATTTCTTGTACTTGCTTATTTTCAGGGTTGTTTCAATCTACTTGTTGGCCTTGTTTAGTGGCAGTCATGGGAAATTGGTTTGGAAAGTCAAGGTAAGTAGTGTAGATGAACTGATAGTACACACTTGTATGCAGTGTCTTCTTGCAAGGCCATTGTACGTGGTTGTTGCAAAAGGTCAGGGGCGTCATGAAGTTGCTCCTAAAATACCTGTTCTGCTGTGGAAATTCTGCCAATAAAGCCAATAAGCAAACAGAGGCTCCATTTTGTGCCAAAATGTCTCTGGTTGGAGTTGTTAATGCTGTTTGTTTCTTACTATTTAAAAAATGAAGGTTTGGCCACTACCATTTATTAGGGATTAAACCCATCACAAATAGATGAGCTTGGGAACTGGTGCCTTAAATTTTAGCAGGTTGACAGATGCCATAGCTGCAGGGAGGTATCCATGGCAACCCTGGAACGCAGGAACCACCCAAACGAGCGCCTGCTAACTGGCACCATCGCGCTGAAAAAAGTCGGTGGATTACGTGAAAGGATACTTACCGTGGCAACCAAATTCAAAAGAGGGAGGGAGGAGAGGGTGCAAGAATCTGCAATGATTCACAATAGCTAAGCTGTTTGATCCACAAAGATCAGCTGATAACACTGCAAATGTAAAGCAATGAACCTTGAAACCCTGCAAAACCCCTGGAGGCCACCCTAAAGGTCACATACTGTAGATGAGGAAGATCGACTGCTGGCAGGCAGCATTTGCTTGAATTTAACTTTGCCTAAACGATATTTAGCCACATCAACTGTGATTTTGTTGTATGCATACATTAATGCACATTAAATGTTGATGTTGTTATTTTAGGCGAGGAATTATGTTCGGATTGTGGAGTGCCAATGCCTCTCTGGGAAACATTCTAGGAGCTTTACTAGTAAGCTTGTGAAATACTTCTTAAAGATATAATTAATTTTTGTTGCAAAGTGCATTATACTTGATTCTAGGTTTGACTCACTATGATTGGTCAATTATGAATTGTCACAATAAATAATTATTTATATATGAATATTGGCGAATATAGTCACCAAGACGAAGTTGAGGTGACTAATTGTCGATATTCATGTCACCTGAGTCGACTAATTGTTTTAGTATAATTACATTGATAATTCAAGAAAATAAAATAAAGAAGAGACATATTTTTGGAAGATTTTGGGGCTTTAAGATGTTGGTTGAGGGCGGTTCTGATCGACAACAAGCTGGTTTTCTTATAATAGCTGCCGTCGGTTTTCCTCAGACATGACAGACATTTATTTAATTCATCGAATTCCATGTTTCCTATTTTATTTGTGAACTCTTGCTGCTGTTGAAACCATTCTGTCGAACAAAATATTTTGCAAAAGTTACTAAAAGTTGCCGGCATTCTGAAGCAAAAAAAGGAAACAAACATACCAGTTTTCAGTAAATTGCATGTCACTTGCAAAAGAGAAATTTTATCAACCTACCTTTGAATAGCTTGACTCCAAATTTTGTAGCATCTTTTGTTTTTGAGGAACAGCATTTTCTTCAAATTGATTGATTTTCGACTCCGAAACATCAACAAATCTGGCTGCCATTTTGAAAACTGCTAGCCTTCATTGTTATAATCACCACACAGCCAATCGTAGTGCTCAATTTGCGATAATCATCAGTGTAATAATTGTACTAATGTTAATTTTCATCCTGAACTATTATTATACTAAACTGCTGAAGGTCATTTCCAAAATGATGTAATATTATTTATTAATTTTTGTAAATCTTTCTTTCAGGTGGCTGCTCTTTTAGATTATGGTTATGAGGTCAGTATAACGATGGATATTGTTCTTTCTTTAGTGTACTTCAAAGTTGGCTTTACTCTTCAACTCCAGTTGCAATTATTATAATAATAAATATTTATTATTATTAGTCAATGGAACTATTTCCTCCCAATATTTTATATTTAAATTAACCTTACTGTTAGCTTTAAGCTGCAATGTGGGGTCGCCATTGGCCGAAAATTTCTCTGGGTATGCCGATCTCTTGCACAAAAAACTTCAGAGATCTGAATCTTCAGGGCAGCACCGAGTTTCCACATTATTTCATCTCTTTTCATCTCTCCAATTTTTTACTTCTCTTGTTGAGGACATCTAGTTGTCCAGCATTTTTGACCAAGAAATCTGTTTTAAAGGGCATGCAAAGAAACTTTTTCAGAATAGACAAAATATGTACACCCTAAATTTTATATCAGATGTTAACAATATTACATGTATTGAACAGCCATTCAGCTTTATACTAAATTAATGTGTCATACAGTATATTGTGTTTTGCATGATTGCAGTATGCCATGCTTGTACCTGCTGCAGTGCTATTTGCATTTGGTGTTGTAGTATTCTTCTGTCTGATCCCCTCACCAGATCAGATTGGTAAGTCTAATAAGAAAAGCCTATGTTCAGCATAGCTGTCCTATGTCGATAATAAAGTAATACTGTAAACTGCCGCTTATAAGCACTAGGCTTGTACAAGTTTGTAAGGGGTTTTGGGTGGGCTTATAAGCGGACGAAAAAAAACGTTTCGAAATGAGCAACAGCACTGTTGATCGACGTATGATTTAAATTTATTACTCTTACAACTGAAGCCTTAAAAAGGCAGCAATGAATTGAATTCAGTTAAATTTCGAAACAAAATCAAAACTGTAACTAGGGCTTGTATCCGGATGGGCTTATAATCGGATGTATTTTCTTGTTTGCATGTAGGTGGGCCTATAACCAAGGGGGCTTATATAGCGGATGGGCTTGTAAGTGGCAGTTTACGGTATTATTGGAGGGAAAAAAATATGTTGAAATAGACAAGGCGTTACAAAGTGCTCAGTATTTTTCAGTAGTCAATGCAAGCTTTAATAATGCCAGGGAAAGAAAAATTGTAACATTGAATATAATTATTCTATCAAGGCCTGTTAGAACTGTTGCAGTCATTTTCTTCAGTTGTAGCTGAAGGCAGTAATATGATCTTTTAACACAGTGGTGAAAACATAGGCACTTGAAAAGTGCATGTAGTCACTCTTAGTTGAAAAAACAAACAATGATGAGCATGTGGTCAGAAAAAGCTTTAAAGTGTATCTTAGAAGCTACTCTGTCACATGCAGTTCAGCTTCCATAAAGACAGTCATATGTCACATTTTCATACAATCTTACAGACTTACACACAGTTTTGATTTAGCAAATAAGGGCATTAAAACAGATAGTGGTACTGCAAGGAAGGAATCTGTTTTAACTGAGATTTTCAGGCTCCTTTGTAGTTATTTGGGCAGGAAGGGGAGGGGGACCTCAAAGCAGGGCTATTTAAATTTGTAAAGAGCCAAAAACAAAGGAATTAAGTCACTCAGTTATGAAGAATGTTGGAAACTTTCTGTCCCTAACTACCTTGGAGCAAGCTCTCTCCAACAGCTCATTTTACTTAGCCAAGAGAACTTGTTTGCAGGATAAAAAATTTTAAGGGACCTTTGCAGGCTTTGAAGTTTTTCAAAAGTTACTAATCATTTGAGAATTAGCTATATCTAAAATGCGGAAGTAGTGATTTGTCTGTCGTTGTGATGTTTAAAAAAAAATCCTGGTTGAACCTCATTTTTTTGTTCCACTTATTTGCCAAAGTTTGGATATTGATGAGACACATTCTCATGTGTTTGTTGTAACTTACTTCTCAATTTCTCTGGAGTGTAATCTAGTACATAGATGCACAATTCTGCACTCATAAAGTAAATGTTAGTTTTGGTTGCTTATTTTCCATCAGGGCTGCCAATGCCAGAAGAAGGAACTCAACCTTTTCCAGTAACAAACTATGGTAAACTACCAGTATATTTTGCAAGATTTTTTCAAAGAAACCATGATTGTTTTACTTACATGTACAACAAGATATGTTTCAGTTTTTCCTCAACAGTGTTTACTTTCAAATTAACAATGAATTAAAATCTGATTAAGTATTTATTGTCAAAGGGTGTGTTAGTTTAGGTTACGTTCTCCAGACGTCAAATGCAACAAGGTGCCATCTGAAATAAATTATTTAATTGAAAGTTCAAACTAAAGCAATGACACAAAATTATTCAATGTGTTACAACTGGATGTCAACTGTGTGTGGAGTATTTGTTTATCATCTTGATTGGTGTTGGCTCAATTTTTCGAAAATTCTTTAACAATAATTGTTAATATTTATATTATAATATTATTTATTACAGGAGCATTGTCATCTACTGACCCCTCAGTTTTTGACCAGGAGGCATCGCTTGCTGCTCAAGAAGCCCGCTCTACAGTAAGTACTTCAGGAATGAAGAAATGCTTAGTAGGAAAAATAATGCAAAACACCCCTCCCCCCCCCACCCCCCTGGAAGGATCAGGTAGCTGGGGGAAAGAGAAATATCAGTCAAAGGCTAATCTCCAGTTACCAAAAAATTTAGAAACCTTAGAATAGATAAAGACAGCTCAGGCTAACTAAGGTTTATAATTTAAGTTGACTTTAACACATTGCTTTGAAAAGTAGGTAAAGACATAACTGCTGCTGGGTAAGGAGATCCACTGTCTATAATGGATCCATGGAAGAATACACATTTTGATGAGGGCCACACTACTTAAACAACTTCTTTAGATGGAAATCACCTGATGAATAACATGCTTTTTAACATGGAATATTATTGAAGCAAAAAATCAGTGAAATTTAGATTTGGTTTTAACAAGAAGTTAGGACTAATTAAGCATGTTCAGATAGCATTACTGTAAAATATACCTAGTCTTGCAAATTAGATTGCAAACAGTCTGTTACTTTCTTTGTCAAAGTTGCTGGTGTAGTATGTGTAACTAAATGACACGCAAGCAAGAAGCAATTAAGCCACAAGCTGCAAGCCATCAGCCATAAGAAATGTTTTGCAAACATGCTGAGTGGAATGGGAACTTGATGGACTTTGAGAGAAAAGGCAGCCTGCCAGCAGTCTACTTTAAAATTAGACAATTGAAATTAACCAAGAATATAAATTTGTGCAGGAATTTTAATTGTTGAAATATTCTGTAGTCATCTTCAGTGTCATCAAATTCATTGAGGCCACAACCCAAGAAAGCCATTACTTTTTGTCAAGCTGTTATCCTTCCTGGAGTTATTCCTGTAAGTATCCTTTTGTGATGTTTGACACTCAAGGTTTTGTCTTTTCAAACTACTGGGTCAACATTCGTTTTCGTCTCAAGTTAGGAAGTCAATCAGTATGAATTATCAGGATTTATTGTCTTATTAACCATTCGCAAGTTGCCTCAAGCCTCTGTTTCAAAGCGAGGCTAAGTGCGAAGCCACCGATTTGAAAGTAGTATTTATTCTCATGCAAATAAAACTCACTTTCACAAGAAAGGTTTGGCACTTAACCCCGTTTTGGAGATGAGGGATTTTGGAACTCATAAATGGCCCATTTGTAAGTTATACAAGTCATAATAGACTGATTACAAGTTGCGTGGCACATATTGTCGTTAAAAGTGCAAGTGAAAAACAGAGTAGGGTTTGACTCAAAACAAGAGAGAATGAGCTCAAAATTGTTCCTCCTGCCAGTTAGTGATCTCTTTTGACCATTTTTTTTCACAGTATTCACTGTCCTATGCTTGTCTGAAAGTTGTACACAAGTCTTTCTTTTTCTGGCTGCCTTTTTATTTGTCAGACAGTAAGTATTCATCCACCATAAATGATCTAATACCTAAATAAACGCCCGGGGCGTTTATTCAATTTTAAGGGTCCAAGTGGGGGCGTTTGATTGATGGGAGGCGTTTATTCTCATAACTGAAACAAGCTCAACAGTACTAATATGCTTTGGGGAGAAAATATCAAAAGAGTATATAAATAGCAGATATCCAGTCGATCCATTGATAGGTCTTGGCCGTCAAGAGATCCACTCACTCTTTCAAATCTCAAAGAAGTGACTTCTTCGTCAGAGTCCCTGGTCAAGGTCACTAAGTTGTCATCACTACCCCATCGTTACTTTGAACTTGAACCCTTGTGAATGAAGCAAGAAACTGAACAACTTGAATGATTTTAATCCTTTTTGCTAGTATTTGATGGTATTTTAGATTAATTGCCATGGAGGGCGTCTGTTAGACAGGGGGCGTTTATTACAGAGGGGCGTCTAATAGGCACATCGTAGGAGGGGCGTCTATTAGACAGGGGGCGTTTATTACAGAGGGGAATCTAATAGGCACATCGTAGGAGGGGCGTCTGTTAGACAGGGGGCGTTTATTACAGAGGGGCGTCTAATAGGCACATCGTAGGAGGGGCGTCTATTAGACAGGGGCGTTTATTACGTTCTGTTATTTATTACAGAGGGCGTCTAATAGGCACATCGTAGGAGGGGCGTCTGTTGGACAGGGGGCGTTTATTACAGAGGAGCGTCTAATAGGCACATCGTTCTGTTACATTTATTACAGAGGGGCGTCTAATAGGCACATCGTAGGAGGGGCGTCTATTAGACAGGGGCGTTTATTACAGGAGGGGGGCGTTTATTAGAGAGGGGCGTCTAATACAGCATTTACATCGTAGGAGGGGCGTCTCTTAGACAGGGGGCGTTTATTATTGAGGGGCGTCTAATACACACATCGTAGGAGGGGCGTCTATTAGACAGGGGGCGTTTATTACAGAGGGGCGTGTTATACAACCTTTACATCGTAGGAGGGGCGTCTATTAGACAGGGGGCGTTTATTACAGAGGGGTGTCTAATACAATCTTTACATCGCAGGAGGGGCGTTTATTAGAGAGGGGCGTCTAATACAGCATTTACATCGTAGGAGGGGCGTCTCTTAGACAGGGGGCGTTTATTATTGAGGGGCGTCTAATACACACATCGTAGGAGGGGCGTCTATTAGACAGGGGGCGTTTATTACAGAGGGGCGTGTTATACAACCTTTACATCGTAGGAGGGGCGTCTATTAGACAGGGGCGTTTATTACAGAGGGGTCGTAAGAGGGGCGTTTATTAGACAAGAGCATTTACATCGTAGGAGGGGCGTCTATTAGACAGGGGGCGTTTTTATTTATTCAACCTTTAGAGGGGGCGTCTTTATTTAGATCATTTATTTACGGTATAGTGGTCATTGGATTGTTTGTTTATTTTTTTCCCCTGCGGTTACAGTGGAGTTTAATAGTATTGGGGGACTAAATCTTTGAAAGCTGCTTCAATAATCCCCCACCTCTTCCTCAGCAAACGACGTTCTAATTGAATTTGGGTGCAAGATGGGTGCAAAAAAACGTTTTTTTAAAATCAACATTGCTAGGGGGATTTAAGAGGTTCAAAGGATGAAAAGGAAGACGATCAAAAAATTATTATGAGGAGTAGTGTTAAAATTATACTTACTTGGAAGGGTTTTGCCAACTGCATATCCCCCGTTCGTTTAACCTCCAATGTAGTTTTAAGTGCCTGAAGGCACTGTATATTACACGCGGATAGAGGAATTCAGTAGTCAATCTGGACAATTCTTGTCTTTAAAGATAATAGTAGAACTTGGTGTGAGTATGTTGTTTTGTAGATTTCCATTGTTACAAACTGAAAGCCAATCATTATCTAGGGATCAAAGGGCGATATTTTCCAGTATTAACTCGCTGATTATCTGTTCTTAGATTTTGACTGGAAAGACACTGTGGCTGACAAATTTTCAACATTTTATGACGTTGGGAGCATTGCAGGTTGGTGCTTAATACTTCAAATTAAAGTTCGTTCATATTATCGTGACACTGTTAAACTGCTTCGTAATATTACTTAACAAAAAAATAATATTTGTTCTGCGCCTTCCCCCGTCGCGCGTCTTTCACGATCCTCGCTCGCCTTCGCGCGCCTGAAAAACGCATGGAGAATTATCCATAAAAAACGTGATTCGGGCTCGACCTGTAAAAGAATAGGAGCATCACAAATAATGGAGGTCACAAAATGACTAGATATACCGGAATAGCCTTTCTGTGCACCAGACTGAAATCCAGTTTTTTTCTTTCAGGTGGAATTACAGGCGGATTGATTAGTGTGGGTATTATAATAACGTTCATTTTTATCAAAACCTGCAGTTTCTCTTCCTTTTCTCTCACTCAGCCGTTTTTGTCTCTTCACTGAATGCTTCTCCCCTGCTAAAGTAGGATTACAACAGCAGGCTGAGTTCTGTTTTGGTACAAAAAATTATAGACAATAACAATGCACTGATTTAATGGGCATGAAGACCTCAGTCCACTTCCTTTATAGACAACTGGGTGGTTATTGCCTCGTCCAAAAAGTATCGACCAGCCTTCCAAGCAGTCCCCTTTTCCAGGCTACGAGATAGTCGGGTCCGCGAAATTGAGAGAGCCCGAACTCGAAAAAACGGGAGGAAACTTTTTCCTGCCACTGCTCCCTTTTCCCAGATCACGCGCTCATGTTTTCGCGTGCCTTTGACTTACGCGTCATCCCTACTATCTGAGAGCCTGGAACAGGCTACCCAAGCAGACTTTCTTAGGGCTTCATCACGCGTCCCTCCCCACGAACGTTTACGTGACGCGCGCGTGACGAAGCCCTAAGAGCGTCTGCGCGGGGTTGCGCGGGATACTAAGGGCGTTTTCAAAAGTCAGAACTGGCCGGCCGAACCATGGCCGGACCAGTCATTTTGACAGAAAATAGGCTTCTACTAAGAGAGTTTGCTGAAAAACCATCTCCTCCTGCATACTATTTAGGATTGGACTGATCTGACTGGGTAGTCTTGATTAAAAGTGAAATTCCCAATACGACGGGAATGATCTGGCCGCTCAGTTCTGACAAATGGAAAGCGCGCTAACTATCGACTGACATGACGACCAAAGCCTCTTACGTGAGCAAAAATATATACAGCTTTGAATTTGTAATAGACAAATAGATGTAGTCAGAAATGAATGGAAGAAACCTTCACAATTTTACAAAACAAGTGAAAATTTAGTGGTAAAAAATGCAGGTTTATGTGCCCGACCCATGCAGCTGCTCAGCAAAAAATGTTTTTGTCATAAATAAGGTGTGATGGGAGTAGAATTCAAATTCAAGTAAGGTTTAAATCAAAGTTTATATTGATAGACTGATTATTTTATATTTTTAGGATTTGCTAGGAAGACGCAAACCTTTAGTTGTAGTGATGCTGATGGTTGCAGTACCTGTGGTTTTTATATATGGAAGTAAGAAACGTCCTCCTCTAAAGCACCTTAAAATCTTTACTTCTCGTATGACGTAAATTCCTTCCAAAGCTGGAAAAACTATGAGCATCAACGTGACAAATTTTTTACCACCTTTAGCAAAGCCTGCCTATCTATTAGTGTGCACTTCGCAACTCAATCGTACACTGGGCCAGCTGTTTTTGAGGTTCCTGTCTTAACCATCAGTGAATCCACACGCGGGAAAGATGAAAAGAATCCTATGTTCTGACTGGCTACGCGAGAACCACCTATGAGAAAGGTGACGCGCGGCTGGAAGTAGCCCCGCAAGCTTGACAGACTTTCTTGCGCTTGGCCACGTGTTCTTTCCCCACGAGAACGCGTAACGAAGCCCTTAGAACATCTGCGTAATTCAATCAAAGACAGCGCCTGCAGAAAATACTGAAGTTCAAGTCGCCGGAGAGTACACCTGTACTGTCGGCTACTCCGGGGGGTACCTTAGAAATTTTTTGGGTGGGGAAGTGCCTCTGGGACCCTGGAACCCTTAGCCTGTACCAGACCACCTAGTTCAGGTGAAGTTTGCTACGCTATACTAGACGTCAGTAACTCCCAAAATTCTACCTTACCCTAGAGTCGCTATTTTTCAGAAACTGTTGTGGTCGACGCTTTCTTTGCTATTAAATTAACTTGCCGGTAAATTGAAAATTGCGGATTTCATATGTTTGAGTTTAATTCCCGGTTTTCCTAGTCTAAACTAAAATTTTCAACTAATAGATCAGTTCCCTGGAAAATGATACCCTATCCAAGAGTAAACTGTTTGAAAACCATACCCTTCACAGCGGCACATACCTATATTGCCCATATACGGTGCTACCCCCATCCCCTCCCCTCCGGGCGAGGACTTCTCTATGTTGGGCAAGTGCAAGTACACAATATCATTACTCACAACTGTTAATGGTTTTTATCTCCATCAGATACAGGAGGAAGTTATACAATAAATGTTGCTCTAATGTGTGTAACTGGTTAGTACCACCTTTGTACAAGGTCTGTGCGTTTTCATTTCAGCTCGCTCATAATTGTCAGTAGCTGCAGTCACATTTTTCTCAAAAATTCAGCACAACAGTTGCAAGGTAGTTTAAGTCGACCTCACGAGCCTCACAGCGGAAAAACGTAGCAAAAGCGGAACAAAAATCTGCCTCACTGTCAACAAAAGCTGAGTAACTTAGGTTTACCGACACTCGTAAATGAAGGAAATTTACAGTAATGCTTTATAACATAAGATGGATTGAAGCCTATTGTTAAGCATTTCTGGCAATACTAAAAACGTGTCTCTAATGTCGCTAAAACGACTGGTTTCTAAATTAGTCGTTCTTCCCATAGTATGATATTATTTGGGCTTGTGTTATGTGGAAGAAAATCGTGTAACCTGAGATAAAAATTGCTGGTAATGAATTTTAGAACAGGATCCTCTCACCACAGGGTAGATCGGCGTCGATGTAACGTGCTAAACACCAAACTGTTCAGATCACCATTCTAATGACTATGACGGTGATGAACACTATGATGATAATGCGCAAGGCTCTTTTCTAGTGGGTTCATTAAATAAGCCACCTGGTTAACTTTCCATCTGATGGCGTTCTGATTTCACTGTCTGCTCTTACTAGAACCCCTTTTGTCGCGGGTTGCTATAGGAAGTGTTCAGTTTTCCAGCTTCACTTCAAACGAGCAATTTGTGTCTCAATAAAAAATTGCCAACACTTTTTTGACTGAAGCGCATCTTGGTATTCGCTTGCAGGATTTTTCGTTGGTGGTCCCGCAAATTTGATCGGTTCAGCTATATCTGCCGATCTTGGAAGACAAGTATGTAGTGTATTCTGCGGAATACCTTATTTTTCAATTTTTATTTTTTACTTAATAACAAACAGTACCGTCAGTAGCCTGTAGAAAGGGCGTTATGTTTTCGCTTTTTTCAGGCGAGTGAGGGCAAGCGCGAAGTGAGCGTGAAGCGCGCGTCGGGGGAAGGCGTGTCTCGCGTTCCTCGCTCGTTTCGCGCTTGCCTTCGCTCGTCCGAAAATCGTGAAAAAAATGAAAAGGGTTGCTCTGCAGGCTATACCGTCAGCTGTATTACTTGTCTTCGGCAGGGTACTCTCAGAGCAGACAGAGAGGCGTTAGCTACAGTAACAGGGATTGTAGATGGTACCGGAAGTGTTGGCGCTGCCATAGGACAGGTATATTTTGACGCCACTCGCCTCTTTAGAAACGAGAAGGAAACTAGGCCGAGTTAACGTTCGCAAAGACTTCTGGGACTGTTACTGAAGACAGGGAAAAAAGTTGGCCAATAGCTGAATAGCGCGTCCCCAATAACAATCCCAGAAGTCTTTACGAAAGCTAACTCGGCCCAGTCTCTTTCTCGTTTCTAAAGTGGTCGTATTTCAAAGGCAACAAAACTGTTAGGACTCTTTATCCTCGTCTCCTACAAACGCGATCCACTTTAAATGTACGCAGTACGATTATTCCCTTGTTGTGTCTGCAATTGTTTTTTTTAAATTGTTTTTCCTAAGGCATGCCCAAGTCTTAATCTTTGAAGCGTTTTTCGTTATTTGGCCTTAAACTTGCAGTGTGAGTCCAATCCACCTTCGCCATATGCCGCCGAGTAATTGCAACCTGATAAATTCGAATTGTTCACGATCCTTTCTGGATAACAGTTGACTATTACGTCCTAGTAATGTAATGTCAAGTGCATTACCAGGAGCATTGCCAAACGCCCTACATATTTTCGCAATACGGTATACGACCTTTCCACTCACGTGGACAGCAGCGTGATGCTATTGTATTGGAACAAAAGACTGGTTTGGGTCGCCAACATGGTAACCGTTTCGTTGTCTTATTTTGTCTTGGAACACCAATATGGCGGAAGTTTTGAAAACGCTTTTTAGCGAAGGCTCTTTCCACTTGAAAAAGGCTAAGTGTACGCCACGACAGCATCGTGTTACATATTCAACACAACTATTTCACGAAACATGAAAAATAGAAGTTTCCAATGGCAGTCTTTTGTAAAGTGCAAGACGCCAGTTTCAGTGGAGAATATTGGGTAAATGAATTGGGTAAACGTTGGTGGCCACATTGTTAATCAATACACATTTGCCACAACAGATTTGCATCATATTTGTACACATTTATTCTTATGACCAAGAGGGCTTAAAGAAAACACCAGGCTCATAAAAGAGTTCACGTCGAATATCTTGCGTGCATTAAATAGTTAGCTGTACAGGGCCGAATTTCGACAAAGTGCTATCTAAAAATATTGACCTGAAAATACTTCAACATATTTAGTTAAGGATTTTTTTTTTTTTTTTCGTTTTGCATATAACATCGATTCTGTGTTGCCTGGTTTATTCAGATTCTTATTCCCGAGATCAATACCCACAGTGGATGGAAGCCTGTTTTTCACTTATTGATGGCAATGGTGAGAACTGTACTCCTTCCTTTTGTGTTACTTACTGTCACTAATAGGTCTCAATAGGATCCTGCTACCGTATTGACTCTACTAAGCGTTGCCCCCCTCCCCCCCTGCCGGTAACAACGCAGCGCTTTCTAATTTTCAGTACTTTTTACATTCCTTAATGTTGATATGATTGACTCAGTGGGAAATGGGCACGCTTCTTTTAGTGTTTTTATAGTTTTTGAACGAAGCAAAGGAAAAGAAAGGAATATTATGTAGTACCGTGATATTAGCGAATGAGAAAATGTACATGATTAAGTTCCTCTTGTCATTTAGCAGCCGCACCAAGAAGTCGAAAAATTGTGTTAAGCACTGCGGTGCTTATTCGAGTAATAGAAACGGGGGTATTATTGCTTTCAAAGAAAGACCTTTCTTGATACACCTTTATATCTGGTACAGTGTTACTTTCCTGCCTTTTTTTTCCAATTTGCATTGCATTGTTAGACTACGAGTAGTCCCCATTTTTCCCCAGAGATAGTAGAGCGAGCGAAACGCGAGCGCGCGTGAAAATCACCCCTCGCCTTTCTCGCGTGGGGTGATTTTCACGCGCGCTCGCGTTTCGCTCGCTCTACTATCTCTGGGGAAAAATGGGGACTACTCGTAGTCTATTGCACTCTTTGCTTTCCCTTCCTATGCTGATTCGTCCACCATAGGTTTTATTACCTTTTTTTTTTTCAGGCCTCCATGAGTGTTGTTTGTCTTCTTATACCACCTTTATCAAGTTTTTACGGTGAGACCACCTTGATCCCTTCATGTAGCCCTTATGATTCTCTATTTAACTATTTTCTGGCTCAACGGTCCAGTAGCGAGACCAGCGGATTTTAAGAACGTAAACTGTATTCAATAAATTAAAGATCGTCTTTGCCTAGAATGCAGCACTCATGAACCTTTTCCTCACTAGCTTTCTGAGCAAGGACATATACGTCTATGCAAAAACGGGTTTCTGATAGGTCTTAAAGATCTGGTACTGTTGTTGTAATCTGAAAATTTTGGTCCTGGAAAAATATCGAGGGGATCTGACAAAACTATTTCATTTATCTTTCAGTCTTCAGTCAAAATTATAGATACTCTCTAGTCTGCGTGCCTAGAAAGAGGTTTTGCGTTTTCGTATTTGCCGCAGGCAGGAGCATAGCAAAATTTTGAATATAAGCCCCAGGGCTTTGGACTTCTCATAACGCTTGTATTCTAAGGGGGTCTTATTATAAGAGGGGCGGGGGGTTAGTTTCAATATCTGCTGGGCTTATCACTGGAGGGAAATTTTTGTCGGTTCGTTTGGTATTTGGGGATAATTCCCAAATATGAGCTATGTGTTCTAAAAGGCTTAACTACTATATCGGAGCTTTTGAGCATTTCGAATCTAGGGGGAAAGCATTATTGCGTATTGCATTATTATATTATTGATATTATTATCGTCGTGATCATCATCACCACCTTTATCATTATTATTATTACTATTATTGTTATCATTAACGTGATGATGATGATGATGATGATGATTGTATTTCATATTCAGGGTAACATTATGTGGTGACGGTCAGCCTGTTTATCATCAAGTAATTACCAATGATCGATCGGAGTACTCAGCAGCAGGGCCTGCTAACATCGCCTCAGCAAGTAAGTAAAACTAAGGTGGTTCCGGCTCTCAAAACTCACATAACACCACCCTTGAGTATTAGTCATGTGCCTTCATTCCCTGGAAACGAAATGTACTGAAAATAAACCCAAGTGAAATATTTCCCGCAAAAAATGGTGCTTATTATGGTTTGTGTAACTACGTGTGATTTAGTCCGCTTACTATGTCATTGACATCGTTCACGCGTGCGCAAGAGTGATAGACAAAAGTTTGTAGTCACATCTTTTCAAGAGTTGTTGTAGAGTTAACCTCCTGGTTAGCTCGTTTGGAACAACGCCAATCTTATAGGCGGAAGGCCTGGGTTCAAACCGCGGCCGGAACAACAACTTGAGTCTTAAAAAAAAAAAACTGGTAAGATTATGCTGGGTGTGTTTAAGATGATTTCTCAGGTCAGATGATGGCATCAATGGGCGATTACGTTAAGCTGCTTGCCTGTCTCCTTCATCCTTCATTTATTACCGACCTTTGAAGGGCATGGGACATAAAATAACCCACACTACTCTTCGAAAAGAGTAGGGCACGTTTCCCCATTTGTTTGGTCTACCACTATCACTGTTGTAACTTCACTTATTACACTTATCATGCTCATAAATGGACTGATAGCGTCAACCAGTGGCGCCACTGTATGCTAACGCCCGGGTTTTCAGTACAGATATAATATAAAGAGAACACACACTGCTGTCCTTTCGTTTGTGACATTATCTACGTTATAAAGACAATTTTCCTTAATTTCATGTGTCACATTTGTTTGTTTGGTTCTTCGTTGCAGGTTCCTGAAAAAGTTCAAGTTTTAGCCTGTAAAAACAGCCGACATTTCGTGAAACCGCCTACGGCTTCTCTGTGAAATGACGTCTGAAGAAAGAGCGTAGAATTTCCTAGGTCTGGGCAGTGCTTCTTATTGGCTGAAAAGTTCGTTCAACCAAACAGAAGCACTGCCCAAATCTGGGTAGTGACACGTCATCAGTATGGAATTTCTGCACTCGTTCATCAGACTTCATTTCGCGGGGAAACCAGTGTTGGCGTGGCAAAATAAACTGAACATTAGATTTAATATATACACAATATCCAAGCATGATAAAAAGTAATTATGAAAAGTTAACAAATTTATAAACTAAAGGGGCGTTTTAAAAGTATGTCTTAAAATTGCTTTGAAAGCTACAATTCCAGACAAAACTACGTGAGAAAGTTTTTCCCATTATGTTCACTTTCCTACGCAACAAAACTATTTTCAAAACGTCGCCTTTGCCTTTGTCCTGATAATGGTTCTTAAAAGTCGGCGTAGGTGTCGTCAAACAAATACGAACCTCAACTTCGAGCTAACTTTGACGTTCCGTCGGCGTCCAGAATAACTTACAAGCTACTTTACTTACTTATGAAACCGTACCGGCATTAATTACAATCGCTTTAAACTGGCACCCGGAACAGTAGCTGTTTGTTGATCATCGAAGAAGAAATGCTGGAAACATCGTTGCTAGCCACCTAAGCTCGACATACTAGAAGCTAATTGTAAAGGTAGTAAGTAAGCGACAAAAAGTTTTTTAATCTGCGCGCAGTGGCGGCTTGTCGTTAAATCAGCGTTGAAATCCAAAATTTTGTTTCCAGCGAAATCCATACAAAATTGTAATTGGAAAAACATTCATATCCTTGGTTGTTTTTTAATTTCATTACGCCATTTTAAGGTTGATACAATAACCACAATTTTGGCTGTTGGGAGGAATTGGAGGTAGATTTCGCTTTTCTATAAGTATTTCCGATTTACAACAGACTTTTGTAATGAATAACCTAAACGTCTAAGGCATTTTGAGAGCTCGAACAGAAAGCCGATGTGATTGATTGCTTTTAAGCATGGCTATGTGTTGTTGAGTTAAGACGATTTTCGTCTGCATTTTATCATCTTGTTGTTGTTTTACTGTTTTTAAGCTTCTATAATTTCTTGCTACCTGTGCGCTCACGCTAACCTTTTAAAATTTCCTCGTCCCTTTCCAACACCAATTCAATTCATCTTTAAAATGAATTAACTTAAAATTTCCTGGATTTCTCCCTTTAGTTACAGTAAGTTCAAATTAAATAGAGTAAATGCTCGAGCAAGAATTTTAAGATACCCAGAATTTTGTTTTATGGAATTTCTAATCTGATTAACAAGAAGAGATCGCCCAATATCGGTACTTCAAAGCTGTTCTCCTCTCATTGATTGATAGCGGGAATTAGCGCGCGGATATGATAATCCTAAAGATTAGAATCGATCATTTGTGTAACTTAGCACGACTTCGTACCTCTCATACTGTTCTGACGATGCCTTTTATCATGACTTCAGGAAAAATACACTGGCTATACTGTTAAAATATTAAGGCAAACTGGGACAAAGTCTCGTTTCAAAGTACGTTAGTAACGAATGCAAAGCAGGTGACATTCTCTAGAATACCGAGCCCTAATTTCTGTTGTTGCTTTCTCTCTTCGAAATTTTTTCAGTTTCTGTTTGGTTTGTTTTTTCAAATACAACTATTCAGTAAGGTAATTTGCAAGTATCGAAACTTCTTTGTGGGTCGTTGGGACAGACCACCTTCGCCGAGTTCTCTTTTTCACTTTTGCATGTCCTTGAAAGTGATCATGTGCTCTCTGATCGGATTTATATGAATTATGATGGTTAAACCGAGATATTCGATTAGAGAATTGCTATATCAGAAACCTCATACAAGTTGTTCCCTCACTGACGAAGGTGGGTGGCTGCTCAGTGCTGCGACTCCCTAGGCGAAGCAGCACTCTAATCTTTTAGCCTGTGTACAGCCGTCCCCTCCCCTGAGAAAATATTTTTTCTCAGGGGAGGGGGCGGCTGTACACAGGCTATAATCTTTGGATGCTCCTGCCAATATATGCTTGTCTCGATGAGTTTTGGGAAGTATGTCCAGCGGTGTCATCATAATTTCAAATTGTATTTTTTTAATAACACCCTTATTGCGTCATTCTAATTGCGCTAAGTTTCGAGCTCCTGGTTTCACTCATTGTGGCGCACGCAAAGAGTTTGAAATTATTTTTCGTGTGGCTAATTTGGCCACGTGAGCGGTGAAGCCGCGAGGAGATTGGGGCGGGAACCGCTGGCTGGGAACTGTAAGGAACTGAGAAAAACAGCCAACATATCGCGCCGCCGTGAAATGTCGGCCGTTTTCTCACGCTACTAAACTGGTAGCTTCGCAGGCTAGACGCCGCTCGGTTCTCCCTCTCTTTTGCACACACCAGTGTATGTTTTACGCCCTTTTCCTCACTAATATTATTTAGCAAAGTTCTAACGAAGGGATCAATGTGATATCTCAGCATAATGTTGCTGGTATGCATCTATATGCTAAATTTTAGATCAGAGAAAATTAATGGAGCAATGTTTCTTGTTTACGAAAAAATTATGATACTTCTAGCAATATGTTTTCGGTACCTATTCTCTTTTCTACAGCTGGGTGCCAATCCCCCTCCCTCTCAGCCGGTGGCTTAATTACAGAGGAGTCAGAGGGTGAGGTCGCTCGTCGGCGCATTCTGCCGCCGCTTCTGTGTTTGTTCAGTTTGGTTTCGCGCACGCTAAACCAACTGTGGCTCATTATGATATAAATTTCTTCACTTTTGTTGATTTGGTGAGCAATATGTCTAGCGCTTTGATAAATGCTCAACCTCTGGAAGGATTTAACTGCAGGTGATTGAAAATCGAAATTAAAGTTTCGTTGAGGTGAAGCCCCTATAAATGGAACCATTGACGGCTGAAGTCTCCAATAGTAAATTTAATTAGTAAATTAGGATTAAGGCCCAGCTGGTCTGTACTAAATTTAAATCTAAATTCAGATCACTGATTGTTTTTTGAAAATCCAATTTATTCATAATATCTTAAAATATCTTTTTTTTGAGTGATTTCTGGTAGGGGGCTACTGAAAGCGCAAGATTTCAACCAATGATCTTCAATCCCCTATCTCTGAATAGCGACTAGAATTTAAGTTCTTCTCAGTAACTTCAGTATATTATATAGCTGTTTAATTCTCTCATTGGAAAATTAATAACATTTTCAGTGGAAAGAGTGAAAGAATTCACATTACCAAAAATAGAATTCTGCAGTATTATACATATTCTTCTCATAGGCACTATAAAAAAAAGATGTCTGGAGAACAGTGTATTAAAAAATATGAATATTGATGTTAGAGTTTTAGGTTACAAAGAACTCCTTCTAAACCTGATACAAGCAAGAGACAGCTTTATCAGGTCAGCTTCTTAGGACTGTACTTTTGCAACGGGGTCTGAGTGCTTTTATTATTTCTATTGAAGGCTATTCCAGTAGTCAAATGAATGTCTAAATTAAATATTAATGGCAACGTTTTTGAGGAGATTCCTTTTCAATAGCGCATCTTAAACGTTTACCAACGCAGGCATAATTTGGCAGACCGCTTCAATTCCAACCTTAGATATGAAAAATGAACTTTCTTAACGTCTTGATAACAACCAAAAACAAAATATTATGACTAGAGTTGCTGTTATTCATATTTTCAGGTAGTTCTTGCGTGCTTCGCCGCACGTGACGTGTCTGGGAACTGTATTTTTTTCAAATTGACTTATTAAGTTAATGAAAGGTTTCTAGACATTTCCTAAACAAGCCCTCAGTTGAGCTGCCAAAGCTATTTTTTGCCTACTGTCTAGACAACATCAAGCAAAGCTGTCCAAAATTTTTTGTCAAATAAAATAATGAAGTTTTGTTTGCAAAGTCATCCTTTTTTTTGAGTTTTAACAATGAAGCTAAAGAAATAGATCAAAGTCCTAAAAGACTAGCTAATTATAGAAAAAAAAACTTATCTAGAAAGCAGTAGAAACTACAACACTGACAGTTAATCATAGTGATATTCAATTTATCATTAGCTCTTATAATTAATTGCTTTTTACTCACACCTCGTATACGTGGTATCTTATTTTTTGTTATAATTTTAGTTCAAGTTTAGTACTATTCTAACTATTCAGTGCTGCCCTCTTTCAATAAATTGTATATTATCGTCATTATTATTATTATTACTTTCTTCTTTAACTTTATACCATAATACAACATAATAGCCGAGCCCATTATTCTTAGGCAAAAATGGAGACATGAATAAACAGCAAAGAGAAAAGCGACTTGAGTTTTCCCGATCTTTCGGACGGACAAGCCGTCCTTCTTCAGGGGATTTAATGAAGAATCGGAAAGTCGTTACAAGGTCTTACAATTCAAATATTCTTAGGGCCCAGAAGTAAGGGAGGATAGAGCTTCATCCTCTCTTGGGTAGAAGTCTATTTGAGTGTCTTTCTTCGGATCGATGTAAGTAGTGTGATCTTCTTTTTATGTTACCCGTGATCTGTTGGATATATTTCTCCAATCCTTTCTTTAATAGTCCCAGGGCTCCTATCACTACTGGAATTGTTGTAGCTCTCATCCCCCACATTCGTTCAATCTGGAGTTCAAGGTCTTTATATTCTGACAGTTTTTCAGTTTCTTTATAATTATTATTATTATTATTATTATTATACAGGAGCCCATGGGTAAGAAGCATGTCGACATTCATGGTGCTAACGAGAAAAGATACAGAGGATATTACATGGCCGCGCGGGGATATACGAATTTTATCTCCGAGCGCTGAAAGTATCTTTCAGAAAGAGAAATTCCTACATAAAACACAACTTTTTTTTAGCGGGAAGCTCTCTTGTAATTGGCTAATCATGGTAGTAACCATGGCGACACCAATATCCTGACACGTGAAAGATAAAAATAGTATCTTCAATGCGCGCGATGAAGATATGATTTTTTACTAAAAGAAAAAATCCTGGTATTTCATCAGTATCAGGAGCAGTATCTATTTAATAAATGGTGATATCTAAACGTCCTCTTCTGGTTATTTTGGCAACAAAAGAAAATAAACTATTCGATACGCGTAAAGCTATTACTTTACAAATAAAAACGAGGTGATATGGTCAGATAAAACTGAAACTACAGTATGCCTCGAATAAGCGCCCGGGCGCTTATTTAAAATTTTGGCTGAAAGGATGGGCGCGGCGTATCTTAGTCTGATTATACAGTTGCACACAGAGTTATCAATTAAGTGGCAATAGAAACAGGTTTTCTTTGTATCCCTACTATTTAAGAGAGTGATGGGGAAAGTCAAGGGAGCGCTTATTCGATGCGGTTGTTTCACCCCTTAGGAGGTGGGCTGTAATTCGGGGAAGGACGCTTATTCGAGGAATACAGTATCTTTAATTGCGAACACATGGACATCACTTCTAATTATTTGACTGCCCGACCGTCAATCTTATTTTGTTGCATCCACTCATTCAGTTCCGATGTAGGCTCTCGCATATTCTGATTAGCAGACAAATAACAAATGCAGGAATGAAAAAATAAAAGTAAACAGTCAGATAGAGTACGCACAGGAGAGGTGTTCCGGAGAACGTTTTGATGCACAGTGATTCACTAGCGTTCTCCGTAGAGGCTCCTGGTGGCGGAAAGATGCCGCA